TCGGACTGAATTCCGTGGAATTCCGGGAATCGGACGAACTAATTCCGGAATCGAACAAAGCAGTTCCGGAATCGGGCGAAGCATTTCCGGAATCGGACAGTGTTCATATTTGACCTAATTCCGGACTCGACGGAACTGATTCCGGGGTGGAACTGGTTCCGGAATGTTCAACATTGCGGAATTGGATGACTGCTCGTATAAGTATATTAATATTTGTTGATGAAATATAAATAAGTGAATAAACTAATGGCAAGATAAACTAATTCATCAGTAATTTTATTTGTTTTAAATAAAAATATATAGTGAAGCTTTCGACCTCTCTCAAAGGGTCATTATTAACACTAAAGTTATATGACAAAAATTTACAGATAATATATGAGACAATTTTTCCTATCTTTTTTTCTCTTTCGTTCTGTTCTGAACATTACACTGAGACAAAATCATTTCTCACCTTCACAGTGAAATGTTCAGAACAGAACGAAAGGAAAAAAATTGTCTCATATATTATCTGTAAATTTCTTTCATATAACTTTAGTGCTCATAATGACCTTTTGAAAGATGTCGAAAGCATCACTGTTACTTTTGTTTTAAATAAATAATATGGCGAATAAGTATAGACAATACATTAGGCAATTATAGCGAGAGAAAAGAATACATCTTTCGAAAACAATTCAATCATATCCATAAAATACAATATATGTAACCATTATATAGTCAGATCGAATTGAACAGCGAAACAAAGATATGTATAAAGAATGTGATGAACACTTACTGCCATTAGCATTTATCAATGACAATGAACAATAATCGGATAGTTCAACAGAAAGTGATCAATTGGAAACCTTTTTTTTTGATACAGAAGATAGTGAAAATTTACTTGTTCGTTTAACCCTCAGATGCTTTTTGGGGGTCCAGTCGGATCCACACCGTTGTTTTTCATTTCCTACTACGTCAATATCTATTGTGTTCTGAGTAATCACTTGTCTAATCGCTAGTCTTCTAATCATGCACAGAAGTCATATCGAGTTCCGCGAATAGGTCTTAAAGGGAAAAAATTGAAGGATGGGTCCACATGGACCCCTAACAACTCTTCGTGTTATACACATGATTTTTTCTCTTATTGAATCTGCCCTCTAAAGTTTCTAGAATTTGTTTTCCAAATGGTTCGTTAATTAACTACTGTCAATAGTGAGATTCGAATATTTTTTTCGTGTTTGTTTCAATGCTTTGTTATATTTTGATCGAAAAAACTCATTCTATTGCTTCTAGTCATAAGCACTCTTCTGTATTTGTCTTCTATGAAAACATATGTCAGGATCCGTACTAATGCATCCGTATCTAAAAGATCAAAATGAATGCTTTAGATTCATCAATGTCTATAGAGGAAATCAGACGAAAAAATGAAGTTTCTCTTAGTCATTCACATGTGGGTCCGACTGCATCCACAAACATCTTCTGTGTGATAAAATGTAAACAGCATCCGAGGGTTAAATAATTATTTAAATTTGGATTCTGTTGCTGACATTGAACTTAGTTCCGACGAAGACCACGATCAAAATATTGAGAAGAAATTCATTGACGAAGATCTCAATTTTCAGTTGCCGAGCTAGAAAAACACAATCAGTAGCTAACAAAAAAAATTGTAAAGTTTTTACGGTAAAAGTCGTATTAGAAGGCCACCCCTAATAGAAGCCCACTCTGAAAAGACCGATATGAATTTCCGTAATAGAAGGCCATGGCCTTTTATTCTGGGGNCCCCCCCCCCCCCCCCCCCCCCCCCCCCCCCCCCCCCCCCCCCCCCCCCCCCCCCCCCCCCCCCCCCCCTACACACAAGGCAATTTATAAAAAGATAATCTATATCCATATCCTAAACTATAAATGGGAATGAAGTAAATTTATAAATCTTATAATATATAAAAACTAAATCTTTTTCTGACGGTGGCGTGAAAACATGGAAGTGGTTTTTTTCATTTATATTCGAAGTCGAATTAGGCAGCTACTCGCCGAATGAATCATATAACTACTGAATCAATCTCACAGCTACTTGATCAATTGTATAGCTACTGAATGAATATCGTTATATTGTTTTTAAGGCAAAATTCAAACAAAACATTTTGTATTCACAATGCGAATGTATATATAGTTCATGTGGATAATCAAATATTTATGACACCAACATTATCAATGATATAAAGGAGCACGGGTGGCTGGTAGGGGTGTGTGAAAGAAAAGCGAAGATTTTTATAATTTTAATATTTAATTGACGATTAAACAATCGAAATGCTTGAAATTTAAATTTCTATTAGATTTCTAGTTACTTTCAAATGTTCACGATTTGATCTTGTTTTTTTATTATTGGGAGCCATCATAGTGTTTCTAAGAGAAATTTAAATAAAAACATCCGTATTCATAATTTGAATCCGCAGTTGGTTCATTAGAATATTCAAATATTTATGATGTCGGTAGCATAAATGATACAAAAGAGACAGAGGTACGCTGCAGGATATTTTGGGAAAATGTGTGAAAACATATTTATAAGGTTTGTCTCTCGCAGAGATGCCAGCCTGGCCTGCATCAGGCCAGGCCAGGCTAGCCTGTCTAGCCTGCTCAAAACTGACTTGGAATGATTTTATCTACTGAATGCTGTATTACCCATGTAGCCGATAATGTAAAATAATGGACATTATTTTCCATTATTTTCATAAATAATCTGCAGGATGTAATTAAAATGCAACCTATTTCATGCACTATCTTCCAAATAATGGGAAAATTTTCCAATAATCCACTTTTTTAATGAATTATTTCAAATTTTACCATTATTTCCCTGCAGTACATTATAAATTATAATGAATCAAAATTTAAGAATATAATGGAATATAATGCATTGAACGTGTGAAAATTTTTAATTAATTACATTCCATTATATTTTTAAATTTTGATGCATTATAATTTATAATGCATTGCAGAGAAATAATGGTAAAATTTGAAATAATTCATCAAAAAACAATGGATTATTGGAAAATTTTCCCAGTATTTTACATTATCGGCTACATGGGTACGTACGTATCGTCATGATCCATTTGCAAATTCAAAAAGAAAAGAAAGCAAATAATGATTGAATTGAATTTACTCCCACGATTATCACTAAAGGTACAATAAAAAAGCTAAATCAAAGAAACAAAGACAAAGTAGTCAATGCATTTTAACCTTTTATTACTTTATAACAATTCATATTTATAAATTGTTTAATAGTGGTTGTTTCTTGTGTTAAATGCTAGTGGTGTTAATTCAGAGAGTTTTTATTTTCTAATATATAAAACAACCTTTTTATATTATTACTATTAAGAAAAGAAAGAAATAATCACGTTAATCCTCAACATCATGACCAAAATTGAACCTAATGAATATGTTATAAAAATACCAATAACGTTTTTGGTTCCATGTATGCCTGTACGGCAGGTCAGGCCGAAAAAAGTGGCCTGTTGGCATCTCTGGTCTCGCGTCTGCAATATGGCTATGTTGTTTTTCTTTTAATTGATGTAGAAACTTTAAAGAGGCACATGAACTTTCAATAAATACATGATCTTTGAATAACTATAGTAAGTTGGAAGCAATTGTGCAATAATTAAATACCTAGGTCAAACAATCAGACAGTAAGATCTTCTACGACCGTATCGCTGATCTTATATGATCTTATAAGATCAGATGAAGTCATACGAAAAATTATAAAGTCAGATCATCGTATCAATTCGCACGGTAAGATTTCTGTAAGATCTTACAAAAATCAATTTCGTATGATTCAATCTGATCTTACAAGATCTGCGTCTGAGTTTTTGACCTGCGTAGCTATGAAATCATTAAGCAGCTATTAGTTTTTTTTAAATATCGCTTTTGAGAAGCTACGGACGATCGATTATAGATATAGATATTTGATCTTGAAGAAAAGGCTTCATAAAGAATCAAATACGTCATTTCCAATTCGAGACCTCCCCGTGAACTATCAATATTATACTACAAACAAGTTTACAACGATTACTTGCGACTCACCTGAGTACTGTCGAAATAGAAACAATTTGAGAGACCATTTTCTTATGTTACTTATCAGAGTACTGAAATATACTACTTAACACGGACTTACTTGTCGTCGATTGTGATCCAATTTTAATTGTTCTTTTTCTAACTCTAACAAATGATTTTCTTCCAGCCCGATGTACTTACCATTGGTTAAACAAAAAATGTATTCCAATTAGTATTTTCTTCCATGGGGATTAACTTTACTCTGCATGTTTGAACAAACAGACGTGAGTAAATGTGTTGTCAGGTGATAATTTCAGTACATTTCCTTTTAATCGAAAGGAATATTTATCAATAAGCGCTTGACTAGCTGAATTTTCAGTTATAATTGTACAGTACTCATTAATTCAGTGACGAAAATAATTGTCAACATGATAAATTTTGTTAAAAGTGTATTTACGGGAGCAAATTTATCACAAATATTTTAGTGACTTAGAAAATAGGTAAAAGACTTGACATTTCAGAATGAAGTAAGAGTAAAGTTTTATTTTTCAACATAAAAACTTTGTTTTCGATGATTTAAATGCACGAAATATTTTATTACTATTGAGAACAGCCATAAGTGTTCTCAATAAAGATGTTACTGATCTCATTCAGAACATTAACATCATTAATAATTAGTTTTTCAGTCATGACAGTACATTTAGGATTCCAAATACAAGATAATGGAATATCTAAACTTCGAAATACAAACATTTCTACGACTATATCGAACATAATAGTTCTGAAGCTAAAACAATTATATTATTGATTGACAATGGAAAAATGTTTGTTGTCATTATTTATCAATATATATCACCGTCGTGTTACTCATTGATCCGCAACAGTCAGATATTTATAATACTTGTTGGAAGTTACACAATAAAAGAAAACAGTTGTACAAATACATTAAAACAAGGAAATGATGAAAATATTATAGATGAAATTTAAATATTCTCTCTTATATAAAAAATCATTTCACTATTTAAATAAATGCTGAGTGTTTCATGGAATCCAACATGTTCACAGACTGCCTGTTGAAATGCATCAGGATATGTGCGATAACGTTTTCCTTTAATACTTTTATAACGATACATCGTTCTACCAGAGAAGCACGATTTCACACGAACTAGATTGGCACTGCACGGATAATATCGGAATAATGTTGACCAAATATCATCGTAGAGTATACTCCATTTTTCGTTCTGTTCATCTTTGTGCGCATAAGGATCGAAATATCTTTTACTACCAAAAACGATATCATGATATATACCATTGGCACAGATTGCATCAACTGTTGGATCGTTGTCGAAATGAAAACCGGTCGATAGGAGTCCATCTGTATACGTATACGTTCGTAAGTCGAAATCTTGTACTATCACATAGTCGAAAGTTGCCAGTTGAGAATTATGTTCGATATATTCCATGTAAATATTTCGTAGTATAACCATTTTTTCAATACGTGACATATCTGGATGATGATTTCGAGCAGTAGGAGCCAAGGAAAGATTACATGGACGATCATCGTTGACGATATGACCACATCCGATAACATGAATTCGACCAGCGACTTTCTCATCTTGTGCCCAACTGATTAGTTCTTGTCGTGTTCTATCTCTTGAATCATTCTCAACAACAACAATGACATAATCAGCGAATAGTCGGGTTGTTTCTTCGATTTGACGTCGAATACGAGGAACTTGCGTTTCACGGTCACGTATTAATGCACAAATAATGACACGACTTCCAGCTAGATGCAGACGACCGTAATCGAGTCTAGTTCTATTTTTGTGTGGACAACGAAAGGTTTGTGGAAGTGGAAGATCGTTAGAAGAGAACGATGTCAAATAGTAAGCACGAACATGTGGAAGAAAATTAAATAAAAATATGAAAATGATAGTAATGAAGAGAAAGCTTATAGCCCATCGTCGAATACGAAAGTCAGCATATGCTTTTATATCAGGAACATCTATCGTCGGCATGTATATTGCTGAAAGTTTTTTGATATGAAGAAACATCAACATCTTTATATCTAGAATACATGCAATAGTAAAAATTAGGGTTCGAAACATGTTGATCCCTTAATCATTGTTTCCTATACAGCTAAGCTTCAAGCAAGTTGTGTTTCAATTGGCATCTCAAAAGTTGTATGTCAAGATGGATCCTTCAACTTTGGTAATAAGTTTTAAAAAGGTTGGAATATGTAATCCGTCACATCTTCATGAATTACATGAATTAATCGTTTTACAGTGTATTTGTTAATTCGATCTTTCTTTGTAAAATCAAGATAATTGATTCTTTTTGTGTAAAAAAATTTGATTATTTAAAAACAATGAAAATTAAACATACGAAAGTGAAAAGTAAATATACATAGAAGCAATACAAAATTATTAGTTCAAATTTTTCTTATTAGTGTGAAAATACTATAAGTTTGTTTTTTGTAACAGAATGAAAGAAAATAATCATTTCTAAGCATTTTAGTTTTGACTATTGTGATATTGCAGTTGCTCTGAGACACGCATACGCCTGAAGTTTATATTTTCGTTCTTCAGACGATAAAGATAGAATTGTGTTGCAAAATACTTTTTGTGAAGCGTCTGTTCAATAATATACTAACATTTTGTTCATAGAATTTGATTATATACGAAAGATATGATGATATTCCTAGCATACTGTTTTGTTTCTAGGTCACTATTTTCCATAAGAAACACTTCAATACAAATTTATTATCACAGGAATACTTATTTTACTCAATTCTCAACATAGTAATAAAAACTGATTTTTATAGTAAAAAAACCCACATATCATGAAAATCAATATGTATTCAATGAAACTAAACCGAGTTTTTTTCTCTGAAAATTGATCATTTAGATGTTTAGTTTACGTTTAGATAAGTTTCGGTAATTCTTAATTGCTAAACATGGGATTAGTTTATCGCTGATCTAAAAATCGAAGAAAAAGAATAAAAAACATACTTCGTTGACTGGTGTGTTTCTTTCTTATTAACGTTGAAATGAATTCACCGAGAATGGCATATATGGACTATACTGAATAAATAAGAACTGGTTTACTTCCGGTGACAAGTTCCCGAAGGTGAAAATATATCATTAATAATTTATTCCTAGTTTATTGCACCATTATAACTAAATCAAGGCCTGCTGTCGTCGAGACCAATCTTGTGTTGATGCAGTTTTATTCATCAACTATCGATCTCCCACTGACAAAATCGACTGTATAAGTATGAATTCAGTGTTCCGTTTAGAAAAGTAATGCATAAAAACACATTTTCACGAATTCGATGAATTCACTTATGCAGGCCATGAAAAGAGAGAGGTTCGCCCAAAGGCTTTTTAAAACAAGAAAGTAAATACAAACGAATACGTTTACTCTAATTCAACTCAACAAACTGTTAACGTTCTGTAAACACGTTTAGAAAGCACAATTATAAATGCTTTCATCGGCGTTTTCATCGTGGTTCAATGCGGAAACTCGTCAGGAAGTTACACTTTTTAACATACCCACATCGATAGTTTTGACCTCTTGATATAGTAGGATTTTGCTGAAATCCAAAAGAAAAATCAATGATTCTGGGAGAACACCATCGGAAAACGACGGAAGTTGCAAGCAGTATTGTAAACAAAAACAATTTCGAATTTTTCTCCCGATGATCTATGATCGTTTTTAGCTAGAAGCTTGCGAAAAACCACCAGAAAAATTCGAATAGAAATACTGCTTCCACCTTCTGGCTTTTCTCTCTACTCTCCTGTCAGAAACTGACCTCATTTATTGATATGGATCAACGAGTTTAAAATACTTTTGATGGTTATATGGGATATAATAGATATTATCAAATAAAAAACTCTGATCCTCATCTGAAAAAATCAATGAAAATCTTTGACTTTATTGTCTAATAATCCGATTGCTATAAGGAGAATGTTTCACTAGGTTAATACAAATAAAAAAACAATTCTTTTGTTGCCAATATCTACATTTTTACTAATAGTTATTTTATTTATTTCTCAGCAGAACGGTATCATCAGTAAGTACTGTAAATGTTCAATTGAGTAAAACTTCATTACTTCTCTTTTCTGGAGGCCAACAACTGAACGTATTCACGATCAGCTAAATTAGTGACGAGGCTGTGTCAGAAGTGATTTAGTTGACAATTATTGACATATACTCTTTAAATACGATGTTCGAAGTTTTGCGAATACTGCATTGCCACATAATAAAATCAGCAATGCTTTTAACAATACAGCTTTTGAACAACAACTATAACAATTGAATATAGACACATTTATTTGAACGACATTTACAAAAGAAAGAGAAAAAAGAGTTACTTAAGTTCTTTTAAGGATCACAATTATTGCATAATAAAAAAAATTAAAAAAAGTTACGTATGTTTTGAAAATTCAAGAATTATTACATAAATTTCATCGCCATCAGATACTACACTTTCCTTTGCGTGATACAGAAAAATATTCTTTCGGCTGAAAGAAGTGCAGAATAAAATTAAGTTCATTTCGAGATATGAAAAGAGAAAAGAACGAAAAAGAAAAATGCTAGGCACCTGATCAACATTTTCTAAAGCAATTCATGATTACCTGTACGAAGACATACAATGTACTTTATTAAAATAACAATACACACTCACTTCTGCCCAGTTCTGACTTCAGATTCATGTATTCTCATCTGTCTATATCGAAAGAAAGTGCATCGTATTATTCTATTGCGCTGTGTTCATAGAAATAGTAAATACGAAATCATTTTCTTTTTGTTCACTTTCGCGTCTTTATATGCCGATACATGGTGTGAAAAAAAGGTTTTAATTGCGCATGGATATGCTAACTCGTTCCTTATTCTGCATATGAATCTGTCAAATATTTCATTTCACACGAAGAGAATGTGCACAATGAAACACTTGAAGCGCCGTCGCTTGGAGTTTATGCTGCTCATTAATTGCTTTTTTACATTTTAACAAAGTCACATGGCAAAAACTGCACAACGACGCGTTTGTTTAGTTAGATTCAAATCAAATTTTTCGTTCTTTCTTTTCTTGTTGTTTTTATATAGCTGTCTCTCCGTGTGTGATTACTTGAAAAGGAACTGCTTGATCGAGATACAATCGACTTGCGGTATACAAAGATAGTGTTCACTGCATTTGACAAACGAGACGTATAGACATAAATAAATATCGATAGAATTTTTTCACATGAATATTTGGTTTCGAAATTTTGTCGCGTCTTTTAGAAAATCGGACTGTGCAAAAGATTAATGGATGTCCGACATGAGCATATATAATTTGAACGAGACGAGGCAGTACAGCGGGTTTTTGGTGGAAAACGCAGAAAGGGAAAACGTCGAAAATTCAATACAAGTCCAATACTTTTTTGATGAGGACGTTTTATTGCATGTGAACATATATTGGTTAAACACTAATAATGGTTTACCTTTATTAGTTGTTAAGAATGATATTTCACTGTCCATTGCCAACGATTGAAGAGAAAATTATTTGTTAGTTGTTTTCGCCAGACTATTATATATAAGGTATACGCTAACAATGAACAAGTATAGACTATAGACGAGGAGTACAACGAACTTAACTTATCCCACTAACACCCAATACCAACAAAAAAAAATTCGTTATCTATAGACATCTTTTTCATTCTACGCTTTCCTTTTCAAAAATTTTCTACTTTTTCCTCTAACAGTTTTTATTCGCCACTTTCATTAATTATACTTTTTCCTTTCGACGTTATCCATTTCGACGTTTTCACCTTCTGCACTTACCAGCTTCGACATTTTCCTTTCCGGCGTTTTTCTTTTCTGCTTTTCCCGCCAATTCGAATAGAGCAGCCAATTTCTCAATATTTTCGGTGGTTAGGTACACTTATCATTTTTAATTCATAAACATCGTACCCTCTCTCTCTCTCTCTCTCAAAATTTCCAGAATGGCCTACACCGTTGTTATTATTACATTCACACCTGCGGACAGTTTTTATGATGAAAAAAAAACAGTGTCAACATCAGACGAAATACAATTCTCCATAATTTTTGTATTGATCGAATTCGAGTTTCGTTCTTTTTTTTTCTTTCTAAGAAAACTGACGGCGCATAGTCACCTAGATTGATTTGTGTACTTAATTCGATCGAAAAAAACGCAAAAGAAAAATATTTATAATGACCAATCAGAAGCGAAGCGTCTTTAAATAAAACGTGTACTGATCTCCTGTGCAGCTTCAAAATTTTATTGACCGATCGTTGGGTCTAAGATACGGCAAACTTATTTTTCATTTGATTCTGAAGAAAAAAAATATGTAACGATAATGTTACTTGTTCTTGTTTCACTTCAAGGTCGAAGCGAAAAATTCTAAACTACTGCAATGTAAAAGCAAAAAAATAATAATAACAAGTACCAGCTGTTAGAAATGTTCTAGTGAAACAAAAGACAAGCGTTACTTTTCATTTTACATTCTATTCGCGTCAATATAATATGTCGGGTTCATTCACTAAGAATAATTCTCGGTTGCCATATTTGAAAGAAAAATCAGAACCGATGATTTTTGTTTCCAATCCAAAGTCCGATAAGAACAACATACGTTCAAGATATAACAGGGTAGATACTGTTTTCATATTGTACTGAAATATATCAGATTTTGATTTTTTTAAATTTCATAGTCAAATATTCCGACTACATCAACATCGAATCCTACTGATTTTATTGTTAATACGAGTGGTTTTCAATCAAATGATAAATATAATGATATTCGTTTTGTCAATCGAAATAAACATAATTGTATACAAATTATTCTTATGGTTGTCGCTGCTCTATTGTACCTACTTGATACATTGAGAGCTTATATACCATCAGCACTACAAAAGGATTCTAGTAATTCAAAAAGCAAATCTTACAAAAAAAATTATGCTTTGTGTTTCTATTAAGAACTCTGGTCGATTCTTGCAGTACGACCTATTACACGCGTTTACACATCAGATTTACGACCGAGTGTACTTATTGAAACTTTGGCATTTCGTTTGATAGAAAACTGGCAGGTAGTTTAATAGTTTTTCAATCATGCATTTACTTTACTTTGTCTTTATTATTAGACACTTTGGTTGATTTATATCTTATCGTTTATTCCAAGACGTTGTCATTTTGGATATCTTTATCGAAATTTGAATATATTTAATTCATTATTTTGTTTTTTTCTCATTGTTTCACTTTTACTTCAAATCGTTAGTCAACTGTCTCTATCATCGGATGTATGTACAAGACAAATTTTATTTTTATAAACTGATTTTTTGCTTCGTTTGCAGATATCTTGTGCATGTTTATATCTTAGTTTCATTCTTCTCTGTGTGGCTTGTCGGTTCGCTGCAGTAAAATTATTAAAATCTGAAAAGATATATGCCTCAACAAACTTGTAAGAATGTTTAGTTCTTCATATTTCTACTTATTTTTCTTATTACTAGATCAATAGATTTAGCTATTGTACGGCATTTTATTTTGAATAGTCTTTTTCTCTATACAACATCCATTGCCTATACAACAATGTGCGCTACGGTTGAATATGTTGGTACGCATATGGACCGCGATGTTGGATTACCAATATCGCTTAGTATTGGTACAACGATTGGCTTATCGATTATATTATTTCTTTTGATCGTTTATTTTATTTTGGATTTATTTTTTTATAAAAATGAATTTCGGTCAATATGGACACCTTATTTGTTTATTGTCTACATTTTCAATGGTTCAACATTACGTCAGTTATCATTTCTTGAAACCGATAATATGTCGAATGATTTGAATTATTATTTATGCGGTGCATTATGTTGCAGTACATTATTAATCATGATAATACTATTGTGCAGACAAATATTTGTTAAATGTTGTAGAAAAATGAAGAAAGCACCTACTAGCTCACAAGCTGTTTCAGAAACAGAAGTTCAATAAACTGTTTATTTTCTTATTTTACAAATAAATAATAAGATTATTTGGGTATCGGAAATCTTATTCAGTAAAATTTATCAGCTGTAAACAAAATATAGTTATATCTAAGCGTTTCTTCTAGTATATTTTGGTATATCGTCCTATGCATTGATGAATAGACTGATGTCTGAGATGAAGAAAAGTCTCACTAATTATTGTACTATGTTCTACAAACACTAATATGTTTAGCTGAACTTTTCTCCAGTGTTAACTTGGAAAATGTCGTAGAATTCAATCGTTCTGTTTGCTTTCATATTTGAATATTTTGAATCAGTGCAACGGACGACTATGCCATTTTGATATAATATTTCCCTACTAAGACTGTCAAACAAGATCAAAGAATAATCAAATAACGTCGAGTAAACAGTAGATAATCCTTGTCATCATCAATGATCTAAAATAGTATTACTTTGAAAGTAAACTTGTACAAAATTGTTGAGAATAAATACGTCTATAATTCATGGCAAGCTCATCGTGTGCCTAGATCCCAGGTTACCGCAGACGAAGAGCAGTCACGGTGGTAGTAGCAATAGAAACCAGGATTGCCGTTATGCGTCTTGGTTTGTGTCGTGTTGAAGAAAAATTGCACACCCTCACTAGTAAGCATTCAGCATATAAATAAATCCGAATCAAGTACGTGTAGTAATTTGATCTTATAAGTTAATATTTATATCGTATGAATTTTTGCAGAGATAGAAAAGCTCGTATCTTAAAATAAAATATGATTTGCGAAAGAAAGAATACTTCTACCAACTAAACATGCAGATTCGATTGCTGAGTCGTAAAATGATTTATCAGTGGAATCCAATGCTCTGTTATATATAGATGACTAATTCTGTTGGCACAGTAATATTGAAATTATGATAAAGAGATGAATTAATATAAGAGGAGCAACAAATGATCGTTTTTACGCAGAATTCATTGGAACATTCTATATTGTTGTTCTTCTCGATGCGTTTGTCATGTTTCACTTTCTTCATACATTGTGATCCAAAGAGTAAGATTAAAGTTCACACGGCCTGTATGTTCCTAATCCATTCTACACGTCTCTCACTGACCACTTATTGCTATGCTTCAATGATTTATCTCATTAGAATATCCCACTGTATCAATAATCATTGACAAAATAAATAGTAAAGTATTTTCTAAAGAATAAGGTGAATTTGTCTGCAGTGATATTAGACGAGACTGACGATCGCATAGTATTACCAATTACCGTATAAAATATTCAAACTATGCTCAAGGGAAAAACCGAAAGAGAACGCTAGAAATAAAAATTGAAGCTGTCTTTCAATAGTTAAGTAAAATTTATGCCAAGATAGATTTTATATTGTTTAGCGTGTGTATTTATTAATATTGATTCGTTTAATGGTTTTTAGATTATATCAACAGAAAAACAAATATGTTTTTACGCACACTGGTGTTAATATTGTTAATCCTACATGTTGCTGACACTGGGCTAGTCCTGTATGTCGCATGTACGATCGCTTGCTACGGAGCCGTCGCTACTACAGCTACTGTGGTAATAGCTGGCATAGACCTGATTGCCCTCTTAGGTGCTGGTGCTACTGGTGCAGCTGCTGGAGCTGTAGGAGGGGCTTCTGTTTGCGCAGCTGCATGTGCTCCGTTCATGTTCGTGCCGAGTCCGTAAAAAGACTAAATTGATATGCATAGTGATTAAATGAAAGTTCAATCACTTTTTTACTGATTTACTTAATCAAGAATTATGAAATGTGATAATCATTTTTTGTAGTTGTAGTTCTATACTGAGTTTTGCTGATGCGCTTCGATTTGACTTACTTCTCTAATAAGAAAAACTTTCTTTGAAGAAGTTCTATGTTGTATTGGCTTCAAAATATACTTCGGTGCAACAAAGATATTGTTATTTTTCTTATAAAAGGTCGCGGCAAATCTCAAATTATTACCAGTTTTCAGATAATTCCTTATTTTTGACTTTTGAACAAGAAATCTGTACAGATGAGCAGAAATCAGAGATTTAATTTTCTCTAAAATTTATGACAACTATTAAAGATTCAGATAAAACGTATTCATTTTATGCATCCACCTCAATGATCGACAGAAATGCAGTAATCAAAACTCGAAGAAGAATGGGGAAGCGTAGCTACCACTGTGACTATCATCAAGCTGTGTTGTCATAAACTGTATTTGTAGGTTAACATTTGTATGAATGCGAAGAAATAGTCAAAAATAGCAGTATAACTAATAGCTGTATGTGATAGACATAGTATGTGTGATGATGAGATAAGTGATGTAGGTATCATTGTTCTAATCACATCAATATTGAAAATTAAAAGAAGTATATGAGAAACGTACCTCAATCGAACAAACTAACCGCAAGATCTTTACTGACAAGGATGAGCAATGGAACTTTGCAAAATGATTCACTATATCGTTCTGGAGCGAATAGCCATATTCGATGTTAAAAAGAGAAGAGAATTCCCTATCCATTATCAATACCTGATCCTCCTATTGTCACAAAAATAAATTATGATTCAACGGTATAAAACATCATGTAAGCTAGGTGGGCCATTTTTTTTAACGGAACTTGATTAATGACATTTATTAATGTTAATATTTTTATGAAAACATTAATTTTTCCATATTACTGAATTAGGTTTTTCTAAGGAAACATTATCTACGATTATTAATCAATTAACTGGTCTTAATACCCAGGTCGTGGACGTACGGCGGGAAACGGCCGGAAAGCACAGGAAAGCGCTGGAAAGTGGAAGCAGTATTCCAGTTGGGACGGNCTTCCAGATGTAAAACACAGAAAACTGACCGGAAAACACAGGAAACTGACCGGAATCCACAGGAAAAAAATCCGGTAACTTCCAACTGGAATACTGCTTCCAGTTTCCAGTGCTTTCCGGCCAAATACGGTGATTTTTCCGCATCTTTCCGGCCGGTTCCTACAGTATCCGTCCTCCGGAATCATTGACCTGGGTAGCTAATGTTTTCTCCGAAAGTGTTAATTACTTAATATGGAAAGTTAATGCTTTCATGAAAACATTAACATTAATGATTAATGAAAATATAATCCCTAATATTAACGAAAACATTACTATTCACACTAATGGTGAATGTTTCTGTTAATCGTTAACATCATTCAAGAACATTGACATTAATATTCACACTAATGGTGAATGTTTCTGTTAATCGTTAACATCATTCAAGAACATTGACATTAATATTAATGATTAATAAAAACATTAATATTAAATTAATGTTAATCGCCCACTCCTAATGTAAGCTCAATTATTTATCATCTCAATTTTCAAGATTTATTACTTGAAACAAAGTTACGACAATCGTCTATTTCCACAGTCGAACATTATTGAAGAACTGCAAACTTTATGGATTCAAAGATAACAATAGTTCGACCTGAACTCTCAGTTTTTACCTGTTGAATATGGTCGGAAAAAAAAACGTCATCTAACAGAATAAACTAAACTACTCGAATACGTTGTTATCTTTCTTTACGTTGAGTTGAATTATTTATTTGAAATATATTTTAAACTGAACTTTTAAAGATCATTTATTTTCAACTAATAATACAGACAAAAAGAAGAACACATAATATCATCGAATTATTTTCACCCAAGGAAATTCATTATCTGGTTGCAGATGTCGTTGATATTTCCGTGGAACTACTGTTGTTATTATTATTGATTATAGATGATGATCGAGTGTAAAAAAGAAATAATCCACCACATAAACATCGATTATTTAAACGTTGAGCTAGAAATGGATATGGTTTTGTTTTAAAAACTCTTGAAAAATTTGAACAACGTAAACATCGACGAAACGTTGGACTCGATGATAATGACATTTTATTGAGAGCGATGATATCTAATTTAAAATCTTGTAAATTATCATCATTTAAAAGTGTACTACTATATGATGATTGTTGTCCACCACTGCCTGTTGTGTCGATTGTTGCTGAACTTCCATAGAGATGAGCTGCGAATGATGGCGGTTGACCACGAATAAATGTTTGCGGTAAACGTGAATTTTGTATTAAAAATGGATATGGTTTTGGAAATAAATCATCGACTTTCGATTGTAACATTTCAATATCTAATACTGAAAAATCTTCGAGCAGAGATTCATCGAAGTTAACCGATTTTTGAGCTAAACGAAAATAAATTCATTTAAAATGCAAAACAAAAACAGTATTTAGAGCATAGGTGACTTTCCGTAATCTGATTTTCAGCTGCCAGGATGATCTCCAAATCAATCTTAGGCATTCATAGGAAAAAATCAGGAGATTATCTGAATGTCATCTATTAGTTTTTCTCGAGTCTCATGTTCCTTGTGGTCGTATATGCCAAGATTATAAATCGACACAAGAAAATTTACCGTCAATTTTTTGATTAAGTTTCGATAAACAATTATACAGGTCTTTTAAAATATCTTTTTGTGTTGACAAATTATTTGTTTGTTGCTGCGAATCTTGTGATGTTTGTGCTGTTTGTGATATTGGTTGTATATGAGCTAATTTACTATATGGAATTTTATTCATTTTATTAAGTATATAAAAATAGATAATAAATTCTCGTAGCCACTGAATTTGTCTCGAATCATTAAATAAATGTTTGCATGATAACCATTGAGGAATTTGTTGTAATTGTAAATAGCCAATGAGATAAAAAATAATATCCGATATCCAATTGATTAATGATGTAAATGATATTAGCTGATAATTTTTTGGATCGATAGTTGTTGAATCGATTGTTAGAGGTTGATCGCCGAGATATTTAATACGTTTAATATCAACATTTTGTATAAATAATGTTTGTTGAAGAATTTCTTGTGCTGAATCAACAAAATTTCTATTCGTAGGTTCATAGATAAACAAACGAAGATAATCACGAACAATAATTAAAATATGATAAACAAGTAAACTAGTTAGATGTTCACAGCTCTCAGTTGAAAATGGCGATGCAAGCCGATGTAAATGATAAAGACATTGTTTAAAACGAGCAAAATAATTACGCTTAAGTTCAATTGGTTGTTCATCATAACGTGTGACTAATTGATCAATAAGCTCATTGATTGTTGCATTATCATAATGTGGATTTGATATCAGACATAGGATATCCCAGAGATCAACCGGCGTAGGACTTTGAACAATATATTCTTCGAACAAATGTACAAGTACATTAAGCATAGCTGATGTTGACGCATTATCAAGACTTATTGTACGTAGAAGAATAAGAACGCCGCTTTGAGTAAAACCAAGACAACACGATCCTATGAAGATAAACACACTATGTACTCAGTAGATGATACAACGGAATCAGAATAAATTCTATTGAATGCATTTCTACCAAGAGAACAGGGATTCGTATCGTCTCATCAGATCTTGCCTATAAGAAAGAAAGAATGTTTGGCGCGTCAAATACCTGAGTTTGTATGTTGAATTCGAACTAAATATTCCGCTTTCGTTGTAGTCGTTTGCATAAATAAATCTGCATTACTCATTGGAAACGATTGTTCTTTACATTTTAAATTTAATTTATCATAAACAAGAATCGATCCATCGCTTAATCCAACGAGTATTTGTCGACCGAAATGTCCCTGAAAATCATTATCTTTAATTAATAGCTGACTTGGCGATAGTGCTATTGATGTTATTTGCGCTTGAGGCGAATTGAGCAGAGTTATCGATATCCATTCTTCTTGTTCAAGATTATATTCATAGAGATCAATTAAATCTCCACTAGACGTTGACAAACGTGCAAGAATACAATCGTTACCATTACGTTGAAAATAAAGCAACGATTCCAGTGTACCGTAACATGATGGTATGCGAAAACCACGACGTCGACATGATATATAAGATAATTTTGGATCTAATGCTTCATAATGAACAACAAAAAAATGAACGAGTGCACCTTGGGTACGTTCGCCAAGAATAACATTAAAGCCTTTATCGGTTGCCGATATATCGCATAGCGATACACTCAATGGGTCATTTTGCGAAAGAAAATAACGATAGGGAGGTAATGATCGATTCAGCGGTAACGTATGAATCTAAAAATAGAACAACGATGGGTTTTATTGTATGCCAATCAAATGCTTTAATTGTTCACAATTTACTTCAACACATAGGTGATTGATGAACAAAAGTTTCAACTTACCGTTCCCGATGTTGTTACACATATAAAATTGCCTGCATTAAGTGCGCATGGTAACATAGACGATTGACTATCTTCTTTACCATAGAATAAGGAATCTTTTCTATCGAGATTTACTACTATCTGAAAAACAATAGAATCAACATCGGATTCAGCGGAACAAAATCTCTTACTGGCTCTTTATGAAAGATATATTTTGCAATAAGAATATCTTCATTTATTTCATATTGATAAATATTATCCATAGTATTAATACAACCATTCTAAATAAGAGTATAGATTAAACAGAATCGAAACAAAACAAAAATTTACCTTCATTTTAAAAATTCGACAAAGTCCTGTTTGATTACAAACAAGTAAATGTATTCCGTCGAGACTCCAAACAAGATGAACAATAGGTACGATCGATGTAGCTATTAGACCATAATGCCATGGTTGTTCAAGTGAACAAACATAAACACAAAATGATGATTTAGCTGCTTGTTGTAAAGTTCTTTAAAATACAAAGGATTGATTAGAAGAAAAATTCGTTTTTTTAACTTTTACGTTGAAACAAGATGTGGACTATATTTTAATTTACTTGATGTAGATAGATAATACGATGAGAATGCAAGAATATTCATACACGATACATCCATTGCTAAAACACGATCAAATTCTTCACCATCATTTGTCATTTTGACATCAACAGCATAGATAATCTCCATTGTTATTAATTTTATGATAATTCCGAATATATCTTTTCCGATTAATAACTGAACAAAAGTTAAGAATAGTCGTTTTGTCAAAGATAAAACGATTCTATTGGTCAGTCTGTTGAACAAATCGATTCATTGTCACTAGCTGTCAGATATTGAGCAAATCCGAAGATTTTGAAAACATATATTATTGTCGATACATTTCAATTTATTTTTCTCTGCATGCACTGATGAATTAAAAAATATCTATTCGACATATCCTGTCATAGCTCATCATATCTAGTAATCATTAAATTTCAATGAGACCTGACAAGAAAACTCAACTGTAGAAGTCATCACAGATGCACGTGTAATTAACTTATGGCAACGTTATGATTAAGGTCATGGTAATATGCTAGACAGGAATATTTTCATCATTCATCACAAAAGTTAAATATTCATGGATCTTTAGTGGGATTGCGTTTCCTGAAAACACATTGCATTATTACAAAGAATATTTATAGGATCTAGTCTTTTCGAAATCATTCCAGGACAGTAACTTGTGTAAAAATAGACAACAATATAAGATGATCTTATTTTTTTTACTAGGTATCTTCTTCGTGATACTTTCCTATTCTTATGAAGCACGATCTAAAAAGTGATTCTCCTGAAAAACGCCGAAAGCCAAAATATCGAAGTGTAAAAATGTCGAATTAAAACCTTCCTACTTTCAAAGTTTACGTAACTGAGACGTCAGATGAAAATATGCTGTATATCAAATATTATTAGGTAAAGCTTATAGTAGTCTACGATAAATCTAATAACCGAACGCAATTAAAAAGCGTATTTACGCATCTGATCTTCGAACTGGCTTATCATACGTCGTTGCAAGAAAAATTAAATAAAAACATCCATTTAATGCTAAAATAAAATTTTAACCTTGCATCATAACAATATCTGTTCTTTAGCAGCTTAATGCATCTTTCGACATTTTTATTTTCGATATTTTTCCTTTCGACCAAATTCAGGTTTACCTAAAAAGTATTCAGTAGACTTGAGGGTGTGCTATACGGCCATGAGGAAAAGTTCATAAATATAGAACTGCGGGTCGCATTTAAATAACATCTCGTTATTATATATGAATCCTTTCCGTTTTTCATTGCAATCAGATTGCGTGTGAAGGAATATATTTCAAAACGAATCTACGTTGATTAGTGAACTCAGCTGGATTTTTCTTCATTTGTTAATATCACACTGATTGGACGAAAGTTTGTTTTTCTTTATATGCTTCCGAATGTAATACCTCACAAGAGCTTATAATTGATGTGCTCATTAGCACTTTTACGATATTACTATAGATAGATAATTAGAGAATCGTGCTATTAAGACACTGCTTTGGCGCATGCTGCGATATCGATTTTTCGAGCAGTGTCATCTTGGACGTCCATGTATCGCTAGATATATTTTTAATGGAATCCTTTCCAATCCGGTAGATAATTGAGATCTTATAAATGTTTCGATAATACTGATTACATCTGAGTGCGTATTTTTGAGTTCAAGTTCATGCGAATACTATAGTTTTTCTTTTCTTTTGGCTTTTTGAAACAACAAAAAAAGAAAGAAGCCCGAAAAAAATGATGATAACCCATGTCCATCTTCTTCATTCACTAATTCTTGAACGCACTTCTTTTTATTTCAACTCACAAAAGAAACTCGTTTGCTAGTAAACAGAAAATGCGTAGGACTACTGAAAATCGATGCACTCATAATTGATAAAAAGCAAAAACTAATCTACTCAATGATTCATATTGCTATTTTTGTACTCGTTCGCATCGTGTTGATTACTGATTCGTTTGGATTATTCCACCCCTGTAATTGAACTTTCTACTATGTACGAGTCATCAATAATTCGCATATTCAAAATGATAGTTTTTTTCTATTACATAATAATCGTAACAACACGCACTTTGATATATTTATTTGAGTTTCCTATATGAGACTCGCATGCATCATAGTCGGAAGAACACACTCAATGAATAATGTTCTACCATAAAGATTATAGCGGAACATTATTTGAAGAATAAAATACTAGAAACGAGCATTATTTCTTTGATCCTAGATGAAAGTGGCAGAAAAATCTTGTAGATACATCAATAATTTTCAAGGTCATTGATTACATTTGTTTTACGTAGGGGTTAATGGACTTGTAAGTAGTCTATAGATGTTACGTTAATAAAGTTTTCCGGATTGTTCAAGTCTCATCAAAGCTTATTTCTACTGTCTATCCTTTTTAAGTGATTCGTTGTATAAATACAATGTAATGATGTCATATTTATTAATATTGATCGATTTTAAAAATATTGCTTAGTGTTACAAGAAAAGAAAAGAAACAGAATTCTGGAGGGTGGGCAAATATTGAATATTTGATCGGATTCTATTGTTTTCTTCTTTTGGTTTTAAAAATCTAGAAAAATTAACAATGGCTCGTAGTAATAAATTGCAGTTGAATGGATTTGCTAAATGCAACCGGTTCTTGGATCATTGTTTTCTTTTTTGTCTAGTCTATTAACATAGCTTGAAGAGCGAACGTAAGTTCCGCAGGACATGAACTGATTTTAAAGGACATAATATATCTTAACATTTCCTTTTCTATTTCAGTCCTGTAGATTAGCTAGTGAAAAAAATATAAGTCAAAATACTTGTCCAAAAATATATGCATTTAGTAAGATTGAATTTAAAATATTGCAAAATATGAACGGAAAAAGCTCGAAGTGTAGTTACTAATCATATTCTTCATGTCAAAAATAACATCATCAATTGTGAATTTTAACATACGCTTGACTATTTTTTATATATAACTTTCGGTTACTTTTTGACAGCGTTTGTCGATCGTTTCTCATTAGATTGCTTCTTATACATCCTGTAGACAATAAACAGGACTGGTTTTTGCCTATATTTTGTTTTTGTTTCGTGTCTCATTTCCATACCACACTATTTTCACATCATTCTACTAGAAAGATGATTGACATAGATATATATGTGTAAACATTTATCTATAGCATTGTCATCAAAGGTCGAAATATTTTGAATTTTTAACGTTTTTATATTATTGTCGATAGGAGCAAAAAGAAAAGTTATATAATTCATGATCTATTTTCTCGTCGCATCACAAACAAGTCCCTTGACGCATTTCATCTTATCAAAAACAAATGAATTCAAGTTTCTACATCATCAGTCGGTTTATAGTCTGTACGCGATCGTAGGATGTAAGGTGGTATCTGTAAGAAAAACATAGATTTTACAAAGCGAAATTTTATCTTTTGGCATGTTTGAACATTGATAATAATTACAATTAAGAATTTATACATATATATATATATATATACACTCTGATTTTCACTATTTCACCATCAATAATAAAAATACTATGTTGTTTTTATACCATTCGGTGTAATAACAAAAAACAGCAACAACACCAACTGACAACAATATGATAAGAAAAATCTCATTTCATGCCAATCGATTTCATGTTGACAGTCGTACTTTCGCCACCATTAACCATACTGCCAATGTAGTATCTTGATGAATGTCTTCGCGACGATCGTCGATCATTTTGTGCCGGCCGTGGTTTACAACCATGCCGTAATGTATGCAAACGATTTTTGAATTCTTCTCGATAAATCCGCGATAGTAAACAATTCGTATAAAAACGTGTTGCTGATATCAAATACCATGAAAGATAAATTAGTATAATAACTAATTCGGCTGCATGTGATCGTTTAACAAATGCAGAATATTTTTCAAATATATACGCTATTTCCGTTACGATATGAACGAGAATAAATGGGACAACATTAATCGATATTAAAATAATCATTTGAGCGTCCATCCGTGAACGACGCCGACGATAATGTGCTGATCGATACGATGAAGTTATGAATTGCGAATGATTTGCATTGTTTGTCGTTGTTGTTGATGAATGCGAACTAACAAATGAATTTGATGTTCGACTTGTAGCCGTTGTTGACGTGCATTGACCGAGCGTTTCTAATTTAAGCGGCGTTGGCATATCGATCAGAGGTTGTTGTTGTTCTTGTTGTTGATTATGTGGAATTAATGTGCGAAAACGTTTTCTAAGATTGATCGTAATTAAGCATGTACGAAATATTGATACAAGTATAATTATAATTGGCACTGTCATATAAAGGGTTATATAAATAGCATGAATAAATATTTCACAAATAAGATTGTTTTGTTCACAATTATGATCAAAACATAAGAATGTATAAATTATATTTTGTGCAAGACTTAAAAGTAATGTCAATAAGCATAAATAAATAAATTTTTCTCGGGTACATAATGTTTGACTTTTTGTTGGCCATTCGACTTTGATCCAGCGATCAACAGAAATAAAAACAAATATCCAAGAAAATGCAAAATAAAGTTCATAATTAAAACTAAAATGAAACAAGTCAATCGTGTTTAGTTATGTGAATAAAGAAAAGTGAATCTATCTGTCTGTATCAAACATACATTGTTAAGAATCGACATAAATGAACAGATAACATATATACATTTATTTGATAAATGACATTAAGAAAATATTGTAAACTTGCAAATAAATTTAATATATCAACAAATGCCATTATAAGAAATAGAAATCCTGTGGAATGATGGCGGAGTTTTTTTGAACTAAACGTTAAGATCGATAGAAAACAACCGGTATAACCGAATACATAAATTAATATACAACAAAATGCAACAAGGAAACGCAAACCAGGAATGCGAACAGGTATAACTAGTGCTGATGTGGTCGTATTGTTTGTGCCGAAGTTCATGACGAGTAAACTTTTTTATGCAAGACAAGATTTGTGTGTCAAAAACAAAATGGAAAAGAAAAAAAGGAAACGGTTCTGAAAGAAGAAAAGCAATAGAGAGAACGAGAACGAGAAATATATATATATCTTTTCCTTGTTGTTATATATTTTTCTTGCATCTATTATCCTCATAATGATTGTAGATGATAGAACAAGCAGTTTATCACTTTTATTCTAATATAATTCCATAGCGTATTGTTAATACTTAGGTAGCATACGTTCTACATCTGTAGTGTATCCACACCCTTGATCGTAAAGTTACTTTTATTTTTGATCTATAGACAAGAAAATGATATACATGGACACGCGACTTGAATGTCAATAAACTCGGAAACGAATCACGCATCGCTGACGTCCTAAAGAGAAAACCTGTCTTATGCCAGTGGCATGTGTAAGTTTTGATCACTTAGTGTATTCAACGAACCAAGAAGAGCTGCATGCATCTATTTGCTTTTTTTTGTTCTAAAACACTCGGCTATGACATGTTACATTCTTATATATGTCTGTTTATATCATTCGCGCCGAATGACTCATGATTGCATATCATTAGAATATAAATTCATTGCACTAATTATATTCAGTCATCTATAATTCTTCGTAAAGTACCAAAATAAAAATGATTTCTTTTTGACTTTAATAGTTATTACCATAATATCAATGTTCTCTCTATATCCGACCTTTTTTTTTTCATTAAATATTCAACACAAGTGCTTCCCTAATTTCATTTTGTCTGCGGCAAAGTTATTATTAATAGCGCTAATCAGCACATATTAAAAAAACAAAACTAAGACTAAGAAATAACTGATTAAATAGCATTTTTACATTTTCTTTTTTCTTCACACTTTCGAAATTAGATTGTCTATTGAATGACAATTTAGATAAGTCGAAAAGGGTACTAACTGTAGCCAGTGTGAAATATGGAAAGCAGAATGTTTGCCTATCTATTTTATTATTATTGTTACTATCCTCGTCCACACATATGTGCCTTATTATTCTTATTATCAATAGTATGCAAAGTCAAAAAAAACAAGATATAAGAAAAATATGACGATAGGCGAAAATACAGATATAGTAATAAAATTCCTTAAAAATGATCCGTCTCCTATCGCAAGACTGGCTATACCATTAGTGTGCATTGTGTGTGAGTGATTGAAATAGAGTTATGTCGTGTTGAAGAAAGATTCACAGAAAGCATCGCTCTTTCTTTATGAAATCCTTCGGGCAATATGAATGTCTTTCTCTCCTCTTCATATTTTTAAATATATAGATCAACAGAAATGCCTTAAGAGCCAGGGAACTCATTTCATTTGCTATATTGACCATACAAAATCAAATTTTGTTTTTATTTTACAGAGAAAAAAAACACAGAAAATAGAAACAGATTGTGTTATTAATGTGTAGCACGATGTCGGAGTATTTCTATACTTGTGAATTTGAATGTTTGTTGGCATGTATCACAATGATAATCTTTTGTCGACGGGACAGGTGTTGTTGACGTACTTGCTACGGTTGTTAAGTTGCTTAATAAACTACTTTTGTTCGTTGTCGACTGTGCTGATTTGAAAATTGGATTTTCATTATTACATAAAGCTAGAAGTAAAGGGAAATGCAAGATTTGTTTTTCTTTTGTCTTCATTATAAATTTGACCCGACCCACAAACCCAATTGGCAGAATATAAGTATAAGCCTCGAAATAGGCTTTTGATGAAATTTGAATTTAGTATCAAAGAGAAAAAGTCTAGTCTCTTTGTTTAGCTGATTGTTGAATAGAAAAGTTAATTTGGATCTTTTGAAAAAGAAGCTATATATAGAAATATTCTGAACCCGTAAGAATCAACATAGACACAAACAAGAATCTTAAGAATTCTGGTTAGCCTTTGTAAGCTAATTAAGTCTATATAAGTCAAAAATATGCCACAATTGTTAAGATAACATATTTTGATCAGTATGTGTAACCTTAAACAGCAACAGAAAAGATGTACTCGACGTCTCGTAGCGATATGTTTCTTTTAATTACAATCTTTTTCCTGCAGATTGATTTTAAAATAATTAGCTCGGAGTAACTTATCACAATGCAGTTATTATCTTTTACTGATTATGCATTCAGTTAGTAATGTGAGAGGATATAGCTATGTGTCTACTCGTTCACTGTCATATTACAATGCTATCATATTTCTTCAGGCAGCCTACTTCTTTTTATGATGATAGATGCGTGTTATTAGCTGAAATAACAAACTGTCGTATCACAGTATCAATATATAATCATGCACACTAGATTTGTCTTTTAGAATTTTCTGCTATTAAAAGTTCACACATTCATTGGCAGTTGAAGATGAAAATTTTCTCTATTTAAAGGCATTTCAAAATAGAAAAGAATATCTAATTAGAACAAATGATTTCTTTGACAATGGAAATTTTCACACTTCTACTCTTAAGAACAGCCCGGTTATCGGCTTCAGAAAATACTTCAGCGTACTAGAGATGAAAGGTTAGAGGCGTTTCAGATATTGGTGGCTCAATTAACCCTTTCCAGCCGGATGTTGCCATATGGGAACATTGTCCCCTGTAGCGGTACGGCGTTTTTCATAAAACCGGTGGTAAAGGGTTAACCTAATCACACACTTACCTGATTTCTAACAAGAATATGATTTACACATAGATTTAACTTGTTAGTTAACCAATTTTATCCTGAAATATTTCTCTCGGCTCGGAAAATACTCACAACTTAGTTGACATTGATTTTCATGTGCTACACGCTCAGCAGGATTAACAAGAATATCTTCGTTGCAATACGGACACACCCAATGTATTTGCATTGTAGAACCTGCATATTCGGACCAAAATGATTCTTGATCATCATTAGAGCGTAAACTAAAATTAGCAAATGGAATAAATGTTCTAATGAAAATAGATCTCAAAATTCAAACCAATTATATGTTAAATATTCATTGATTTTAGTACTTTCTTTGCGAATAGTACTATCATCATCGTCTGCATTTTCGACGTTTTGTGGCCGATATATAGTATCTAATTCGGCTAAATAACACAGACGAAAAACAATTATTTTCAATAATAGAAAACTAAACAATTTTTACCCGATAAAACACGTCGAATAGCATAAACACATGAATTTTCAAGAAAATCAGCCATTTTCATTGATAGTAAATGTTGCAATTGATATGTACGCGGTTTAGACAGAAGCTCAACATCAATGGATTTATTTAAGTCTAAACAAAATAAGAATTTCGCTAAACATCAGGCACATTCCTTGTCTACCTTGCAATGTCATTTGAAGCAGTAGATCACGAGCATTACGTAAAAGTAATAATGATGATATAACACCTTGTGCTGTCTCAGCATTTTCAAATGTGACTTCCAGCCATTGATCACAAAGTATACGAGTAAAATCATTATTTGTTTCAATGGTCGATGCATAAAGAAATAGCGTTTGCATGGCAGGTGTACGCATGACATTCATAATATATGGTTTATTCGTTTCCAGTAATGTACTAAATTAAATTTATTCATGGGAAAATAGAGATAGAAAATTTATTCGATAGGTACTCTACTAATTTCGCACTAAACTCATGTTCATAGATCTTTCTTTTTGAAATCATAGAATAACATACGCATGCGTACTTTCAACAGGACTAATTAATTGTGACAAGGAGCTACGAGATATCTTCCCTGCGATTGAAAAATTGACGTAAATAGCATTATAGTGCGCATATACGTGAGATTTCACGTTTACTTCTTCTAAATTACAAACTGACATGCATGATAACTCAATAGAGAACATTTCTCACCGCTAGACAAAGCCCAATTTAATTGCTGACTTTTCGCTACGTTATTTACATTTTAATTATTAATAGAATAGCTATAGTTATTTTTCTGCCGTTTTTGTTCTGTCGATTTAAGAATGACTTACACGTAGACGAGAAGTTCATGTCGATTGCTAAATACTTGTTTTTTATTATTTGAACTAGTTGTTGTCTTGGCTGAAGTTGGAGGAAGTAGATTGTCGGGATCATAGGTGAAAACACAAGTCGGATGTAGAACAACGAATTGTTTAGTCTAAATATACACGATATATAATAGCGATGAAGAATGATTAGATTTTCTATACTTTTGTATGAAAAAATTGATCACAATCCCGTTTGTAATTATTAAATTCATCAGCAATTGCAACTTGTGGATAGAGGCCAGAACAAAGAATTAATTTCAACATGTTTATATCTTTCGATCGATAATTTTGACTATCCGTCGACATGTCTTTTAATGTCGATAGATCATTTATAAGTCGAAATTCAATATCGCGGATTTTGTCAGTTGTTTTCATGACTTCTTTTGTCAAATTATTTTCGCCATGATCATCATTCATTGTATTAGTTATCGATGAGTCCTATTGAAAATAGTTTTTATTAGAAAATTTTCTTTTTAATATGGACGCGAGTATAGATTGTTCTCCATGACTTCGTAGGCACATTAGGCAGCTCCGTATAGAGAATATTGCATGACAATTAATGTCTATGGGTGGATTGACGTACAAATAATGTCTTTTGGGAACGTCTGACATTATATATTTATCTGTTACTAGAGAAAAATGATTGTTATCTTCACTATTTTACTATTGCATAGAAGAAGTGTCTACATATATTTGCAGTTTCCCACATGATTTCTGTTGAATAGACTGTCGTCATATCTTATTGAACTCTTGATAGTTGGTTTTATTCTCTATTGAATACAATTGGCCTAAGCTCGATCCCTGCCGAGACTAATCAACAAGTCGAGAGATTATTCTTACTTCTAATTTAAGAAATTTTCTTTGTTTTGACTCCTTATCATGTTCTGATCTGAGATCTTTTAATTGTTGTTTTTTCTTCCAATGTTCACGTTTTTCAAGTGTTGTACGTCGTTTTACTTGTTGATAATCAATTTCTAAATTATAATCCTAAACAAACGAATTTTTTCATCAAGACAAAAAGACAATTCGTCAGTTCCTACTCGAAGGATATCTTGAAATTGCCGACGAAGTTTTGTTATATCATACAGACGTTGTTCTTCAACACCGCGTCGTTTACACCATGTACGAGTAACTTGTCCATCGGATTTGACCTATAATTTAAAATCAATATACTTAAGAAATCAATCAAATAATTTCTCTCGTCATACATAAATCCATTCATCAAAAACATTTAACAATGTAAACGGATCACCATGAGTCGACATCATTGGTCGACGACGTGTTATCGTTTCAGGATCACATTGTAGAAAACTAAGAAATGGTGATTGAATACTCAATGCTGATGCCATGATTAATATTGGATTGACATACTAAATAAATCAACGATCAACTTTTTAATTCTTTTATTTTCGTTTTTGCCTACTTGAAAAATACAAGCAAAAATCAACATTTTTCCTATGGAAACATCCACAGGTAATCGAGCAAGCATTGAACCAATAGGTGTCAATGAACAATCGATTGTGGATAAAGCTGCTTGCTCTTGAAGACGAAGTAAAGCACTATCAATCGCTGTCATGTCTGGCGCTTCAACAAATGGAAATCTATTTCGTAAAATAGAAGAAAATTCTATTTTATTTTTCGAAATTAATAATTTACTTTCTCGGATCTTTTAAACCCATGGAAATCATCTGTAATAAAAGTGAATCCAACGGTACACGACGAATCTCTGGCGTTGAATATTCTTGAAAAGTTATATAATCTTGCTCACTATACAAACGAAAACAGACGCCAGGCCCTGTACGTCCAGCACGACCTTTACGTTGTTCAGCACTAGCACGGCTGATGTTAAATTCTTGTAAACGTTGCATTTTATATTTTCCATCATAGGACATTTCTTTCACTTTTCCCGAATCAATAATAAAACGTACACCATCGATTGTAACTGATGTTTCAGCTATATTGGTTGATATAATACATTTGCGTACACCTTCAGGTGGCATATCAAATACCTAAATGATAAAAAATGGAACATTGAAAAAACGATTTCCATCGGGTTTGAATGTAGAGATCATTCAAATTGTCACACTAAAAATGAGTTCAGAAATATATACTTTATCTTGTTCTTCGAGCGAAAGTGCACTGTGTAATGGAAGAACAATCCAGCGTTGATTTTCTTGAGAATACGATTGAGCTGCTTCCATAACTCCTTGAATTTCAGCTAAACCGCTTAAAAAGATAAGCATATCACCACGATCGGTCGATGGATACTATCGCGAGAAAAATAGAAATTTTAAAGAAAAATTTTGTTAATTTACTTTATTATCAATTTGTTCCATAATACGTAAATATGGTTTTGCATCGATTTTCGACGTTTTTCCTGCTGATTCTTCAACTTTAATTGGAAGATAATTTACTTGAATTTTATACAAACGACCGGGCACCTAAATCGAATGGATGATCGATACATTTGTTTTTTGTCTCGCGATCTTACTTTCACAACAGGACAATTATCGAAATATTTTGAAAATAGCTCAATATTAATTGTTGCCGACATAAGAATAACTTTAAGATCTCGTCGTTGAGTTATCAGGCATTTAATAATACCCAAAATAAAATCAGTAAATAAATGACGTTCATGTACTTCGTCAATAACCAATATATCATAATCGGATAGAGATGAATCTGTTTGGAGTTGCCGTAAGAGAATACCTTGAGAAAAAAAAAAGAGAAAATTTTGATTTAGCAGTACAAAACAAAAAACTGATTTACCTTCTGTCATAAATATAATTCGAGTCGATTTTTCTCGAGTTTTTTCAAAACGAACCTAAATACGTTGATAAAATCTGTGTGATCACTCTTTGAGACAATTGAAAAAAGTCAAACGAATTTCTTACTTGATATCCAACTTGATTATCATATTCATTTAATGTTTCATAACTAACGCGCTTAGCCAACGAAATACACGCGATACGCCTTGGTTGTGTACATGCTATTTTATCAAAACCAGCTTCGAGCAAAAATCTTGGAATCTAAAACTCTAAAATATTGTTAGAACTTTTTGCTCAAATAGTACGATGTGAAAAATTCAACCTGTGTTGATTTACCACAGCCGGTATCACCGGCAATTAAAATAACTTGTTGAGTTTTTAATTCCTCTAAAATCTCCCGACGATGGTTGGCAATCGGAAGATTATTTTGATCTTGTCGAAGTTTATGAATACGTTTAAACTATTTCGACGAAGCAATACAATAGATTTCATTTATCAATGATTGGATAGAATAGTTACTTTTTCTTTTTGATTAAAATCAAAATAATATTCAATGATGGATTTAAATTCAGCTAATCGCGTTGGCGACAATCGATGATGATCAATAATTTTCTCACCAGTCATATCATAACGTGGAACATTCTGTATTGTTGATTTATTTATTGTGATGGAGAAATTCAAACGATATTTTTTCTCATAAACTATTGGTATATTTAATATATTCGATTGTTGCTGATCAGCATCTATAAAAATAAATGGAACATTTTCAAGCAATCGTTTTCTCTACGATTTATACCAGGTGATGTTGATTTAGGTGGTTGCTTTCGTCGTTGTTGAAATAATTGATATTTTTGTACAAATTTCCAAAAATCTTCAATACTTGTTGGAGAACTATAAAGATATATGAACACGATGTAGCTGCTATTATTAATCATGCAAAATAACGAGAATCGGAAAACATCTACACACACCTGAACACAACAGTATCAATTAGATATGTCTCAGTAAGATAATCACGTCGACTAAGCCAATCAAATAATGGATCTATAGCTGGTTCTTCAATAGGTTGTTCTATTGGTTTCGGTCGATGCTGTTTTCGATGTTCATCTTCATCTCGTTCATCGTCCGAATGATCTTTAGAAGTGCAAGACTATATTATTGGACAAATGATTACAAAAATACATACGACGATGCCGTTTATGCTTTTTTGTATGGCTCATAATATCAATAATCAATCGTTAAAATAAAAAATCTAAAACCATATTGATTTACGAGACTTATCTAAGAAATTTTGCTAGATACATTCTACTGTTAATCCAAAGCGAAACTGTTCCACTAAGTCCGATAGTAATAATATAGATTAATCTTTAATTAGAATGTATAAAATTAGTAAAACGCAAAAAAAGAGTTCGTTGTCAAAATCTTAATGAAATCGTCTTTCGCAATTAGTACAGAGCAAATAGCCATTCTCTTTCTTAATCAATAGATGGCGGGTGGAATAAAAATCATTGTTTCTAATATTATTCTTTTTTTAAACAGAAATACTTTTGGAAGACATTTTCAAACTATGACTTGTTGTTTTTAAGATAATCAATTTTTTATTTTATTTCTCTTTAAACAGAGATATGAACGAATCAAATAATAATAGATGAGGCGAATATTTGTAAATTCTATATTTGATTCATCTCACAACTTTTTTTGTCTGACAGATAGTGACCTGCGTGACCATGATTTTTGGTCACGGTCACTGTCGCGACTGGTTATGTGCAGGCCTATAGAACAATTATGGGTTCATAAAAACTGATCATCGACAATGAGGTGGGGGCAGTGCACAGCGGCGTAACCAGGCATGTCAAATGAGGAATAACTTATTTCATTTGAATCTTTGCTCATTGTAAGTTTTGTCCACTGAAGTTTTACTTTTTCAGAAGAGATTATATATTTTTAATTAAATAGTAAATGTATTTTTTCTTTCTTCGGAATGACACATGTGCTTTGAACTTGTTCTTTCTGTGAAGAATTCATGGAAGAACACAGGAGAACCAAATGGCAAGAGCATTCTTTTTTCTTTCATATGTTTTTAATAGTGGGTTATTGCTACTTTTTGGGGCAAGAAAGTTTTGATCTATCAATGAAAACCTTACCCATTTTGCCCATCGATCTAAGAATCCTGGTTACGCCACTGGTAATACTTGAATGGTCCTCCTACTCCTCCTCCTCCTCCTCAGGGTTTTCACTAAATCTCGCTCTCCACTTCGTGACCATGATCTTTTTCGCAAGTCACGGTCACGAAACAGATACAAAAAGGTGAGTTATGTGGCTGAATGTTTCTTGGATATTTAATTAATTGAATTCGGCATAGACGTTTTACAAGAGTTTGATAGATTACCTTACTTTAAATCGACATATGAAAAAACACGTAAAAAAGGACGTACTAGATAGAACGTACAGAAAAGCTGCACAGAAATGAACTTAAAGAAAAATAAGTAGAGAAAAAATCTTGCGATCACTTTATGATTTATTTAACAATTAGCTGTACTTTTGATTTCCTAAAGAAAAGGTTTGCTGTTTTTATACTAGCATTTCCCGAAGAAATCATCAAGCGGATGATATGAATTTGCAGCATCAACGATTTTATGACGAGTCTATTTTAACTTCGAATATAAATGAAGACCTGAACAACTGTCTTTATTAATTCAAAGTAACATTGAAATGGCGGGTCGTGCTAAATCAAACGTTGAAAAGTGATTGAGATACCATTCTCATGAACAAACAATATTATTGAGCGAATAACTCGAGTACACATGAGCCAATCGAGATCAGATTAGTGACTGCGATTAAGGTACACTGATTTCTATTTATGATGAAAATATGACTGAAATATTTGAGGTTTAGATAGCTTTCATCTGAGTACGAACCTCTGTGTTGTCTATTATTATAAAAGATCTTAATAAAAGTTTTGTAAACATAAAAAATTTATCAATGTAGTATGTTTAAAATCTGATGTAGCCTTACTTCAGCAAGATTCTCAATTGTGATGAAAGCAAAAGGAGTACTGAACAATTTTGTTTTATAACAGACATTGATTTTATTTGAACAATCAATTGACATGAGTGTGTACACGTTATTAATATTTATAAAGTCCTCGTTTCGAATATAGTTATTTTCGTTGTCGTTCGATCCATAAAGAGACACGATTTGACGAAATAAATCGATGAATATAAACAACACATGGAGGTTCAGTGATTCTAATGGTTTCATCAGTCGTTCTTAAGTCAGTCGACAGCTGTTTTTGTTGTTCAAAATCGAAGCACATACATGTCAATTGATGTTCCACCATGCGGCTAAGAATAAAATCAATCAATTGATCAATGTTGGTCCATGCTGACAAGATGTTTTTGCAACAAATGAATTGTAACTGAGGTAAACGATCTTCATCAATAAGAAATTGAAGAAGTGATGTCAGTAATTCTTCATTCATTTCTCTAGTAATAATGCACGAACAATTGACATACAGTCGATCAAGACGTTGTAGAAATGTATCAAAATATTGATTGTGAAGATCATTAATAAACCAATATCTCAATTCTGTCAAGTCACAAGTGAGACACTTTATATTAGGTAGAAGACGAAGCCATCCAACTAAACCTATGGTAAAAGGGAAAAATGCTAACCAGTTGTTTACAAGATACTATAAAAACAAAATATCAATTTTGTTTTTATTGCTTTTTATTTAGCATCAAATCGAGGTGTAACTATTTTAAATTATAGGTTTAAACTAAAAGTTAACTGTCAAAGTCATTTTTGATAAGTCTCTTCTCTAACAATCAGAACTGTTGAGTTGGCTAATACTCAAATAGGAAGATTATATCTATTCAGTCTTACAAGTTAAGACGAGTTTTATAGATTAATTTCATTATCATTTTCAAATAGGTTAGATTTAATGATTTTTGTCAAAAAAAACATATTTGGAAACATTCGTCACTGGCGTCTAGATTACAATCGTATTTTGTTTTTAATATCCGCCCCCTCTCATGCTACTCAAGTTCATCCAGCTTTATTGATCTTAGTCCTCTCTCTTGAACATCCAATAAAGAAAACATTTTCATAAAGAGTCTGCTTCTTCAAATAAAGACGATAGAAAAATCTTGAATTGGCCAAGACAAGTCTCGGATTCGAGATTGAACTTGTTGAATATTAAATGGAGAAAATATTTTACCAGCTGACGCGAATTAGTCTCCAAGTTCGAATTGCTACTGATGAACTATAAGAACAGCTTCAATGAAAAAAGGTTCATCACTAATCGGATTCACACACTTCATCCATCAAGTAATCAGAAACTTTGCTTTATTATCATTTATTAAAATAAAATTGACTCTAACATGGGCTACGAGGCAGTGATTAAGTTCTATCATAAATAATCTTCTCGATCTCACATTAAACTAGTTCCATCTCGGATATAAGACAAGCCTAAACCAATCCAAGATATCTTGCCATATATATTTCGCGTTTTTTTTTATTAAACACAGGATGCACCGAAAGTCCACCGAAAAAGTTAACGTTGATATCTCATACATAATTCAAGCTATCTGACTATTTTTCTTTACAATATAATAGTATGTACTTCGAAGTTTTGTTTCATATAATTCAGTTGAGAAACGTTCGTCAAAATGATTTCTAACAATTGAAATATCTGAATCCATCTTTTTCTAAATTTAATAGGAAAAAACCATCGAAGTTTTATTTTTCAATCGATTTAGTTCTCTTGTCGGTTCTCAATTTGAATTCAATCAGGAATTTTAATAAAAATTTAATATCGATTGATTTCGTAATCTCAACTTTGGTCAAAAGAAAAAACGTCGAAAGCAATAAAGTCGAACAGAAAAACTATACTAATGTTGAAAGATAAAAATGTCGAAAAATTAAAAAAAATGGTACTAATTTAAATAAGCAAAACCATCCTAGATGATAGTTTATGGAAGCCAGTCCCAGGTCGTTCAATCCCAGTATAGGAACCGATTGAAACCTATCCGATCCGACAAGGAAACCAACGAAATCCTATCGGATTCCGGGTTCAGGAATTGATGTTGGATCCTCAGGGTCGAATTTTAATAAGTTCCTGAATACAGAATCCTACAGGATCCTAATCTATTAAAGTTTCCAAATTCGACAATCCAATTACCGAGGAATTCCGACTGTATCCAAAGCACGGATGGACCCAAATTCCCATTGGGAAAATTCTCACGAAAGCCACATAGGATGCCATACTAGTTTCCTAAATATTCTATCGTATCCTTTAAAAATCCAACAATAGGATCCCAATACGGATCCAACCAACAAAAACCATTGGATTTCTCCAAGGACCTATCGAATCCAACAAAAATCTTCTACTATCCGACATTCAGATCCACTCATACGATGGTTATGATTATTTGCACATTCGGAGTTCAAAAGCGCTCATAAATCTCTGCCTAAATTCACGCTTTTCAGAGCATCCCATACAAAATTCGACACCAGTAAATATAAATCCGGCTGATTTTCACTCTTTATATCACCAACTTATACAGAGCTCACGAAAAGACAATTCTGCACTAGAAATGGTGCTGTTAACATTAAACACAGTTTGAAAAAGTATTATAAGGTTTTAAAGTAGTATCCTTTAAAACTGTAAATTTAATTAAAGTGGACAAACTTTTTATACCTTAATGGAATAGTGTATCATAGTCGTCGATCTACTCCAAAGGAGCGACGGCACATAACTTTAAACACTTTAACTTTAACTTTAATTTTTATACAGTGAAAGTGGACGATATTAAAGAAAGCGACAATAAAAACACAAACAAATTTATCAACTAAAATGATAGCATCTCCGGTATTTTCGCAAAAAGCGAATGCACAAACTTCTCCGAATTTTTATTACTGATTTCTTTAATTTAGTCAACTTTAACTGCTTCAAAAGTAAAGCTGAAGTTAAACTGTTCTGAAGTTGTGAGCTATAGCTCGTAATAAGTAGATAGAAAATGATGATACACTATTCTGTTAAGAAATAAAAATTAAATCCGCTTTAATTAAAGATAAAGTTTTACAGTGCACTAATTTAACATTAACATTTAAACTTAGAAATACTACTAAAACTTTAATTTCTAGAACAAAGTTAAAGTCCCAGCCCTATGCTGCACACAATCTTCTATCACAATCCTATCCTCACCTTCCGATAAGCGAAACCACTCTCACTAACATACATTACTCAAAACGCAAATCTAGCAACACTAATCTTCCAAAACTACCTCTTTCATCTACTTCTCCGTGTACCAAACCTCATTAAAGCGATTCTGATTCTCACCAATTCCGTGAACAACCCAGAACCTGCTACAGAAAAGCAACGCAATGAGATGAAATCATTCATGATTGCCTCAATTCACCAAATATACAGCACACCGAGCAGTTTCCCGTGTTGGCTTTCACAGACGACCAGTTCTATCGTAGACAAGAGTAAAGCCTACTTGCAACACTTCCCATCCCAATGAACCTCAATACTGCCATAAAACACCAATAAAACATAACACCCTATATCAGTCATTCTGAACAACAAACGTCAATTGTCACTTGCAAAAAAATGGCTAAATGAATTCAACAACGAATCGATCAAACTTGACCAAAGAACTTCTCTCAGCCACTTAGATTCATGTTGATTTTACATAAATACTTTAACGAATAACACAGAAGTATACCGAACGACAATCACCGATTCAACAGCCACCATTGCGCTCACTATTTTCGAAAAACAACTAAACCGAATACCCTCACCAAACAGCACATACTAAATCCCTAAGCAACGATCATTCAGAGTCCTCATAATTTTTTGATCACACTACCAATCCCACACCCTAAGAGACTGAAGATCATGAATATCTGTATTCCATCACTCTCCTGGTGATCATCATGGTACATTCTGTTATTCTTGCTCAGAGAGAATGATGACAACGATGATAATGATTATGACCATGGTGACAATGCTGGTGCTACACATTTGAGAATTACGGCTATAAAAATGATGACCATGATGATTATGATGGGTGTGGGTGTGGGTTCTACTCTCTTTACTATGCAGATCCACTGACCTACATCCAAACCCACACCCACACCCACACACTTAAAGGCTTGAAGAAGCCATGTGCGTGTCGCTCGTTACTAGCATCAGCGCATACTACGCAGCCATATATGAGTTACGTGTCTTAACAAAAGAACGAACCAAAACAGTATTTTTCCATGGCGCCCCATGGCATCAGATCACAGAAGAGAAGCTTCAGAAGATTGCTTTAACGTTGAATTAAAAAGACCCATCATTTTTCCGCGGGTGTAAGTGTGCGCAGTATAAGAGGAGTTCACTCACACCATTAACCAACTATTATAAGTCGGTGTTTCCTACTACTTTCCTTATATTTCATCATTTATTACAAATAAATATTCAAAAATTTCTCATGCTCATGCTGGAATCAGCCGTTTACACTTTAAATGAGTACTTTTAAGATTTGCTTCTATTTATTTTCTTTATCATCAGTAGACCGGTCTAACCGGTATATGAGTCAGTTCTCTTCGGGCTGACCTAATTAGGCCTGTTCCAGTCGTCATGAATCTAGACCAGTTCAATCTCGATCGTTCATCACTTCTGCAGTTCATAGAATCATGATAAAAACTCTGCTTTCTGTCATTATTTCCTCGGAAGAATATGACAATTCTGGCCAAACGTTGTCCTGACCATGTGTTCATATAATATTCGGTCATATATACTTTCGATGAGTAAATAAAGAGTAACCATGTTAAAACAGGTGGTACTCCCTGTAGTGATTCTATCAAGACCTTCACAATGAATTCTATCATTGAAATACCACATTCAAAATAATATTGTGTGGAAGGCCCCGTGTTAATGATAACAGTATAGGAAATGTAGCCGACGGCATATGGAATCGGTGGTATAAAAATGAATAAATGATTGTAAAATAGTTTAAGATATGTTTTTTATGAATGACCCATCCTCCGTTCCGTATTGACGTATACGGCGTGCAAAACTAATTAAAATTAACAAGGTTGCGAGTACATATATTGATAGGCCGGTGACAATGCTAAACCAAACTAAAAACAGCCGCGCAGTCTGTAAACCCGGTATATTACCAAAGTCACAATTGTACACCATCATTGGTATAGCAGAACCAGTAGCTATGACTGAGAAAACTGTAATGGTGCAAATCGATCGCCACCGAGTCGCATTTGTTTTACTATCCAAACATACGATTAAACCACGTTCGAATGCAATACACGCATTAAGCCATATACATCCATAGACAAGTGCATTGTAACCTATTTTACCGAAGTAACAACCGTAGCCAGGAAAATTGCTAAGATCGCTGTTCGGTACTTTATCTTGATAGTACCGAAGGCTTTCATCCACTAAAAATGAAATATTTGATAGAATTGATAGAATTGAATAAACGATTAAATAGATGCCACAGTTCGTACGACGAACTCGACTGCAGCCAATGAATAGTTCGAGACTGAGAATATTATTCAAAAGTGAGACAAATACTGCAACTATAGAGATGATTAAGTGGGCGTAATCTATATCAATATGTGACATTTCTCCAATCGAGAATTCACAAACGGATCCGTCATAGCAGGAAGCACATTCACAATAAGTCGTATTCGAAGTAATATCTACAGTACACTGTCCATTGTTAAGACAATTTAAGGTGTTGTTGTAGCATACAGGGTGTTCAGTTTATTTTGAAACGATTTTCGTGGACTTATTCTTCCACAGTAACTGATTCAGATCTCATGAATCTCATATTAATGTATCCCACAAGGATTGTACATTTTGCCCTAATAGGCAGATTTCGTATAGAGGGATGTTTTCTGATAAAATACTGGACTAATTTTGAAAAGGTTATTTTCAAGTTTTTTAAAATAAACATTTGCTATTTTTCCTCCATATTATCGCCTTTTGGCCTGAGACATATATCACAGGTACATCCACTATAGCTGCATCTATGCTAAAAGTTTCAGCAATAAAGAGTGAGAATTCATAGAGAAACCAGCAAGCGTTTCAAATATATAGCTGAAGCGAAACATATTGCAAGGTTTATCCTATTACCATTTCTGGTTTAATTTGAAGTCTGAAACAGTAGTTAGCGGCATTTTAGAACTACTTACACGTGAGAATATCTCAGGTATCTATGTCTATCATGTAAAGCGTTGAATTAAACCAGACATAGTAGCAGGATAAGCCTTGCAATATGTTTCACTTCAACTATATATTTGAAACATTTGCTGATTTCTCTATGAATTCTCGCTCTTTATTGCTGAAATTTTTAGCATAGATGCGGTAATAGTGGGTGTACCTGTGACATATGTCTCAGGTCAAAAGACGATAGTATGGAGAAATAATCGAAAAAGTTCATTTCTGGTGGTACCACCAAATATGCTTTGTCTCAAAAATATTAAAATGATCTTTTTAAATTATCCAGTGCTTTACCAGAAAACATTCTTCTATACAAAATCTAATTATTAGAGCAACATGTACAGTCGTTATAGGATACCTTGATATGAGATTCATGAGAGCCGAATCAGTTACTGAGGAAGAATAAGTCCACGAAAATCGTTTCAAAATAAACTGAACACCCTGTATATCGATCATGCTTTAAGCTACAAGAGTAAATACAAAGGAATAAATACAATAGCATGAATAAGAAAATGATGATCAAAGTATATAGTGATCTGGGCCTTTGTAGCTGTGAACTACAAACAGTTCGTCTGCTATTGATTTTATATTCTTATTAAATACATGAATATTGTATAAAAAAAATGAGCACAAAGTGTCGATACTATTTCTCCTGTAGCAGAAGTCACCAATCACACGCTATCTATTCAAAGTTAAACAATGATTTTTTGGAACAAAATATCTCTGCTGTTGTATCTTATTTATTTATTTACTTATTTCTCAACAAAACAACTTCATTTTTTATTACACACTTATTCAATCTTTTTCTTATTCTAAAAAAGCTCATATTTTCCATATTTATTTATTTATTTATTTATTTATTTATTTATTTATTACTCAAAAACAAGCTCTCACTTTTCTTAAATATTTATTTTTCATTCTAAACTACGTTTACTTTTCATAACTGTTACAGAGACAAGTTCTCTCTCTGTAAGCAATGAGACCAAAAAATAAATAAAACTGTTCCGTTACCAACCACCTTTTATTCTTAACACACTATATATATACGTACACACTCGTCCATCCACACAAAGAGAGAGAGAGAAAGAAGGAAGAAGAAAAAAAGATTGACCTAGATCGTATTAAATAGTCCAAGAAAGAAGAAAGAAGAAAGTAAAATAGGATATGTAATTATTAGAGTGCTCTCTAACAATAACCTAAAACAAAATTCTAAGAAATAAACTCTTTTTCATAAATTTATTAATAAAAATCTTATTTACTCACTTTAGATAATTTTTTGCCAATAACCTCAGAGAGACCAAGCACATTCTCTTATTTTAAAAAAATATTAAAAAAGGGTGCACACATTTTCTGTTTTTCTTAAACTCACTCCAAATTCAATCTATATTTTTCAACTAAAAAAAATATTAAAAAGCTCTGATACAATTTCAAAGCATAAAAACTAACAAAAAAAAACTAAAAGATATTAAAAGAAAACGCAAAAACAAACTTTATTTAATCATTAATTAATTAATTAATATCTAGTATTTATTCATTTGAGTTTCTACTTTTACCTCACACATATTGTTGATTCGTTTATTTATTCATCCATCACACCCACACCCACACCCATTGCTCGAGGCTACCGTATACCATTCCTCGAGAAACCTTTCAACATGCACTTTAGATCTGTGCGGCATTGTTTCAATGGCGTCATTAATCTTTTTTTTTAACGCTACTACGTCGGTCTGACATTGCAAAGCGCTAAGTGCGGTGTTACGCAAGGTTCTGCACACGGATATTATGGTCTTGCTGGTGACACGCTTGTCAGTCGAATCGAAATCAATCTGTTCGGGATCAGTCTCATCGTAATCAATCTGGAATTCAACCATGTACTTGAATCGATCAGGCCGATTCGGATTGTCCGTGTCGCCGTAGTAGAGCAACATTTGGAACTTGACTCTCGGGTTATATTTCTTCGGTATTCCCAGAACCCACATTTTGATGGATGCGTCGATTACTTTCCAAAGACCGTAGTTACTTCGCAATCCGCGATTGAGTATCATGTTTTGCGGGAAAAGGTTAATGTCTACCATTTTACCACCCACAGATGCACCGATAATATGACCACAGTCGTCGCCTTCCTTGCCTCTTCCTTGTATTATTCTGCGTAAAGTTGTCGCGATACTAGTTGTTTCTCCCTTTCCAATGTGTTCTTTAAATATTTTCGCTTTTAACCAAAGAGGCTTCAGCTTTTTATACCTGTCCCGAACTTCTCTTTTTTCTTCCTTGGTTTTGCACTCATCATGCACTTGTTGTGCTATCACCTCGATTATTGGATCGATATCGATGCCCCGATAATCCTCGCGTGTCACTCGAAAGCACTTGATCCCGTTGGTGTCAAGCTCCTCGTCGAGGTTTGTGGGCTCAGCCTTTTGCACCGTCGCATACTCACGATCAGAATTGGAGTCGATCTCTATTTCAAGTTCATTCATTTTCTTGACCAAATAACAAACGCTTGATTGTGTCCTAGAATATATTCATAACAGTGATTTATAGTAATCTATTTTGTGAAACACGAACTAAAAGGAGCGCTGAAGTAGATAGAGGTAGAAGGTCCCACGGACCGTGAAAGACAAAGTACATAGTATAATCGCAAAAAACTAATACACGCGTTGATGAATCTCTTCATTTAAAGTATACGTAAGAAGCTCCACTGTTTCACATCTTAATCCAACGAACATTCCGCTAACGTAAGAGGTTTTTTAAATGAATTGTACAACCGAGAAGTGTAAAACAAAAGTTTATATAGTGCGGTGGTGGCGCGATAAGTAATTACGCAATCTTTCATGATGTCAGTGACAGCATGCCACCGAGGACAGGGGTAGTTGAAAAAACAGATCGTTCTCTAGCAAAATTGACCTAAGTTTTGCAACTTTGCTTCGCTAGACTCATTTTGAAAACACTTCACAAAGTTCTTTAACACGAGTTTGTGTCTCCCGACCATTCATCTTCGATTACCAGCTGAATAATCAACAGTTTCCGGTAACGTTTCTCGAAAATGTTTTAAATCAAAAATACCTGATTGAAATAATATCTGTATGTTATCTCTGAAAAATAATGTTGTTGTCTCCTCTTTATTTGGGATGAGAGTGCAATCGTTTGGTGTTAAATATGCATCGTGTGATAAAAATTCCCAGTGATTAATGTGAAGGAACAATAAGGGCAACATGCGCCAAACAAGAGGAAGACGAATAAGAACGAGGAAAAGAATTGCAGCGTCATGATGACTCACGCGAAGATGCGTGTTCTAGGACGCAAACAGCGATAGAGACAAATCAATGATATTAAAGTATAAGAACGAAAAGAAAGTGTTCTCACTAAGTAGAATTACCACATCTTCCGCATTTTGCAGAAAGTTTCTACTATTTCGCTTTTTCCGCTGTTCCGCGTGTTCTTATAAAAGTTTGTTACACATTGGAAATACTGTGGGAAATAAAATCTATTATTATTGAATAAATCGTTATGAATTATCATGACTAGTGTGTCATCATTCTTATTCACTAATTCATATCAGTTTGATAGAAGAACAGTTAACATTTGTTTCTACGAAAGAGAGATTTCTGTCTCTTTTCTTACTACATAGTTTCGCACGTGATTGACACAAAGGACCTCAAACGCATAACAAAGTACATAGTATAGTATAATCGAAAAAACTAATACACGCGTTGATGAATCTCTTCATTTAAATTACATCAGAAGCTCCACTGTTTCACATTTTAATCCAACGAACATTCCGCTAAGAATTTTGTTTTTAGATTTCCTCTACTGAAGGGAGGGTCTTAACGTCGAAATTAGTTGTTACGTTCGGTCGGACAGAACAAAAAAATATTTCCTTGACCTCTTTGTAGGTACTAACCAAGAAAGTTTGACCGAAGGTAATTGGGGTCGGGGAACCAGATCCCGGTGTTGGTTTTTCGAAATTTTTCTTTTTGCATTTTTTAAGAGAAAGAAAGATTTTTACAAAAAAATATTAGTTTTCTTTATAACGGTTGACCGAAGCTTTTATAAATGTATCTGTTGAAAAATTGCTTATGTTTTCTAGGTATGCATGAGGTACAACAAAATTGACGTATCCTTCCAAACGATGGTATCATATACTATGACATATACATATGTACTCTGTGGTATTGGTTCGATCAAATGTCTCTGATTCGATGTAAGTTGTATATGTATGCAACTTTGATTTCAACACGTGAATCGTACAAATTTTATTAAAGATTATTAAAGTATATGATATTCAATTGAAGAAAAATCGAACAGACAATCACGGTAAATATTTTATAACTGTGGAATTAGTGTGAAAGTAATGTTATTGTTAAAAGTTTTGTTCTAGATAGTTAACGGAAAGCGTTTTTGCGGTGCTTTTTGCTATTCTGTCTAATCTCTTCAGCTCTTCGCGCTGAGCTGTTGATGGTTTCACTTGCAATGCTGCGAAATCAAAAGCTCGAGCGATTGGTAAATCGTTGTTACAGAGGCCCCGCTGTAACTTAAATTCAATTCACAACGTAGAAATACCCGTTTCTATTTTCGATTTCTAATCTGATCTGTTTTATTATTCCATTTTTTTCCCTATTTATACTGTACAACACATAAACACACAAGAGAGCGAGTGAGAGAGAGAGAAACAAAGGCAGAAAGAAGAAAAGACATTTGTTTCTTCGACTAGACTATTTTGTTATTAAAAGTACAAATGATATAATATAGTTATTCGAGTCAGTAAAAATCTGTGATTAAAATTAAATGGAATTTGCATGATTGATAGTTGCCTGAGAGCTCACTTAAAAGCTGAAGCAACAATAGATTATTCTGAACATACAAAAATTTCCACAAGTAGATAAATGCAGATACTTCAAATCTCAAATGCAAACAATGTTAAACGTCTTACCTCGAAATAGGTCCAAATCTTCTTTTACGACATCTTCTAAATATTTCAATAAATGATCACGAAAATCTTGATTTTGAATGTTTTCTTTCAACTGCGCTGGAGTGTATTCATGCTTGAGTCAAATAAGGAGATGTAAATGAAGCGATCCTCTGCTTTGACTCTCTACAGTGCCAAATATGCCTTTGTTGAACCAAGTACACCTCCGAGCACGAGGCATTTCAAAATATTCTTTATCAAACAGTTGAAAATTTTTGCGGTGGCCACAGGATGTGTTGCGATAATTTGAGCACGTTCATAACTTGTGCGCAATACTCCTGGCAGAATCCGATGAAGATCTAGATCAACACCTGCAAAATAGAGTGCTACTGGACTATGTATATCGGCCGGATTGATTGTTACGAAAAGGCTCGGGAGGCCGAGATTAAAACATAGTTAGTGAATTAATTTTTGTACGAAGAGCCGATCGTGAATGAGCTGAACCCATAACATGTCCGCCAACAACTTTAATGTGCTTCATAAGCGTATTAATTCTTTCGTCGGAAACCTTTGAATAAGACGCTTTGGATATATTCAACAGAGCTGTTGCTACATCTTCAGAATTTAATGTTTCAAGAATCTGTGCAGATTGTTGAAAATATGGTCTTGATGTCATTAGTTGGGCATGGAAGAATGCGGTACGGCGTTGTAAAATATTGAAGAGAACAAATATGAATGAGTAGTGCTCTTCAAAACGACGATCTCCGTACGAAAGAAGATATCGTACATGCTCACGAAAATTGATTTGAACTGGTCGAGAGCTGTCTGCAAGTGCACCACATCCATAAGGGAAAAGCGTGGGAAAGACACCCAATAAAAGATTTAGATTCGAATATTCATTGGCCGGTTTGTTACCACGAGGAATCATGCATACGGGATCTTGTTCGGTGATTTCCTCCGATTGAGTTCCGAGCGTTTTATCTGATACTCGTATCTTCATTTGTCCTAAAAGGTGCTCAACAACGTCATCAGACGAAACTGTAGTACCGTTAACATCTAAAACAGCACTAAAACACAAACAAGGGTACTTGAAAATATTAATATATCCATTTATTTTACCTAGCAGTTATTGGTGCCGCTGTTGTAGTGTTGGATTCAGATGCATTGACCAAAGGATCAGGAATGTAACTTGACCTTTCACTCTCAGCCGCTTCCGTATTGTTTGAAATTTCCATTGTTGCCCATAAGCACTCTGGCACATCGTCATCAGGTAATTTATCGATTGTTGACTGATTAATTGTAATATATCGATACAGTGGATTGTTTTGATTAAGCCATTGGAGTGCATCATAAATTTTCTTTTTTTCGAACAGTCAAAATATGTTTTAGTTGGCTTCTTTGTGGCATGCGAGATCCGACAAAAATAATCTTTAGAGAGTCACATGAATCGTCTAATTCCAATGGTAAAGTAGTAGCTATGTTAATAACATCTTGAGGAAAACTTATGCAGTTTCCTTTTAAAGCTGATTGAGCTGTACTGGTCGAATGAAAAGGGAGCTGCAATTTCACAATCCAACTGTTGTGTCGGTAAAGAGCAATAAGTCTCTGTTCAGGAATAGTTAGTCCTTGTAGTTGTTTTGGTATATCTCCCATCCATACTTTATTGGCAGCTGAAAATTTGGTTTTTTTTTCTTTCATCAATGCCGACCAGCACTCCGTGCAAACGTCACAATGAATCAAGAAACGTTTCTTTCTATCAACAGTTTTATATAATCCTGCTTCATAGAAAAACATACCATTTATACAAGTAAATGATTGATTATTCATTGCCGATTGGACATTCCTATCTAAAGTCAAACATAAATCTTATTAATGCTGTACGTTTAAGAAACGAAAAGACTAACCTGCATTTTTTTGGTTTTGAATCAAACTCAAATCAATATTGTCATTCTTGTCAAACTTATCGTTTGAATCAAAGTCGTTAATTTCTTGCATTTTCGGAATTATGTTGTTAAGGTCGGGATGTATCTTGAATAATTCAATCGGTGGAACTTTACTCAAAGGTATATGACGAAGGTCACGCTTATAGCGACAAACTTTACAGATGCCACAGACACTCTCCGCTAGAGAATCCATGGACATGTGCTGTATGAAGTTCTTCAAACAGTTAATTTTGCAGTCCATATCAACTGGTTTTGGCCAATCAACTTTGGCATCTTGATTTGGTTTTCTTCTCATTACTGTTTGCTTCTGCTTGACAGTTTTCTGAAGATGAGTTGTCTTGTAAGCTACAGTTTGTTGTTGCTTGGCTTCTTCTGGCGCACGGGCAGCTCTTCTGACGGCGCTTGAGGGTGTGGGTGTGAGGGTGAAGTACATGTATTTCACACTCACACTCACACCCTCAAGTTTATATTCTATGTTAACTCATTGATATTTACTGATAATAAATTGAATTTACCATCAACAGAAGATATTCAACACACATTCATTGACGTTCCAAATAATAAAATTATTTCTAACGTTAATTGTTTTCCAGAGGCACAATGAAGTTCAAATCGAAAATCACACGTAATTTATATTCTCTCCTTCTACACGGTGAGCCACTAATTCACACACCCAAGTATTCATGAAACTTGGAGAATACTTTTTTTAAAAGAAAATTTGAATTCCGCCCTACCCTAACAACGACCTGGTTTCGTCCACGGAGATCGGAAACGTCTTCATTCAGTAGAAGATCTCATTCAAACTGAAAAAGAGTAATTTTATCGAACTATGTACGGTACTTTCATTTTCCAAAGAAGCATATGGTTGTAGTTTTATGCTGCAAGGTTTTCAAGAGAAATTTCAAAACAAAAATTACAAGCTTTACATTTGAGTATTTACTACGCAAACATGAAAGAATCACAGCGAAGAGAACTTTACGTGCCAGTTATGAATGATAAATGTTCACGGTGGTGGATCATAGACAAGCATCAACACGAAATAAAATTATCTTCGAGTAGGATAACCCACGTTATCAAAGTCGAACTCTTGAATCCATGTTATAACTTTGTTGAGCAAATATTCGATCAATGAAGGTTTTCAAATAACATCAATCCAATATAAATCAATGAAATACACAATAAAATAATGTTTCGTATTAACAAAGTTATTTTTTGACCTGCATCAGCCTTCAGTTCATTATGTAAGATGTGCTTCACATTTCTTCATAGATATTCGTCCGTAATGACACTATTATTGATCCAATTCACACTATTAGTATACCTAGGAATTAGAGTAACAAGATAGTTATGTGAAATTGTTGAAAAGAGTAAAACACAACATGAACTACGGAGTGGTGATTCTCAGACTATTTCAATAAGAGCGTGGTCAATAAATACGAGAAAAAGCAATTTTGAACATTCTGAGAGCGAGTATACAATAGGTATAACAAGAAGCATCATGAATCGAGTAATATTCAATGGATTGCATACAGAAAAAAAAGTACTTGGAATGTTGGAAACCGTTCCTATCTTACTATAAAATGTTTCTTTTTTTTTATCATAGTGATTCGGGTTTGTTGATTTGTACAAACCTATTATTGACAAAATAAACAAATAAAAGTTTGAATCTATTAGCATAGCGAGGAAAATCGACAATTTCTCCTGAAATGATCATTAACTATATATAATTATATTAATTCATAAATGATATTTGCAGTCCAGTCCCATTCATAACCGCCAGCGTCATTTTTTGGTATTCTACAAAATAGAAACTTTATTTTTTCTGTTACTATTTTCGATATTCAATGACATACGAAGTAAAATCATTTTCATCATTAACTTTGTACTTCAGACCAGTGCTATATAGAAATATTGCCCGAAAGTAATCGCTCTGACGAATATTACCTGGTCGTACCATCAAAGTATACCAAGCCTGTTTGCTTTCATCAAAGAGTCTAACACTGTTCATATTTAAGTACTAATTTGAAAAAAAAACAATATCAATTGAGGAAGCAAAGATAATTTCATGATTTGACATGTCGAGTGTTCAACCAATTTATCAATCGAATTTGCTGTAGTTTGCATTATATGATAAAAGATGTGAAGCGTTTTCTACGGCCATGCTCGATTTCACCACGAAGTTATTTTATGAATCAATGCTCTTTGTTTAAATGCACCAACGAAAGTAGACGCATCTCATATCATCTTTTATCAGATGGCTATGGTGATTGTTTAAATGACGAAGATGAGAATGAAATAAATGTGTGTTCAGTTAATCTTTCCTATCGATATAAATGTGAGCATGGAACACGATATATTCATCAAACACTTATCGATGATGGAATTGTAAGTTTTTTTTAAATCGTTTTAGTAGATGATAGTGTAACTAGAAATTTGTATGTAATACTAGATGCATTATTCGGATGGAAGTGATGAAAGTCGAGCGCATCGTACATCGTGCTTACAGATAGCTTCGGACGAATGTTGAACTTATCGACATGAGTCAATTCGTTTTAATATGACATTCAATCAAGTTTGCAATGGCATTGTTGAATTACTACTTGATAAGAATCACAACACAGATGAGACAAAATGTATGATGAAGGAATAATTTAGATGGACGTGACGAACCCGGTTGCTTTTCAAATGCTCTTTCACCGATTCACTGTAATCAAAGTGCACATTTTTGCTTAAATATTGACAATGGTTTTCAATCATGCTTACCTCGATCAAAAACTAACGATGGTACTATTGATTGCGTAGGATCAACTGACGAAAGATTGTTCTGTATGATGAAATATCCATACGATCACGCACGTCGATATCGATGCCGCAATTCTAATCAATGTATTTCGCCTATTCAAGTGTGTAGTTGTCATCAAGATTGTCCAGAAAACGATGATGAAACAATTGCATGCATAGGGTTGAATAATGGACAAGAATCATTTTGGGATGAAAATACTTTTCGATGTCGAGATGGGAATATTTTCACGTTTGTCGTAGGAGAGCATCGCTGTGCTGCGAACTACTTCTACTGTCGTGGTGAAGAAGACAATATAGTTTGTGAACTATTCGATTTTGTGCCAGATAAATCATTTACCTTATCCGAAATAGAAGAATATTCGAATGTGAAAAACAAAAGATCAATTTTACTGCTTTTTATTGCAATAGAGGACTGCATGTTCATTCAACAGATAATCCACCTAGTTTCTTTCGTTTTTGTCCAGATTATTACTATGATGATCGTTGTCAATTTCAACGTAAACGACTGACTGCTGTTCTTTCATTGCAACTGACAAGTTCGTTTGATCGATTACATTCAATATTCATATGTTCACGGTGCAAACATTGGAACATCGTTCTTCGTGGCAATTTATTGTTCCATTTGACTTCTTACTTCTGACACTGTCACTATGATTGAATCAGCATTGGTTGCCACCCATAGGAATAGTTGTATTTCGTGTGCTGATGTTGCTCAATGTCTCTGATTTGATACCAGTCTCGGTCGAGATATTTGCGTTTGTCCTTCAAATTTTACTGGTAGTCGATGCCTAATTAAGTTCGATCCATGCACTGAACACTATTACAATGGCCATGGGCAGTGTGTACCGATCGATATACGTCTTCACGAGCAGCACGGATTCATATATCGTTTTCTAGTAAGATCATTATTCCATTCTCAAGAATTGCATTCGTTCATGTATTCAACCTAGCTGAGAATCATGAGTCGATTCATTTTACTTATTTTCATCGTCCACAATCCGGAAAACCTAAATTTACGCAATATTTAGATGAAATCGAATATCTTCACAATCTTGCTTTCATCCAATTATATGAAGATCGTGTTCAATCTCATTATTATCTACTATTGCTACTTAAAAATTCGTCTTCCCCGTTGCGAGAGATCACTAGTGAAGTTCGCCTATCAAATCTTTGCCGACCGATTCGTGAATTACTCAATTCTACGGTATTGACTCAGCCACCGTTACGTCGTATTAAAAACTATCAACAACCATGCCTAAAACCGATTGTTGGCGAGCCACTAAAATGTTTTTATGATGATAAAATAATGTATTTTTGTGATCAAACTCATCATTCCGAATGTTTCAATTTTGAAATGGCAACATTTGGATGTTCATCAAACAAATGCCACAGCCGTGAAATATGCGTACAGAACCATGATGTATGCCCAACAAATTCGATGTGTCTTTGTGAACCGTGTAGTTATGGATATATTTGTCAATTCTCAGCAGTTGGCTATACTCTATCATTCAATGCTATCATTGATCCACATATGCGTTCAATAAACAACAGTGATTCAGGTTACTTTTGCTATTATTACTATTGTTGTCATAGTCGGTATTATTCTCAGCATTTTTGAAATAGTTACATTTTCTCAAAAAAAGACCCATACAGTGGGCTCCGGTTTCTACTTGTTGATATCGTCCATATTTGGCCCCGAACTATGTTCATGCTCATGTGTACATTCATTTTTTTGATTAGTATTGAACAGCAAAATTTTAGCTGTTCGCTTATCGAATTTTTACTCAAATGGTCATCGACAACTTGCGAACGGCTCAATGCATGTGTAAGCATTGAACGTGCGCCAACTGTCATCTATCAAACTCATTTTTCTCTTTCAAAAAGTAAACATCAAGCCAAATGTATTGTTACCGGTGTGATCTTATTTACTACTTTCGTTTATTCAACAGAATTAATATTTCGTCGAACGGTGATTGATAAAGAAAATCAACGGACATGGTGTGTTCTCACTCTGAATTCTGACCGAAGAATACTTTCCATATTTTATTCGGCATCGAATATTATGTTGTTGGTTTCACCATTGGTGATCAACTTGGCAAGTAGTAGTAGTATTATTCTAGGCACACTTCAATCAAAACAATATTTAATGGGCAAACACTAACAACAATATTAAAAGCAATCAAGTAACACGCACGAATTTAGTAATTAAATACCATTTCGAAAATGCCATCGAATGTTGTCAAACAGCATATACTAATAGCACCAATTGTTCTTGGCATTTTTGCTAAAGTTCGTCTTGCTCTGACTTTTATTTTTGTATGTACCAAGCTTAGTCGACATCCATTTCTGAGTCTATTCGGCTATCTGATCGGATTTTTACCATCAATGTCTGTATTCTTTGCATTTAGTCTACTGGATGAAGCTTATCGAAGCGAGTTTTTTTGTTGTAATCGTAAAACGCATTGTACCACACTGCATTCAAAATTGTTTTAATCGTTGTCACTATCGAGTTTATTTTCTCTTGCGTGAGTATCTCATTATTTCTATCATGTTTGCTTTAATCATTGAACAACTTCTCTTTTCTTGCTTACATAAAATGTCTAATTCGAGTCAATGATGAACATAATCAAAAGAAACACATTACCGTCAACATGATACTCGCTGATTTCTATGAATTTCTACGTATGTTCATGCTCACTCGCAAGAGATATTATATTTCAAATGGCTTTCGAAAAACTTCAATTGAATTAAGAATCTAAATGAATTCCAATTGCATCGATCATATCGGATTCACGACTAATATAATAAAGAAAAATACAAATATTATCAGTATCTACCACGTAGACACGTGATATATAAAGTAAAACTTCAGCATTTAATTTCAATCGTATGAATACGTAAGTTCTAGATTACGCATCTCGTAAGAATTCAACAAACCTAAATATGTGTGAATGAACTTGAATGAATTTAAAACACAAGAAAATCAAATGAGAAGTGCCCGAATGAAAACAACTCTGTGAGGAATTCCTAATCAAATTTCAAGTGATTGATATGTAATCATATAAATTAGAACGCAAACAATAAAAAGACATTTCCATTATTTTCATCAAAGAGAGAAAAAGAAACAAGTGATTTTATGAGCTATAGAGTCGGTGGTCGTTTCGTTTATTTGATTGAGAAGACAATGTCCCATTTCTTTTTCTAAATTAACGATACCCGACCAATTAGCCAAATGAATGGTATCCATATAAGTACCCGTGTTCATGTGTCACAACATAACATTTATGGAAATAAACATGGAAGATTCATTTATTCAATTGAATGATTTACCTGATGAAATGCTGATGATGATTTTTAAAAAACTGTCCAATGTAGAAGTACTTGATTCTTTAATCGATGTTAATAAACGATTGGCTCAAATTGCATCTGATTCTACGTTTACAAATTATTTACCTTTAATAAAATCTATGTCCAACGGTCATATTTATCCATTAGATGATTCAATACTTGATCGATTTTGTTTACAAATTCTACCTGAAATTCATCAAAAAATCAAATGGCTTGATCTTGAATCAACTTCAATGGAGCGTGTTCTTCTTAATACAAACTATCCTAATCTAGCTGGACTTAGTTTATATAATATTCATGAAGAAACACTTACACATCTTCTTACTGGTAAGATTTTTGAAATATATACTCTTGACATAAGTTAAAATTCTTTTTTTTTAACTGTTCAGATGAAATTCGCTTCACTCGCGATTTCAAAAATCAAATTCTATCACTTATTATCGATATTAATACAAACGAAGAAGAAGATGTGTTAGAGAATACCATTCCAATTATATTTTCATATATTTTTAAAGCATTTACAAATTTACAACATTTTAAATTTGGTTCATCGTCAAGTTCTTGTCCACGATTATCATTTTATAATACATGTCCATTTCTTAATTCATCAAATTTATTAGAATTACATGTCAACTTAGAAACTTTTAATGATTGTCTTTATTTGTGTGATGGCCGTTTCAATCAACTTCATATCCTTGATGTTAATATTTTACGAATTCAATCTTCGAATTTAATACTTAATAATACGGTAAATTAGTTTTTAATCACAAATTTATTTTTATTTTTCTATTCTAGGAAAGTTTGCCTGTATTAAAATGTTTTTCGCTTTCCTGTCGTAATCATACATTTGAATATGATGAATTAATTTTGCCATTGTTACATCGGATGTGTAATTTAGAAAAACTCCATCTATATCTTTTTGTTTGTGGAAGAGAAACATTTATTGACGGTAATGAAATGAAATTCAATATTGCCAATCATTTGAACCATTTAAATACATTTACATTTAATATTTATTCGTTTATTGATTTTAATTCTGAAATTAATTTGTTACCATCAAATGAACATATTCGAAGGTCATTTGAAAATTTTCAATTTAATCAAATTAGTTCGTTTGTTGATTATTTTCCAAAATCTGAACTAGGCCAATGTCATATCTATTCACATCCATATACATTGGAACATTTCGATACAATAACAAATAATTTTTCGGGCGGAATATTTCAATTTGTTCGTAAAATATTATTATTTGATGAACGACCTTTTGAACATGAATTTTTCCTTCAAATTTCTCAATCATTTCCAGTTTTACAAAAATTATCTGTGGTCAATCGAACGCGACAAAACAATAAATTACTTCGACGATCAAAAGCTGTCAGTCGAAATTTATTGATCATAGAATTTCCTCATCTTACTGAACTTGATCTTGCCGCTGCGCACCTTGATTATGTTAAACAATTTTTATTTGATACTAAAACATGTCTACCAAATGATGTTCGTTTTTTAGTCTATTCTAGACTACTGAGAAAAGCAACACGAAATTTTACAAGAAATACAACAAAACAAAATTGTTCCAAAGTCAATCTTATATTATTTTATAAAATATAACATTTAAATGTTTATTTATTTTTTTCATACTTATATGTATATTCTAACTAGTTTTTATTTATTTATTCTTTAAAATAAAATAAACTAAAAATTAATTATTTTTTGTTTTTTTCTATTTTACAAAATTGTAATCTCCTCCAATTCACATCGAGCTCATAATTATTCTATTAACAAAGAAAATACTTTTGAACATTCCATACTAATGAAACATAGAAATAGATTTGATATAGCAAGAATATTGATTGCTATTTTTTCACGTGTATAAATAAGGCATGTATCGATAGTTATAGAAATAGAATTAGTTTCATTTTGTGAATGTGGTAGAATTAGAGATGGTAGTATGAAAGACTTGTTCTGATAGGCGATACTATAGATAATACAAAGAATAAATGATGTTATTGAAAGTATACATTTAATTATGATATAGAAACAATAGAGTTCAGGTGAAGACTTCCGAATAGATTCAGTTAAGAGTAGTAATGATAAAATCGCGAGACAAAAAATATATAAACTCATTTGAGATAGACTAAACGGTAAATATTGTTTAATAGGTAATTCACATACTGGAATTGCTGTTGAATGCGAATCAGAAATTTGTGTAAAACTTAAATAAATCTGTTTAAATAGATCCATTTCAACTAAAATAGCATAATGTAGAAGAAAATCTAATAATCCAAGTAGATACATAAAATTTTTAATTATTTGGATTCGACGAGATTTATTGAATTTAAATGTTCTATTCAATACATGATCGGAAGATAGTTTTTGTTCCATCATTAAAATTGAACAACTTTTCTTGTTTAACATCAATATTAAAATAATCACAAAACAAATAGAGACTATCGAGAGAAAAAATAATTGAAGAATAAACTCCATAGTAATTATATGGCGCATTGTTCAAATACAGCAAAGTAAACAAAAAGCCGGCGTATATGAGTATTCGATCTTCAATAATAAGACTATAGCGAGACGTTTGACTAATAGCAATTTTACGGCAGGAACTTAAAATTAGTTTTGTTCAGAAACTCTCACAACATACGCCAATTTTTCTCTGAAATCTTACCTATGTATTCAAGGTAAGCACAGGACAAAATATAGATATGGGTTGCATGAATTTCGGCCCACGGAATTTTCGGGCCGGAATTTCGAATCAATTTTAGATAAATTCATCGAACCCTGCAAAAAAAATTGTTTTGAAATGTTATCTGTGTTTCACAGGAAAGAAAGAAAAATCGTTTGGCAGTATCACGTGATAAGAAGTGATTTGCCCTCTATCTCTTAATGTGTTCATTCTATGTTTACACCCTAGTCAACTCTCCCTAGAAGAGAATTCCCAGGGACTCACGACAGGGACTCCCCAAGGATTTCGTTATTTTGCGGGGACTCCCTGGGAAGTCGTCGGGGGAGAGTGGATTAGGGTATGAATATGTTTTCATACATTTTTCCAAAAAATTCTGCAACGTACCTCTTTCTCTTTTATATCATTAATGCCCCCGATATCATAAATATTTGAATATTCTAATGAACCAAATGCAGATTTAAATTATGAATACGGATGTTTTTCTTTTGAATTTCACTTAGAAACACTATGATGAGCCTCAATAATAAAAAGCAAGATCAAATCGTGAACATTTGGAAGTAACTAGAAATCTAATAGAAATTTAAATTTCAAGCGTTTCGATTATTTAATCGTCAACTAAATATTAAAACTATAAAATCTTCGCTTTTTCTTTCACACACCCCTACCAGCCACCCGTGCTCCTTTACATCATTGATAATGTCGGTATCATAAATATTTGATTATTCACATGAACTCTATATACGTTCGCATTGTGAATACAAAATGTTTCGTTTGAATTTTGGTGGGTGTGGATTCCAACGATGAAAAACGAAGTCACAACTAGTTTCTACTTTTCTCAAACCTCTCAGCAGGTAATTTTAGCTCTGTATTATTTGAGATAACTAAATTTGAAGTAAGCAGAGAGTATTCTTTTTTTCTCAGAAACTTAATTGCGTAACGTCGAACGCGATACGTAGATGTAGGGAATATAGAGGTATTAAAAAGATTTGACACATACCATATACGTCGCCGCACACACATCGAGAGCGACATGGTCTCGGCGCTTTTCTGCACCTGCATTAAGGGATATACAGCTTTTAAGATGGATTGAATGGATGAATGGGTGAGTCAACAACAGATGATGCGACAATCCGTAAAAATTTCAACATGTTTGACGAGAGATTTCGAAAAACAAGGAGGGCTTAATCATTGCTCTTATAACTTCTTCGAAGGATTGTCCAATCATGTATCCCACTTTCTTCGTCAGAGTTTTTTCTTAGCATCTACATTCTCGAGATTTAGTTACATCGATGTGCAATTAAGATTTCACACATATCTGATGAAAACAATATAGAATGTACTAGGGATGCGTTCCAAGACGCTGGAAAATTTTAAGATTTAATACACCCGCACCCACATCCCGTCCGTCCTCTACACCCATTCATCGGTTGTTTCATGCAGCGCACCTATTCCTTCACAACACAAAAATAAATACTTTTTGAGATTTCTTTCAGAGAAAATTCAGCTTCCGAGCGATTACATCTGATTGTCAATACTTGTCATTCATTGCCAACGAATAAGAAAAATTGTTTCTAGTTGCATTTTCCTTCTTCTCACAACAGCAACACAATCCCTTCTCTGCTCCTACGGACAGAACCAGTGCGGAACAACTACTTGTTATTCCAACTCTTAATATTTTATAACAACACAATTGTTTGCAACAACAACGAATTGGTATGTAATGTGATTATATAATAGTCCATGGTACTATCCATTGGGTCCTAATTGTTTCAACCCATCCGCACTAAATTGTTTTAACAACTCGCTTTGTCCATCGTATGCTTCATGTGGAACACAATGCTTACAATCTAATCAGGGGTGTTCGAACAATCTAACCATCTGTTCCGGCTTCAACTATTGGAATACCAATTTACAGGTTTGTGGCAGTCAACAACAGTGCTACGACAAGACAACTAATGTCTGTATCAATGGAACTATTCGATGTCTCAATTCCTGCAATGGTATCTGTTATTCGAATTCTCAATATTGTTATAACAATGCGATTGTTTGCAATAACAACGAATTAATATGTAATGTGATATATAATACTGTGTGGTATGCCCCATTGGGTCCTAATTGTTATAACCCATCTCAACTCAATTGTTTCAGTAATTTGCTTTGCCCTTCGTATTTGTCGTGTGGAACACAATGTATATCGTGGCAGGAAGGTTGTGCTAACAATCGAACAATCTGCCCTAGGTTCTACTATTCGAATACCAATTTACAAGTTTGGAGTCCCCAACAACTGTGTTACGACAGTACAACGAATGCTTGTGCCAATGGAACAGCGATCTGTTCGTTATCGTATACGCGGTTGTGTGGACTTAAGTTCTGGAACCCCGATGGTCAATATTGTATAAATAACAGTCTTCAGTGCATCAATTCGTGTGGTGGTATATGCTACTCCAACTCTCAATATTGTTATAATAATGCCATTATTTGCAATAACGGTCAATCAGTTTGTGATGTGACGTATAATCCTTGGCAATATTATCCATTCGGTCTTAACTGCTACAACTCATCAAACCTCAACTGTTTGAGTAATTCTCTTTGTCCCTCGTATTCTTCATGCGGAACAAAATGCTTGACTTCTAATGAAGGTTGTGCGAACAATCAAACAGTCTGCCCTGGTTTCTACTATTGGAATGCTAACTTACAAGTCTGTGGCACTCAACAACGGTGCTAAGACAATACAGTGAATAGCTGTGCGAATGGAACTACCATTTGTCCCTTATCGTACCCACAATTATGCGGAACGAATTGCTGGAATCCAACTACTCAATATTGCACGAATGGTACCACACGATGCATGAATTCCTGTAATGGTATGTGCTACTCGAATTCTTAATATTGTTATAACAACACGACTGTCTGCGACAATGGTGAATTGATATGTAATGTGATATATAATAGCCCATGGTACTATCCATTGGGTCCTAATTGTTACGACCCATCCGAATATAGTTGTTTTAACAACTCGCTTTGCCCATCGTATTATTCATGTGGAACCCAATGTTTACAATATAATCAAGGTTGTGCTAACAATCGAACAATCTGTCCGGGCTTCTACTATTGAAATACCAACTTGCAACTTTGTGGTACTCAGCAGCAGTGCTACGACAATACAATTAATGCTTGTGCCAACGGAACTACGATCTGCCCGTTATCGTATACGCAATTATGCGGAACAAATTGCTGGAATCCAACCACTCAATATTGCGCCAATGGTAGTGTTCGGTGTATCAATTCGTGTAATGGCATTTGTTATTCTAATTCTCAATATTGCTATAACAGCACAACTATTTGCAACAACGGCGAATCAGTTTGCAATGTAACATATACTTCCTCGACGTACTATCCGTGTGGTCCCAGATGTTATAACGCATCACAACTCAAATGTTTGAATAACTCACTTTGTCCACCGAATGCTTCGTGTGCATCCCAATGCTTACAATATAATCAAGGTTGTGCAAACAATCGAACAATATGTTCTGGTTTTTACTATTGGAATATCAATTTACAAGTTTGTGGTGCTCAGCAGTGCTATGATCCTACAAACACTGTGTGTTTGGGTAATAACGGAACTGTGTGCCCAATTGGAAGTCAACTTTGTTCAGGGTCATGTTATTTTGCACAGTGGGAGTATTGTGTCGGTGGCAACAATACTTTATACTGTCTAAATAATCCGTCGTCGTTGAACTGCTCTCATTGCTCCAGTACACTAGGTAGTTCGACTGCTGGCCCTAGCGGTGTTACAACTACGGTTTCTACCACTCGAATAAATGGTACCTCTACGACAAGCGGAACAACGTCTACGGTTGCTTCGGGCTCTTGCTGTGCAATCAGAAATTGCACAACGGATTCGGGTTGTTGTCAACCAATGCTACTTGAATGCCAATGTTATCGTTTGAATCAAACTGACGCATTTGGTTCATGCGTCAGTCCGAATTCCACTTCGGTATCCGGGAACACTTGCCCTGTTCAGGGTCGATGTATACTAAATTCTGACTGTTGTAAATGCGAATGTGCTACTGTAAGTTACATTGATTCAAGTGGGAATCAGCTTGCAAAGAAACAGTGCATACCACGCTAGATTTACAATAAGATTGAAATTGGTGTCGTTGCTTATTTTAGAATCTACTAATCTTGAATTTCTCTACTAAGCCTACCTACTTGTAAACGGGATTCCTGTTAACAGCGTTTAATAAACAAATATCTATCTGAGCAAGTAATTAAACATTCATGAATATCTTCTAAGTTATCATTGAGCACAAAGCTTTTAATTGCATGCATGAATAATATAAAGAAAGAAATTTGGTTCATATATGGATGTCAATGCTTGTCAATCTGATGGAGTTAGTCCTCTTGAGTTCTTGTGAGACCCACACACGCGCCCTCAAGATATATTGAATTTGAGCGTTCTATTCAATACATAATCGGACGATATTTTTCGTTCCATCATTAGAATTGAACAACTTTTCTTGTTTAACATCAATATTAAAATAATCACAAAACAAATAGAGACTATCGAGAGAAAAAAAATAATCGAAGAATAAACTCTAAAGTAATTATATGGCGCATCGTAGAAATACAACAAAATAAGCAATTCACTGATGCAAGACATTTCGAAAGTGTTACTAAACACTTGCGAATAAAATATTTTTTTATTTAAAAACTGGAAAATATCTATTTTATTAAAACAAATCTCACCCAAACTAGAAAGATTCCTTTAAGATAAAATGCGTCTATAATAAAGAAAAAAGAACGAAGAAAACACGGAGTTGAATCTTGATTACGTTCCTATATACTATTAAAAATCTATCAAGAACAAAAAAGAACCAAAAGATAAAATTGAAATCAATAAAAATCGAATGATTAAAAAATATCATTTCCATTGAGTTGATGTTTTAATGCTATATCTTCATCGCTATCAGTCATACCATTCATATCATCACATGCCAATGGTCTTGATTTTCGGCATGGCCTAAAAATTCAAAAGAATAATATGTTTTTCTGCAGTTTAGTAAAATAAAATCTACAAAGTTAAGCCCATTCGATCGATATCATAAATCGTTTGAGGTAAAGGTCTATTCGCTGTCTCGGGACATATTGTCGCAAATGCAACAGCAATCAGTGACGTCGTGCCATAGACAATGATAGGAAAATGAATCCATGCTCGAACCTAAATGTATTTTAATGAAATATTAAACAAGAAAAAATCAATCACCGTACTAAAAGATCATTCGAGAATGTTGCAATAATAGCTCCAAAACGAGCAAACATTGAGCATATTCCCATTCCTGTATTTCGAGCTTGTGTTGGAAACAATTCATTTGCATATATGTAAATAATAGCATAAGATCCAGAAGCAAGAAATTTCAATGCAACATTAAGTATAAACATAAGAGTACGTTGCACTAAAAGCTTTTGGAAAGTTACGTTTCTGTTAATTTTAAATCTTGCCCTCCCTCTCGTTTACCTCGACTATCTGTTGTTATAAACATTTGTATCGGTAAAACCAGAAATGCAACTATTCCAAAGAATAATACAAACCCACAATAGGTTAGTTTTCGTCCAAATCGATCGAGTACAAGATGAACAACACAATAAGCAGCAATTTCTATTAAAGCACCTGCAAAAAATGATATGTACGGATTGGGTAACCATTCTCCTAGAAGAAGTAATTTTCTGTTAGAAGTTTATTAAATAAAATTATTTGATCTACCAGTATTTTGTGAAACACCATAGAAAACAAGATTCTGTACGAACCTATGATGCAAACAAGATGACAGAAAAGTAGCTAAAACAAATCGTAAAATTACCATTGAAATGACATGTTAATTGCAATGATAATCATAATTTTCGATTGCAATAAATGTTTTAAACCGTGAACTTTCTTTGGGTGCAATGCTTCTCTCTAAAATTTTCATGGATTTTATCTTGAAAATAAAATAGTTCTCTTACTTTTTTTTCTGCAAGTATTAAATGTTCATATGCAATTGAATCAAATTGAGTATCATTTGTTTTGGCTATGCGACGAAGAATTCTTTCTGCATGTTCATAATGTCCTTTCGAAAGCAGCCAACGTGGACTTTCGGGAAGTACACTAAACATTTAAAGAAAAAAAACAGATTGATAAAATTAAAAAACCGAGTATCTTATTGAACGAACAAATAGAAAAAGAGAAATGGTATTGAAAACATAGCTAATGTTGTATTTAATTGTCGCCATGATCGCATAAAATAAGCAAATCCTAAAAGAACTAATTCACCACCAGCAAAGAAATATTCAATAACAATGCCAGTAAATAAACGTTGTTTTGGCCCGACTACAATCATAAATTTACAAAAATCAATAATAAATCATCATCAACGAACCGATTTCCGAGCCTAAATGAAGAGAAGAAAAAGAAAATTGTCAATCGTAGCAAATCATGAGAATACTTTACCAATAACAAAACCCGTTAGAGCAACACCACGTGTGCCGCAAGCAAGTAAAAATCGACCGAGTACGAAAACTGAATAACTTATTTCGAATCCAAGTTTTGGATGCGGCACCAACGCACACATCAAACTCGCAAGCGTTATAACAATAAACGAAACACCCATAATAGGTCGTCGGCCAAATCTTGAAAAGAAAAAGATATTGTTCAAATGTAAAATTGGATCGAACAGACGTACTTATCAGATAGAACACCAAACACAAGTGAACCAACCATATAACCAAAGAAGAAAACAGTTTGAACATAACTTCGAAGAGATACACGACCACAAACCATATACCACTATAAACAAAGAAGCAGGAAAAATTTTTCTATTTAATATTGAACATTGTAAAATAGAAGAACCTCTTCAACAAGTGTTGATTGATAATAAGTTCGATCGAAAATAAAACTTGTACAGGGTTTCATCTGTGAAGTATCGTAATCACTTTCATTCGTTAATTGATAACATTTTTGGCATTCAGCGACTGATATTTTACTGTGATACTGACGGCATTGAGATTCGCTTGGTGCATAACGACGTATACCATCATCAGTTGGTGAAACTCCCAGCGCATTATCCATTGGTGTACGACAACGGAAATTTGGTTTTGCTGCGGTAAATGACCACGTGTAGACCATGATCGGTGGTAACATATACGTCAAACATATTAGGAAGTATTTGGTTTTTTGATATCGACCAAATGATCCAAGATTTGTATAGAAATCATCGAATTGCATTGCTTGAGATTGCTAGTAAAGTGCAATTATAAAATTGACGCCGACTAAACACACTTCTAAAACATAATCAAGAAAAGTTTTGTCCTTCGTCAACTTATGTGTTTCGGTTTCTCTCTCCATCTACCTTTTTCTCTTTATTCTTCGCCTCTCTTTATCGACTTTTTCTTTTGTACGTATGTTAATAGTGATCACTATTATATCATCGGACCGTGTAGGTTATGTATTCTATTCAGAGAGTTGACATATTCTCGTAGTAGCCTTCATGCAAAATATCTGCACCATTCAATAATCATGTTGTTTTGGCTCTATTTATAAATTCGATTTTTTTTGTTTCTGTTATTTTATTATATTTGCTCTTTGGACTAGATGTACGTTATTTTTTTTTTATTTTTTTTTATTATATCAGTGCTCCCGATAAGGACAAAAGAAGCACTGACAAATAATAATAAAAAAAGTTACTGCTTAAAATGCTGAGTGCGTTTAGCGGTTTAACATATATGGAGAACTGAGTGGCGATGATTTCTATCAGAAAAACAGTTTGTAACTTCATACTTAACATTTATTGCAGTCTGCGGAGTAGTATTGATTTGATGGAAAAAAATAAAAATAAAAACAAACGAAAACTTTGCAATTATCTATACCGTGATGGAGAAACAAAATAACATTGATTCTCTATTGTTAAGGTGTTCGTTTCGTCCAATAGATTATTTTTCAAAGCGCTTCAAATATCGAAAAAACATATGGTGGATAGGCACATACCGAATAGAAAAAATATTTTGTATCATAATATTTATATGATGTCTACTTTTTTGTTATTCAAGAATATTCCGATGACTATCTCGTCTATGTTGACCTTTTACGGTTTTTTCTCTTTATACTCTTTGTCTTCAATCAAAGAAAAAGTTTTGTCCAATTTTAAAAGTATTTTATATATTAACTGTTTCTTTCTTATTTGCTGAAAATCATTGTATGTCTTCGACGGATTATTGCAGCGACTGTGTGAAAGAGAAAAGTGGAAGAAACGATTTTGATTATATTTTTGTTTTTGATTAAGAAAAAACAAACAGACACACAGAAAAATCACATCTAGATTAAAAAATTTCAATTTAAACACCAGCGGATTCATTTGGTATAGTGACAAGTTGTGTTCCATTTTTAATAGACGTTTTAAATTGTTCCGGAATTGGATATTCTTTGTATTCATCATCGACAGATGGAATATTAACACTCATTTCCGATGATTTTGATGTTATAAATTCTGTACTGAGCGATGCTTTAGATAAATATATATGGCAACCATCGGTTTTTTCGATAAGTACTGTTGGTACATGTTCAATAGCTTGGGCTTTCATACTTTTACAATTAATAAATTCAACTAACGAAACAACCGATGTAAATTGTAGACCAACTTTTGTACATTGATCAAGTGTTATCGAGTTCACTTTGCCTTCGACAACTATTGTTGAATTCGTACATTTGTATACGTAAATACTATGTCTCATATTTGTGTCAGTTATTCGAAGATCAGATTTGCCTGCTTGATATTCAACTAGCCATTTATTACCATCAAGAACTAATTTCGGTGGTCCCGTTGTTGCTGTATTAGTTGTCTAGGTGATCAAAGAAATAGTTTTATCATGCGAGGAGAATAAACATTTTTATTTACTGATGGCGATGTAGTTTTTCCAGCTTTCGATGGTACAACAGGTTTTCCATGGGAAGACTTCTGATTATCTGCAAAAACAAATACGAAGTAATTATGCAAATTTTATGAATTGACTGAATTTACCTGGTTGTTGTCTTAATTCTGGATTTTTATGTGTTTTAAGTTGGTCAGGTACCTTTTTTAAATGACTTGTCACACCTTCACCTAAGGCATTAATCGAACTCATTAGTTGATTTCTACTATCATCAGTAGAGTCATCAACGTTTGTATCGAATGTCATTGGTGGTGGTGGTGGTGGTGGTGGAGGTGGAGGACCACCACCACCAGCGGCAGCGGGTTTGGTTGTAGGCTTACTTACAAAATTGAAATCCCGCGAACTTTGTGAAGCCCATGCTAAACCAGTCGTATGATATTGTCGAACGTAAGTATAGAGTTCATTTAATGCTTTAATCCATAGTTTAACCCATTCGACATGAGCAGGATCTTTCTCTCGGAATTCTTTCAAAACACGATTTGAATAGAATTGTGCAGCATCTGACATATCTTTGATATGTGGACCAGGCGTTGGTGTAACAAGAATCCAACTGAGTGCTGGTATACCTTCGGATACTGTTGAGAGATGATTGAAGAATGGCGATTTACGATTTTTATTTGCGAATCCTAAAAAGAAAAGAAATTCATTTTTTTAAATCAACCAGTTTATAGATCAATACCCAAAATAGCTTCTATTTCCAGCGATTGTGGTTTGATTGCATCCATCAATTGTTTCTCATTTGGTTTTTTAGATTGTATTGCTTCTCGTATGAACTGTTGTTGAGCATTAAAAAGACGTAAAACATGATTACTCAGTGCTGTTAAATCCCCGCCAATCTTTTGTGAAAGAACAACAAATGGCTGAATCGACACATTAATTAATGTCTCATAATCACGAATGATTGGTAGATGATCGATATTGCTTGTTGAATCATCCGCTGCACTTGCTCGATTAAGCGAAGACGACGACGAAAGTTTATTAGCAATTGCTTCAAGTCGATCTGCCAGAGCTTCAAGGCGTTTTAATTGATCACCCATTTTCGGTTAAAACAAAAAAAAATGAAACAGCTACTTGTAACTGACTAATAATATTTACAGTTGTTATCTGTTTTTCTCTTCTTTCGTTTCTCTCGCAACACATTTGATAACCTTATTTGGCTTGTGAAAGAGATTGTTAGCAAAGGTTCTAGGATAAATAAATACGAGAAATTATTATTTCATGTATGTCGCGCACAACAGCAGCAAACACTTGTAACCACTATTTATTGTAGATGGTAAAATAAAAACGATTCGTCGCAGAACAGAAAAGAACCAGAAAAAGAATTCCTTGATTACACTTGTTTGTAGAAAAAGAAAAAACAATTTCATATCAGTTGCTTTGAAAAAGTATCATTGAGTATATAAATATATTACTAATGAAATGACAAATTCAAAACTTAAACAATTTAAACTATATCGGGTAGATAAGAGTTTGTTCTTGTTTTTTCATTTTGATACGAATGCGATGGACGTCGAACGGCTTGTGGTCGACGTAGACTCATTTTCTGACATGTATCTCTGTAGATTGATTTCGAATAGCGCTTCCAAACTTCATTTCGATGATATGACTCATAGAGATCTGAATCCGATGGAAACGGAATTTCAGTTCGACGAATATTTTGCTTATAGTGATCAGTTGCGATCCGTACGAACGATGATTTAAGTAATAGAAGACATTCGCATTTATTACTAACTAAAGTTAAAGCTGATTGATTTGGAAAAAGCATGTCGTTTAAACCCTAGGATGAAAAAGAAGAATTGTTCATAAAAACAAAAAGCTTTGGTTAAGCATCTTACAAAATGTTGACCCTCAGTTAATGTTTTAATGCGTATATAAATTCTTTTTCTAGGAAATATTAATTTCGATGGTGTATTTATCTAAAATAATTAAATTTTAACAAGAATCTATTTTTTTCTAATTCTTTTTTTTACCAATGATCGACTTCGTTTCACTAATGCATTTTTTTCACATGCTTTCGGGTTCGTGTTTGGGAACTCATCATTTTCTTCATCGACTGTTAATTCATTATTCGGTTTGTTGGCTGACGCTTCATTATTTGGTTTTTTAATTGGTAATTCATCATAGTCGATCAATTGTAATTTATCTCGTTTATCGGCAATCCCAGGAAATTTCTTTTTTTTTTCAATCGAATAGAAAAACAAATATAAGTTTAGCATGAAAATAGTTGTTATATTACTTTTTCAAAATTCGCAATTATTTCTAATCTGGCAGCTGCGCCGAAAGGTCCTTTTTCGTCGCTAATTTTCGAGCGACGTAAAAAACTTAACCGAGCATCTGTTTCGAAATTTGTTCCATTCGATTCGTCAACTTCACCACTAATTTGAACTTCTGAAAACAATGCACTATTCTCTCCTGTCGCTTCAGCAACATGATCATTTGTATCATCAACCACTAAAACAAAATATTTTTCGGTATTTTGCTTTCCTGAAAGCGAAAATGAATAGACTTTTTTCATTTTTTAATTGATCATAATCATATTTGGTTAATTTTGGAACGAAACCATCAGGATCCAAACGTTTCCATATGTCGAGTGAACCACTTCTAACAATATAAATATGTCTCATACAACGAGTATCCTGAGCAATGACTTCTGATTGACTAAAATGAAGAATTCAAAGAAAAATAAAGTTCTCTAACTATACAAAAGTGAAATATCGATACCCATAATTACAATTTTGAATTGCATGAGGAAATTCATTTAGAGCATTTATTGCAAAACCACGTAGAAATGGTACTTTGGTTCTTTAAAAAAAATTAAAGTTGAATACTTTTCTATGAAAAAACTTGCAATTTACTTGAGAAATTTTAAATCATCTTTACTGCAGTTTCGATCTTCTCCCATGTAGATGGCTTTGAAATCCTGAAAATAGAAAAAAAATAAAAATGATTATCAATTATTTCTGGGCTTTTCTCGTTTCTTTCTGTTGCATTTTAATTAATCATGCAAACGTATTTACTTCTTTCCATAGAACCAACAATTCAAGCTTCGTCTTTGACGTAATAGTAAATTTTTGTTCAGAATTTGTCATGATTCCTTTTTCCTGTAGTGAATCATTTTGTTCTCGAAAATATTAAATCGAATTAAAAATCTTACTCCAAATGTACATCCTCGTCGTAGAACATCTAATGTTTCAATGTGCTGATCAGCCGTTCTTCTATATGTTAAAATTGCTGTGCCAGATAAAATAATATAGAAACATGCAGGACGAGCACCTTGCCGAATAATTGTACGCTGTTCAGGATAACTTAAAGTGTGGATGATTGTAAATAGAAATCAAAGAGAAGGCGATGAAATTATTTACCATTCATACCATGCTTCTTGTAAGATTTGATTTTGTAATGATGTTCGTAAGCGTGAAAATGGTTTTATATCCGATAGATATCTTCGGATCTTAATAGAGAAATCAATTATTATGCGAAATGGAGTAACTTATTTTTAGAGATCTTGAATTATTGTTATAGATAAAACGGACGAAAAAATTGACGTTAGATGATCTCACATGTCTCAAAATATATCATTCCTTTTTACGGTCATTTTTCAAGATGATCACGAAAGTTGAACTTCAATCAGTGGATTCTTTTGTATTGGAAGAACAGTAGGCAGAACGTATACTGAAACTAACAACATATTCTTCAGAAAAAAAGATCTTCGCAGCGATAAAATCTTCCAAAAGAACTTTGATTCATTTTTATATATTTTTTTTTGTAGCAGACTATGAGTTCAAATCTCCTCGGGTTTTTCTACATCTCGCTCAGAGCTAGTGACCAGCTAAGCATATAAGTATCAACCACTTCAAAGCGGCATTTTTTCTGAACGTTTTCGGGAATGAAAAGGTACTCGATACAGAGAATGTTCTTTCTAACTCGCGGAATCATCTCTGTTTACATATTTGAGAAGAGTCAATCTTTGTCTCGGCATCTGAGTACAATCATCTAGAAAATTTTCACGATTCTTCATTCGCTCCGCATGAAATTGTCAAGTGTTTTCCGACGTATACATATTCCCTTCTTTCAATCTTGAAATGATCGCACGCCTTTTGCTTCTGATACATTCCTACACATGTAGTGAATAATCAGACAAGAGATGTACGAATAGAATCATCAAATAAAATAGATTGCAACTCATTCGCGCAATTGAAATGCCAAATAAATTATAATATATTGCGCATTCATGCAAAGCAGCTTGCTTTTTTTCTTTCTTATCAAGGCTATTATTTAATTTAAAACGCTAATTACTATGGAACAATTCAAATTTGCAGCAATATCAGTCATCAAAGTTGCTTCAACAAGTCATTTTTATTGACTTAACTTCCCGACTGTTTTTTTCTGAAAACAAATTATAAATAAATCATACGACACATTTGATTTATTCTAAGGAACAAAAAAAACTTTTATTCTGTTTTAAACTTTAGTCAGCGACTGATTTTTGCCCTTTGTACGATCAAAGAAAAGATTTGACCTAGATCAGTCTTCTCGTATTTCTATTCTTTTACTTGGTAACAGTTTCTGATATTCATACCTCATCAACATTGGTGATAATATTACGTTCGCTTGGTGACTGCTTGAAAAATTCTCTTACAATCGGTAGAATTTCGCACTAGAAAATAAAATTTTGTCTCTAAACGATTTCAAATTGCAAGTCTTACCGGTGTGATTTTAAAATGCGATTTGTCAAACATATCATTTATTTCGTACATGTGTATGGAAGTCATATTGATTGATAATTGAACGTCAAAAAACTCTAGTTACTCTTCGAACGAGCCACTTGAAAGAAAAAACAAGAAGTGAGAAAAAAATGTAACACTATCATTTTTCTTTTTTTTATTTTTATACAGGAAATTTGATCTTTCCTCTCGTGTTAGCGCAATCGGCGGTGTAAATTTTGCAAACAAAATTACAGAAAAAAAAACTGAAACAAATTGATCGCTCGCGAGAAGGGAAAAGTTAGAAAAACAAGTGCATCTTCAAATTCTAAAGTAAATATTGTTGAAACTACCTCAAAACAAAATCGTCTCGTATGAAATTTTATGGATAGAAGAAATCTACATGGTTTTTTGAGAAAATCTTTCGAAAGCATCGGCCAAAAAATAGACTTCGTTCACTTTTGTAGACAATCGAAAGCCTTGAATAGAGCAAAAAATGCATTGTGATGAACGCATTTGACAGATTTATATCGAATTAAAACATGTTTAACGCTGCCCACGGAACTCGGAATTTTTCGTTTTTTATTGCGAAACGATGGTAATTATCTTGAACTTTTCCAGGAAAAAAATCTATTTCGAAGCTTTATCTCTTATCTTGGCCTATGCACATTATATATAAAATTTAATTGTTTGATAGTAAGATGTTTGCTTTAATCCCAATGTGATCAATGACCTTGAATTAAATCACACAAACTTCGATTATAAGATCAAGTTCTGAGCGAAGCATTCATGATGAACAAGAAAAAACGAATTCGTTTTCGTTCAGAAGATTACAAAAATATAACATGTGCACTGTTAGTTCTAGTTATTATTATTATAACAAAATATGATTGTATAACATAAAAACAAATTCAAATAGACTTTCATTGCAACAAGGATTAACAAACATGGAATTGGATATTATCCTAAGAAAAGATCTAATCTGGTTCGTTTTTTTTTCTTAGTGGTAATTACAACCGATTAACACCTAAACTAAAATAATTCTATACAATCAAATATAACATTCTGTATTTATCTCTTCGAGATATTTCTTTTCTTAATAGAGTATGCACTTTAAAATTGAAGGTTACGACAATAAATCTTTCTTTTTCTTTATATTTGATTAGTTCTATTGAAAAATCTTTCGTAATTGAAAACAGGCACTTAAATAATATTTTCTTTTCTCGATCGTTGAAAACCAAACGATCGGAAAATTAATATTTTCTATTTCAAACAAAAATTTCTTCTATCAACCATTTGAAAATACATTTTTAGTTTAGATATTTTCAAAACGCTACTTATATAATATATATATATATATATATATATATCAAATTTTAATTAAAAAGACATTGTGTGTGTGTGTGTTATTACAAATTCACTATTTAAAACATGTTGAGCTACCATAAAAGCGCAAAAAAAGGGAAAAGGAAAAGAAAGTGTACAATGTCCATTATAGTTCTATACAATTCAGTCTCATGAGAATTGTTTTTGTTAGAAATGAAAAAATGATACAACAATAAACGAAAGAAATACAGATAAACATGATGTCATAAGACGATATCCACTATTATAAAAATAAGGCGAATTGGAATATCCAATATTATTATTATTATTATTACTTGAATCTCGATTTGGATACCATGAATTCGCATTATTATTATTGTTATTATTCGCATTTGGCCATGAATTAGCATTTGCATTCGCATTCAAACCCGTTTGTCCACCATACGGATTACTGTTTGCTAGAACTGCGCTATTATAACCATATGAATTATAATTAGGATTCGGTTGTGGATTATACATATCTTTATTATTTAAGACTTGATTTGTATTTGATGGATAACCCCCCATTTGGGAATTTGATGGCGGATATAACGAGGAACCAGATGATCCTTTAAATAGAAAAAGTTTGCTAAAAATATCAATTAGGCTTTTGTTTTCTATTAGTTACCTGCTGGTAAAAGATTACTATTCGCATCGCGCACTCCCATGTTTGTATTTGGATCACGTGAAAGTTGATTTGTTCCACTACCTGAATAAAGACTACTTCCGCCATAGGCAGGATTCGATAATGATTGACCACTTGGCCCGTACAATTGTTGTTGTGGCTGCTGTTGTTGTTGTTGTTGCTGCTGCTGCTGCTGTTGTTGTTGTTGTTGTTGATTATATAAACCCATATTGTTCATTGAATTGCCAGCATTTGGTACCATCATAGGACTGCCATATAAATCCTTGGTACCTTGGCTATTTAAATTATTACCATAGAAATTCGTATTCGGTGGATAATTATATGCTGACGGTGAATTTGCACCGCCTACATTTGAATTTCCATAGATCGATGCCGATGGTTGTTGCCGACGACGACGAAATCCACTACCATTGATACCTAAAATGAAAACAAAACAAAAACGAAGTTTTTGTTTTGATTTTAATTTGTTTTTGATCAATGAGAAATGTTCAAATGATCAGGCAAATCACTTACTATTGATAAATAATGATTGTAGAAATAGTGACACGATAATTAATTGAAACCAAGACATGATATATTATCTTGACTGATGATAGCAATATCTAGTTTACGATTGATTTTAACTTTTGTACAAACGTAGATGATGAGGTGACACTAGTGACATACAACAAGAGGTCAGCTAGACGGTAGCTCTAGTTTATTTTTTCTCGTTCTTTCAGGTGACACTCTATGCAGTAGTTGGTCCTATGTTCGACGGTGAACGAAAAATTTCTTCTCTTAGTCCTTCTGTCTCAGTTAGACGTGCGACACATAAAACAACTTTTCTTTTTTTTTCTTTTCTTGTTCTGTACATAGCTGCTAGATACATACTATGCTCTCTATTTACTATTCTCTCTTTCCGAGGGGGAAGGGAGAGAACAGGTAAGAATGAGCAATAGTCGTAATAAAAATAATCATGTTGATTCTATTTCTCTGTTCATTTGCTATCGCCCGTTATTCGTTTTACTCTCTTTTTTTTCAATGTATTCTATGGAATTCCTCTTTCTTTCTCTTAGTCTCTCAATCTATGCAAAAAGAACGAAGAGTTTGATTACATTGAATCACTATTCTTTCTTCAACAGATGACCCTTGTACATAGGTGAGAACGAGAGAATTCTTTCTCTTTCCCTTGATGATGCAGGAGAAAAAATGTGTACGCTCTGTATATTAGTAATCGTAAAAAAACAGACTATTGAAAATGAATCCTTTTTATGATATTTGACAGCAACTAGAATTATTATGAAATCATCAAGGTGATAAAGATCAATTTTTATCGACACTTTTTAACATACTACCTAGAAATTCTTTTCTTCCAGTGCACATATTGACTGGTAATACAAAATTATTTTAAATAACGATAATGCTTATTCAAACAGCTTGAATTTAATTAAAAATAGAAGAAAAGGAAGAAAGGAACTTTTACAACTTGATAAGAATATTGATAGCAATCGGTTTTTTTTCTTCATGTAGCATTATTTAAATGAAACAAAATTTTGTAAATACAAATAAAATATGGCCATGAATGTGAAGGTGAATTTTTTGTCTGTAAATGTGACAACAATACGTCGGCCAGTTCTTTAGCTTGATGGTTTGGCAACAGGTGGGATAGCATTCGGTGCAGCAGCATTATTGTTTGCGTTAAGATCCGATGGTCCACCAGATCGGCCTTGCACCGCGCCCTTTCGGCCTACTCGATACCAAGGATTTCCTAATGACAAAATGTATCCTATACATCAATCATGTAGAATAACACATGCTGTTACCTTGGGTACCATAACCGTATTGTGAAGTTCCATAACCATATTGACCACCTAAGCCCGATGTACCATAACCGTATTGGCCACCTAAGCCCGGTGTACCATAACCATATTGGCCACTGATGCCCGATGCACCGTAACCATATTGGCTACCTAAACCTGATCCACCATAACCATATTGATTATTCAAGCCAGTATTTGGATAGCCGGAATACATGTTGGATCCGTATTGTCCATAGATACTACTACCAGTATTTGGATAAAGACTATTGTAATTTGATCCATAAGGAATTTGACTGTTATAACCATGCACTGCAAAAGTTAACGAATGATTCATTAGAGCGGAAATCAAAAGTGCAAAGTCATTTACTACTACTTGATGGATATCCTGATCCATATTGACCATATGTACTGCCGTATTGACCTATGCCAGTACCATAGGAATTTGTACCATACTGAGAGCCTAAAGCGAAGTATTGTAAAGGGTCAGTCTGTAGATATGGATTAGAAATACCTGATCCATAAATTGAATTTGAATATGGATATTGACTCTGGCCGTAATAACCTGTTGCTAATTGACGTCTTTTACGAAGTGCACGACCATCAACAACTATAGATATATTCAATAGTCCTACTCATAATGATAAGAACAAAGCCAAAACACTTACAAGTTGTAGAGATAATTAATAAAAGCACAATTAATTTGAAATTCGCCATAATGACGTTCGTGAAAATGACTGTATGTCGTTTGTTTGAAGGCTGGTGTATATGAAGTTGATTGCAATATGTGTACAGTTGCGTTATACTTTATATAAATATTACTCTTGATTGGCCAGAATTTTCTCGATTCCCCTATTTCTCTCTTTGTGTGTCCCTCCTCTGTCTCTCTCTCTGGCACTGTATGCATCAATCCTTGTAGTTTTTTTCTCTTTGATTTGATTATGCGAGTGCCTGTCTTGGCATATGTTTATGTATACTTATGTTTTTTCTACTAACACATAAAATATGTTGCTTGTACATTATTAGATGATTCATATCGATTACTAAAACTCAGTTGACTTTTTGTTGCATAGTAATAACAAAAAAAAAAAAAAACTTGAATTCATGAATGAATAGAAATATTAACATACAAACAAGGACTCTGAAAAGTGAATCATATGTTAAAGTAAAAAAAGAAATGATAGAATTCATATCCGCTATATCGATAATATTTTTTTTTATGAGCCATGAGTAAAACATAATGTCGAGAATGTGCTGTGATTATATGTAAAACATGAGCCAGACTAAGTGACCCTCAAACTATTTTGTCAATATCATCGTCAAGGTTTATCATCGGGCTTTGTTCATGTTTGATTCAATTTTCTACAAAGTGTTCAACAGAAAAATGAGTTGGCGACGCCAATAAATTATTTCTTTCGCCAAATAACAGTTTTGAAGCAAGGTTTTCTTTCCGGGCTATCGGAAGAAATGAATCAATCTCAATCAGAATTATTTCGATTTCAAGAGAGATGAATGGCGTATACGATTGAAATATCACGATTTACCTCGGACTCTTTATTCGAATGCATTTTGCAAAATAGGCAATGAGTTTGAGCGTTTTTTTGGCTCAGTATCACGTATGTTTGCGTCAAAATACTTGCTCGAAGCGAATTTCGATGCACATTGCGAAACAAAGTGCATCTTATTTTGAAGTAATATGGTTCTGTTGAAAATTGAATATCGAAAAAAAGAAATTGATAAAGTATTTCTAATCTCGTGCAACTACTAACATATGTTTTGTTAACTATATCATTTTTATTCTTATACAACATTTGAATCAATGAGTGTTTGGCTTTTTTTTCTATTGGCTAAATAAATACTCCAGATATGATCTTGAACGGAAATCTTATCAGGAGTATTAGAAAATTTGAAATAGAAAAATTAATTCTTCTTAACTGATAAAATTGAATTATGTACACGCAGGCCAACAGCCTTCTTCTTTTGTATTTTGTATCTTCCGAGCAAATAAGATTTTTAGTTAGCGTGACAAGAAATCTCTAATCTTTAAACAATTTGTCATCATGAAGCCTCGGGCGAATACCAAAGATAATATAGTCCGCTTTCTTTTTCTGCTGTATTCTCATAATTAGGTTGTAACATGTCAAGAGAAAGAACTAATTTGCAAATAGCAGAAACAACAAATATTAACTTATGTACAAGATGGATCAAATGATGTTGGACTTAGAAAAATATTAATCATGTTTGGATGGTTTATTGTAATAATAAAAAAAAGATAAACATCATATTAGGATAAACGAAAATAATATTTATTTAGAGTTACTTAATGAGGAAACCCTTGAATACTGCTTTCCGTTTGAGATGAGTCTATCTATTATATTTTATTGTGAATTTGATGAGGTACTATAAAATTGAATAACAGCTCGTTAGAATATTTCCTTTTCGAATACTCAAATCTAGTCTCAAGGATAGCTGTCTTATTGAATATTATGAATTTTTTTGACAAGTCACTGGTTGCAAAAAAACGCTCTTTTTAACCTGATTATGATCATAACTTTTGATATAATAAATAAGCATTGACGTTGGTTCGTTTGCTTGATATTCAACAGATAGCTGTGACCTTTTTCATGATGATTTGGTCGTATTCTATGGCGAAAATAATAGTTCTCCAGTACTTGATAAGAGAAAATAGAACTACATATCGAAAACATTATTTCATGTGACCTTTTCCGTTGTTTCTCTTTTTTTTTATTAACCTTGGCTTATTTTATCGACTAGCAAGTTCTCGATTATTTCGGCGTCTTCTATAGTTTTATCGGTCGTTTACATCGTGAATGCTTTTAATGGCATCGATCTCAATCACTATTGGCATAATGACTTAGTATAAAAAATATTGACTAGAATCAATCTGTAAACATTATTACTTTGTTTTCAATAATACTAATTAAGAGTATGAATGTGAGCTACTTCTACTAAAAACGGATATAACAAAGTTTGCCATTTATTCAACTAAAATAAATGTGGAAACTTCGGATTTCATCCGAGAGCTATGTGTACTGCAAAAAGTGCATGGGACATATAAGTCATTCTAGAATGTCTGAACACCAAAATTATCATGAGAAACTAGGCAAATTGATTTCTGGATGCAGTTTTTGTGCATTTTGCGACGTTTTTCAGGCGATGTTTCATCAGAAAGCTACGGTTTAGTTCAAAACTAATATCAGATTCGGAATCAGCGTTAAAAATTGAGTCGATTTATATATGTTGTGAATAATTCTAAGAAAAATTTGTTTTTGGAAAAAAAATCCCTGTACTCTTCCTCAGGGATGGCCTGGTCAAAAATGACAATTTTTTCGATAACTCAACCATTTCTTGAGGGATTCTTCTCATCTTCGAACTCGACCGAGATATTCATGAGATTGAATTGTGTGGAAAATTNGTTTCATCAGAAAGCTACGATTTAGTTCAAAACTAATATCAGATTCGGAATCAGCGTTAAAAATTGAGTCGATTTATATATGTTGTGAATAATTCTAAGAAAAAATTGTTTTTGGAAAAAAAATCCCTGTACTCCTCCTCAGGGATGGCCTGGTCAAAAATGACAATTTTTTCGATAACTCAACCATTTCTTGAGGGATTCTTCTCATCTTCGAACTCGACCGAGATATTCATGAGATTGAATTGTGTGGAAAATTTCATCACGGTCTGACTCTCCTTTCGAAAGTTATGGTGCCTACGGCCGGACACACTGACCGATTCTAGAGTGTACTCACTTTTTGAGTACACAAAAAAAATGATCATTCGATTTGAATTGTTAAATTTTATACTTACTTTCGTTAGTAGTTTCTCATTGCTGAAATATTTGGTGTGCACTGACCATTGTGATATCGATATTCACCGCCCACTAATGCGTATATTTCTTTTTGTCAAGAGTACTCTTTATCCGCGCCATTCAATCAATCGCATATTTCGCCGCAAATATCTTGTCAACTCAAACAAACAATTAGTGCTACAGGGGGTAGATGTTGATAACACATGCCAATTTGACGTCTTTGTTTATTGAAGCTATTCGATCAAATTACAGCATCACTTTCCACTGATATTGAACAACAAGAGGAAATTTTTGTATGCAACGCGACTGTACATGTTAAATTGATAGCGTGGGAAGAATCATACTTTTTGAGATCTTACGTCTACATGATACGGTATAAAACGTGAGAACTTTGTGCTTCCTCGTATTTTAATTTCTCTTTATGCAATATTGGATTTCCCATCCTACTAAACGAACAGTTTTAATCACGTATTTTAATTTATATAAAACCTTCTACACTAGGTTTGCAAGAAGCTCACACTAACATCTCAATAGGCATCAGATAATTGATTTTAACGAGATAAAATATTCTAGTATTGATAGGACTTCTACTGCAAGTTTAACGATAGATGTTTAATTTGCTCAGAAATGAAATTTTTCTAAACTCCGGCGTTGATCGCATGTGCTACTTAAGCCTTTTTAATCAACGTGACAATCGTCGGAAGAGGAAACAGACATGACTACTCTCATTTCTTTGACAGTGTTCTCTTCTCAATCGATGACAAGAATGTGTATCTTCTTCTGAGCCACACCCCACATATGTAATCAATCCCGATCGATATAAAACAATACATTTCGAGGAGAAAAGCTAAACTCTTCATTCATCACAGTTCCGATGGATGGATGCCACCAAATCAGCCAGTAGGCAGATGTTTCAATAGTCTTTTTATTTTCTCGCAAGCTGTAGTCGGTACGTACAAAATTTCTCTCTCTTAATATCCCTCCATGAACAGAAAATTCCATAGGACCAATATCAATTTACGAAAAAAAAATAAATTGTTGAAGTTCGAAATTTAAAAATAGTAGTCATAGTTCTGATACACGCAAACCGATTTATCCTCAAGACTATTTTATAGCTGTCAAATGCGACATGAACTTACGTCATAAAGATATTAGTTTTAGTCGATATTATATAATTCTCTCGGGAAACAGCGCGCGCACGTTCCATTTGAATGATTGACAATTGAGAGAAATTCGTATTATTTTTGCAATCAAAAACGTTTATTTTTTATTAACTTTTTTTTTCGAAGAATATATGTATATATATATGTATAGGTAAATAATCACACGTTCATCAAGTTGAAGACAAAATGGATGATGAAGAGAATTTTTTTTCTCCTAACATACCAGCAATTGGTTTTGTCGTTTGTAGCATTGGACTGCAGTATTCTTGTCAATTTTGTTTTGAACAATCCGTCCGATGAAGGAAACACAAACGACACAGTGTAGAAAACGAAAAAAGAACGTACAAAGTAGAAAGAAAATCGCAAGGGATAAAAAGAAAAACAGAAAACATTTTACAGAAAAACAAACGTTCCCTAATCTTTGTCGAAAAATGAAAATGAAAGAATTCCTTGTTTCTGTTTCTTTAAATAAAGTTCAATATGATTTACGTATTGAAAGAAGAAACGAAAAAACACCATGAAAGATATCTGACTGCAATGCACAGAATAAAAACAAAATCGTTGTTTTTCTCGAGCATTTTTATATGCACACGATACACAAAGACAGACATATGATGATGACGAACAAGTCAAATGGATGATAGTAAATACTGAAATAATCTTCATTCTAGATATGAAAAGTGCTTTTCCCTTCTTGTTTTTGGTTCAAAGTATTCATTCGCTTGATCATCATCATCATCATGAAAATTATTTCTTTTCAAAAATGGCCCGACTTGCTTTGCAATCAATAGAAACACCAGACGATGACTCATCAATCAATGTAATACCCAATGTAGTCAAATGCTTCTGACAAGCATCATTTGATCCATATGCCAACATCTCAGTTATAGCTTCAATCGGAAACGATGGAGCAAATCTTAACGAATAAAAAGTATAATAGTTACATCCTACGAATATTAGAATTGAACACAAGATCAAGAGGTTGCTATTAACCCATGGTAGTTTTTAGTAGACACCAAATGGTAGAAGATTGGCCCCGGTGGCCTTGCACAGGTAAGTTTTGTTTCATTTGCACTCATAAAAAAGGTCTCAAAAGCCTTAGAATCTTACGAACGTTTTACTCAAAATTGAGAATTGAATTTCCGTCCTTCCCTTTTATAAATGATAATTGAATTAAATCATATCTTACCCCCAAATTAAAACTTTGAGTACTTGTTTTCGATAAATATCAATGAAGAGATTCACTAAACAAGAAGCAAGTTGGGGTAGGGACCTATAGATAATGAAGAAACGTATGTAATTTTTTCGGCGAATGGCCGTGCACAGTTCTAGTGCAAGATTAATATGTTCAATATCCTTTGCTTTGCTCTTCCCGTTCGCTGCTGCTGTTTTTTTTACAGTATCAATATCAATTAAAATTCGAGTTGTTTCTAAAAAATAAATAATCTGATTGCATAGTTTCAAAAAAAAAAAAAAAAAAGAAACTTTTACTTTTATAATCATTTAGCAGCAACGAGTAGAGCAAACGATACACAAGAAATTCATTTATATGTGAACGATTGCACCCATTATCATACAATGTTTCTAACTGTGTTTGACATTGATTAAACTGTTCACGATCACCCTGAAGAAATAAACGAAAACATGTAAATGGAAAATCTTTATCATTTCATATAGAAAACTGCAATTTCTCATTGGAAAAAAAATTTTCTGTCAATAACAAGTTAACCATGTCCTATTATTGGACATAAGTGGATTCTTGAAGAGAGAGACATCGGAAGTATGGACATTTTTTAATTTCCAGCAAACCTATTTTTAATTCAATAGACTTCTATCTGTGCTACTCAGCAGTAGTGCCGCCCCGTAATGTAGCTTCCAGGAATGTAGAAGAAAAAAATTAGTTTAATATGCTACAAAATGACTGCGCACGTTGAACAAATAGACATTTTTTTTAAATCTAAAACTTATTTCTAACTATCAAAACCGAATATTCAAATATTCGGTTTTTTCCTCTTTCTAAATTTACCATTTCAAGTGAGATTCGTGCATTTTCTTCATAAACTAATACTGTAAAATCATTTCTTATTGATTGTACCATAAGATCTTGCCGAATACTTTTCAATTGGTCACTTATATATGACCATTCTTTGTTTAATCTATACTTATCCATAACAAAAGAAAAAGCACGTTCAAGAATTGATATTGGACGAATAGTGGCCGGATCAGCTTCCTAAACACACAAAAGCGAATATTAAATTCTATTAGCCAATGAATAACATACACTGGTTAAACGTAGATAATTTTTTTCCAATTTTTGACTGGTGCCTACCAACATTTTGGTGCTATCACTTACTGTAATTAGACTAGGCGCTTGTATCTATAGAAAATATTAAAAAAAAAATTTTAGCCAATAAAATATGCATATATTGTATTTACTGGTTTGATGATTGCTGATATTGTTTCATTAGTAAAACGATTTCGTCGCTTTTCGAGCCGTTCAGTGTGTTCTGGTTTAGATGATCTAAGAAACGAAACCAAAGATTATTCGTAGCTTTGGAGTTGTAGAATTTACTCTTCTAATTGCATTTTTTTATTTGCTTTTCTTGTTCGTCGAGGTTTCTTCGCACGTTTACGACTAGCGCTATTCGAAAATGGCGGACTTGTTGTATTTCTAGTAAAAAAATATAAAAATAAAGCTAATCTTGCTAGTTGTTTTTCTCTGTCTACTTTGCACAATTATTGTTGTCATTTTCATTTGATGAAGACGATGACGATGAAGATGAACGTTTGCGTGATGATGAATTTTCATTGTTATTATTATCATCATCATCATCGTCGTCGTCGTCTGCGAAGGCACGTTGAACAGATTCGGATGCAATTTGACGAAGCTTATTTAAACGAGATAAATCTTCACGTTGCTTATTTTCAGCGTAAGATGATTTAGCTATTTGAAGTAAACTTGTACTCGAGGAATCAAAAGCATTTGAACGCACATTAGATGAAGAATCAGAACGAAGAAATCTAAATAATTAAAACAAAATAAAAAAATTCATTTTAGCATATAGAAGAAAATTGTTTAGTATTCGCTGTCTGAAAGGCTTTAGTGATAACTTACTCGGGAATAGGCCTATTGATCCAATCAATAGTTTTAACAACATTCTTTCGAAATGCATCCACAAGAACACCTTGAAACCATTCCTGAGCTTGCGAACGTAACAGATCTGTTGTGCAACGACTTTCTATGGATTGCCAATATGTTCTATAGAAGCAAATCATTGAATGAAAAACAAAAATCTATTTAGTTACTAATTGAAATTACTTTAGTGACTCAGGCCAGTTTTGTTTATCACAGGCTAATTTAAATGCTTCAATGGCACTCATAATTGGACGTTGTTCATTTGAATTACTTGTATCCATTGATGTAACATCATTACGATGGTCTGGCGTAGTCATGGGTGTCGGATACGACACGGATGATGATGCCATTTGTTGTTTAGGTGGCGAAGAAAAACGTGTTCGTCGTCCACCTTTATTTATTGTGGTTTGAGGACGTGTATTTAATTGAAATCTGATACCAGATTGTTGAGGCTTCGATTGAGTAATATTCGAGGGTGGTGGAACATTATTGTAAGATTGATATTGTTGTTGTTGTTGTTGTTGATTATTATTATTTGCTGAAAATCGGGGTCTATGCGATTGTTGTGCTTGTCTTGGCCGAAATGATGGCGAAGGATCTAAACAAGAAAATTGAGATATAGAATTATTGATGGATAGTTAACTTTACTTGGTTGTTGCCAATTCGATTGAGCTGTATTCATATTATGAGTTTGTTGATTATTGAAGCCATTCGACGTATTATTATTATGTACGGGTGGTACAGGATTCGGAGATGGTTTTTGTTGATTTGCAAATGATTGATAAAGTTGATTTTGATAGGCAGCAACTTGTTGTGCTTGTTGATAGTATGACCATTGTAATGCCCATGCTTGATAGACATCAGGAGGACATGCTACGGGTGGAGGCGGAATACTTGTATCGAGTTTAGGTAAGGCTGGCATAGGCGGCGGAGGAGGTAGTAAATCCCCAGTCTGAATTAGAATAAATAATTTTTCATTTATTTTCAATAACAACAAAAATGAAAGAGAAACTTACAGAACCAGACGAAGGCGGAGGAGCTGGTGGTGGCTGCATAGAATCTGATGGTGGAAGTGGTGGCGGAATAGGCAACGTACTCATTAAAGGTAGTGGTGGCTGATTATTACCATTGCCACTAAAATAACCTGGAAAAAAGCCAGAATTAGATGCCGCAGTTGTTGATTGCGACATTGATTAGAGAGAGAAAAAAGTTGTACAATACGAGTTTGTCGAACTATGTTTGTGTATGTTTAACAGAATAGAATATATCGAATATTTAGACGATTGTTATGAACGAATGCGTCAGCTTATATATGTGAATCAAACAGCAATCAAAAAAGGTTTGAGAAAGCTACGAATGGCGGGGATTTGTCTATAGATGTCAGACGTTGCGAGAAATATTTGATTAGTTTAGTATCATTTCCAATAAATAGCAAGTTGGTTAATTTTTTTCTTCTTTTGCAGTTCTGAAAATAGAAATGAGAAAAGCTTTTGTTCGAGTAATTGATCAACCGACTGGATTAATCAGTGAAGTATGAATTTTCAACAATCAAAAGTAAGGATTAATGAAGTTTAATTCCAAGCGTCTCTGTTTTCTTTTGATAGCAAATTAAGGTTCTAAATAGTAATTACTAGTTAAAAAAAACATTTATTCGACTGTATCATATAATTGTTGTTTAAAAAAACACAGGTGAGTATTCACTCTACTTGAGTCCGCTCAATACCCGTGTAGATTTTGCGAAAAACATTATGACAATTAACTTGCCTTATGTAAATTTCTTTCTTTTTTAGACTTGTTATGTCCTATCTGCACTGATGATTCCTTTTCTTACAATTCTTTTTTTCTCTTTCCTTTTTAGTCGTGTATAGAACGTAGTAAGACGCAAACGCACTTTTTTTTTCTTCCGTCTTTGCGTGTTCTATTGTTGCAAAAAAATATCGAGAAGAACGAACGTTGTCATCGACGACGATAAACGCCAGTTTATAACAGGAATTGCTTTTTTTCCTATGTGCCTATGCATATATGAATAAATTCTTTTCGGTGTCATGTTCGATCTGCAGCTTTTCTTTTTTACGGTAATAAAAATAATTTCACTTTTTTTTCTCTCGTTTCGTTCTCTTCGTTTTTAGTCTTTTAAATCACCTATATAATAATAAAAAGTGATGACGGCAGATTGAAACAATAGTACGAACAAATGTCAAGGAGCTTCATTTTCTTTTCCTTTGTTCTGTTCGTTGATTGAAAGTACTAATTATGTAGAATGATTCTCAACATAGATTTGACATTAAATTTTTAAGTTTTCTTTTTTTTTCTATCGTCTTTAAAGTTCTTATGAAATTACAGCCTGATGAATTTTTCTAACGGCTATAAATTAAATATAAAATATTCTACACTTGATTGCTTCTATTTATCGATGGTTTTCTTTTTGTTCCTTAAGAAGAAGAAGATGATGATGATGACGATGATCATCTTCAAGATAGAAAGAAAAAGCAGCTCAATGAGCTTTTCTTTCCAAGATGAATATCGTAGCAATCATCAGGTCAACAATTCGATGTATTCATATTGTCATAGTGTCTTGTGGCTTTTCTTTTTTACATGTTTTTCTTTCTCTGTTTTTTTTTAGATTTATTTATTGATCAGGTAGTTTATTTAATACTTGACAACAATCCACGCGCCATATATTGCTCATTTATACTCTATCAGATTGTATTCGCTGACGTGGTTATTATTTATCATTCGATACAAGGTTGTGTGACGTATTATTAGCTTTATTTCAAAGTCAATCATTGCGTTTATCATCGGTTTTTGATTTTTTTCCTATTGGAGAACATCGTATATCGCATTATTGTGAATACAAGCAGCGTTTTGTCTTATGGTATTATTGATTTTGACGAATAACGCGTAATGCTTACCTTTGCTAGAAGAATGAATCATCAGTCTCATCTAACAAAAGCGAGTTCGACAACAAGTTCAGTAGGATCAACGGGTGAGCATACGCCTTCGATGGGGAACACAGAAAAAATGCTTCTTCTACATGGCGGTTTATCTCAAGAGGCAACAACACCTTGTGTACTAAATACACCGAATACATGTACAAAGAATTCCACATTTTTTTATGAAATTCCAAATTCTATGCATACAACAACCTTATCGGGTAAGATACCGAAGCTTTTTTTTCTACTAATATTTATTTTGATGTAATGTATAAAATTGAAAACAATTTTTTAAATGATTCTGATATTTACATGTATAAACAGTTTCTTGTTCGCCTACATCATTCCACTGCAGCCATGTCATGGCTTTCTCTTTTCTTTATGGTTTGCGGCACGTCAAACAAAAAAAAAAGCAAATGCTTGCCATCACTGTTTTGTTCTATAGTGAAAAGAATTTTCATAATTAATTTCCTCAAAAGTGTCTGAAGAACAAAAAATCATTTAGTGGTTCTATGATTAAGTACTGCTAGACGAGAATTAAATTTTTCTGTCATACAGTGCTCCAATTCGTACTTAACGACCTAACATCGTATTGATAGACAGCCATTGACTAATATAGTCTTATCATTACGAAACGGTAACGACAGTCGGACGTTGGTTATCGTAGAAAAATGTCAAATGTCGATATTGACTAATTTATGTTATCTAAGTTATAACTATCATTCCATTATGCTGGCTTGCAACCGTCAAGTGTGTATGTGTGCGTCTGTCATGCTCAAGGCTTTGTTATCTTCTTTTATATGTACATATATTCTCGCATGGTTTCATCGAGCGCATTCATCCTTATTTGTATTACTAAATATAAATATGTATATATACACACAAGCATGCATGTATTTCGGGAGAAGAGAGTTAGTTTCTGAGTCAGTTATTTGTCATTGATCTAATTATAACTAAGATTTATTACTGTTCTACATATTCTATTTTAGTTCGATATATATTTTTGTTATACCTATAAGGAATATTTTTTGAAAAAAACGAAAGTAATCCTTGATAGAGGTCATAATTAACAATAAATAACTTTGAACAGTATTTATGAGAATAGCTAATAATATATCCGTAGTTAGCTTCGGCCCGTCTGAATATTAATGTAAGTAAAGTTCTATAAAGTTGTTATTGAATAATAATAGACTTGCATATATTTATTCGTTTGCTTTGTTAATATTTACCGAAGTTAATGAGTGTCTTGAAAGCCAGGGCTAGGCTTTGAAGAAAAAAATAAAAGAAACTGAAAGAGAATTTTTAGTATCTACATTGAACTATTATTACCATCAAATAAATATATCAAAAGCACGCGAGAGAGAGAGAGAGAGAAAGAGAAAGTCGCGAAAGGACGTGTTTTTATGTTAAGCTTGTTGCTTTTGTTGACACAGGTTCTTAGCATAACAAGGACGAGTCATTCGTATGTTCTACTATTTGAGTTGTTATTATTGATTCAAAAAAACGCAAAAAGTTTCATTATCAGCCGAAACGAAGAAAAAGAAAAAGAAATCGAAAGATTATTATCGAATTTTAATCGTTTGCTATTCGTATATTTTAGAGGCGCAAACGCCATCAGTTCAAGTACTTTCTCAAACTTCAATATCGACTGAAATTGAGAATCGTTCAAACAATCAATTATCATCAACTTTAGCTAGTAATAATTTATCAATAAAAAGACGTGTTGATGCATCAGCATCATCATCATCATCGTCGTCGTCAACCACCACCACAAGTACCGACGATAAAGCAGCGATGCAATTACCACGTAGTTTAATCAGCGAAAATAAATCGATTCCCTTAAATTTTCAAATACAATCTATTTCACATATAAAAACATCGCCGTCAAATTCCTTATCAATACAATCATCTATTGAAAATACAAATGATACCAATAATAATAATAATAGTGCTCTTAATACACCGAATGTAAACGATCAACTTCATACATTGTTAACATCAAATCCAGTTGGTACTGAATATACAATTGACGCATCGAATACAACACCACCACCGACAACATCGTCGTCATTGTCGTCCTCAACAACAAATAAATCAGCAATGAATTATGTTGAACAACCTCATTATGTTCCCTATGGAACATCAACAACGCAATCAGCACTTCCTTCCTATCACGATTCTGTTGTTAAATCATCGCCGCAATCAAATAGTTTCATGCCAACAATCAGTTTAAATGGCACAGATTGGACAAATCGATCAAATAATTTTTCCTTTCAACCGTCGCCGTCCTCCTCTTCATCATCGTGTATTAAAGATGAGCCGCAAGATTATCCGATGGTCAATGGTAATGTTCAAGCAAATCATTTTGCTAAACCAAAAACTTACACAAATCGCCCATCGAAAATTCCATTGCATGAACGACCATTTTCATGTCCTGTTGAAAATTGTCCACGAAGATTTTCACGGTCCGATGAATTAACAAGGTACAAAATCTGATTTATTTCTAAGAAATTTTCTACTGTCGATTTTCTTTTCTTTTCTTTTCTTATCAATAGACATATTCGTATTCATACAGGTGATAAGCCATTTCAATGTAAAATTTGTGCACGAGCATTTTCAAGGTCGGATCATTTAACAACCCATATTCGAACACATACCGGAGGTAAGATAAATTCAAACAAAATCTAAAAAAGAAAAATACTGTTTTTTTTTCGACTTTAGAAAAACCATTTTCATGTGATACATGTGGCCGTCGTTTTGCTCGATCCGATGAACGTAAACGTCATGGCAAAGTCCATCAAAAACTGCGCAATGCAAATCTAATACATCATCCATCGCAGCAGCTTACATCATTATCGATTTTAACAAATAATCTATTAACTAATATGAAGGAAGATGAGAATAACGATGGTGAAGATAGTTCATCACAACATAGTACTAATGATTCAAATGAACATCAACAACAATTTCAATTACAAACTCATTTGCATACTACTTGGTCATGAAAATTACAGAAAAAACAATTTTGTGTTTAAAAGTTATCGTTTTTCGAGCACTCAGATAGAGAAAATAAAAATCTGTTTTTTTCTGTTTTGTTTTGTTTAATGTAAGAACAGTGATTTGTATTGTCCTTCTTCTTCTTCTTCTTCTTTTTTCCTGTGAGTGTATAAACAGTGATACGATCAAATAATGTATTTGTTTTTCTTTTGAAAACTTTCTTATTTATGTTTGTTATGCGTACATCTGGCAGTGAGTTTATTCTGTATCGGTGTTCCTTTTTGCTTTGTTTTCCTTTTCATTGCTCTTGATGTATATTGTCTTGAAACATCATGCGTTTGGTAGATGTTCACTTTTTATTTTTGTTTTCTTTTTTGGCTGTTTTCTACTTTATTAAATACTGTTCTATCACAGTCATTAGCATCATTCTCGTTTCAAATTTCTATACATAATTATATATATTGATTTATTTTCAATAGCGATCACTCCTATATGTATCTTGTTTTGTTGGTGACATTTTTCGAGATAATGATGCTATGAACTTTTTCTCTTTATTTTTGTTTTTTGTTTTCTCGGACTTGATATAACAGAAAGAAAAACAAAAGATTTGTGAAAAAAAAACTGAAATTCGATTTTCCGGTAAGAAATTCGTTTATTAGTAGAGTTTTTGTTTTTTTAAATTCTACTATCAACTAATCAATTCACTGGTACAAACAAACTATCAGCGAGATTGGAGATAGGTCTCGATCGTTATGATGAATTGTTAAATTACTAATTGGTTGTACACATCGATGTAATTGTTTCCAATTGAATAGTTGTTAAAAAAAGAATATAAATTTAAACATCGTACGACAAAAAACAGACTGATAACTCGAAAATAATTATGATTAATAGTGAAAATAAATCGATTGATACATACGAGTACAGTCAAATAAGGAGCGGCGGAGCGTCATTAAGCTAGGTGAGGCTCATGATATATTTTTTTTCTACCGTGGAATTTTATGAACGCATCAAGCAAAAAATAAGCCTTCTTTTTGTTGAACTGCAGTAAAAATAAACATGGTCACTATAAAAAAGATGGTTGGAAAATACCAAAAAAGACTTTGGCTCCTGCTTTGATGCGCGAATAAAAAATAACAATATTCAGTACAAAAGTAAGTGAGGCTGAATCTCATCTTGTGAAATCTAGGTGAGGCTCAAGCCTCATGGGTCTCAGTGGCTTTGCCGCCACTGGCTCAGCGTAACAAATCCTGAGAATAGAAAATAACAATTTGCAATCTGAAATCTAGGTGAGGCTAAAGCCTCACCTGTCTCAATGGCTCCACCGCCACTGAGTCAAATATCTAGCTGTTTGACTAGAAACACGTGGTATTCAAAAACGAATTTTATCGAAAAAAAAAACTACTAAATACAAGAAAAAAAAGATCGATGCGCTATTTTTTTTTCTTAAGTTGACTATTCGTTTAGTAAGATGGTTAAAAAGGTTGTTCATATTGAACATTGGCAACACGAGATATATATTCTTGAGCTAAATTTGATATCATTGGCGATGGAGTTTGAGTATTCTCATATTGATTCCATGGATATTGGCCTCCGTATGCTAATGAAGGATTTGAATAGTATTCATTTAAATTATTACCAGCTACTGGAAAATAATTATTCGGATTTTGATAATTGTAGCCTTGATAATTTTCATAATTCATTGGTGATGCTACTGGTGCAGGCATTGTATATGACATACCTTGTGAAGCAGCGAACACATTGTTTTGCTTTGGTCGTCTTAAATAAAAATAAAACTGTAAAATAAAACTAGTTATTGGTTTTTCAAACAACCTTTCGAATTTTGGCGTTTGTCTATTTCTTGCGGAGAGTTTCATATCCAGAATGAAAGCAATCAATGAAAAACAACATGTTATTGTCATAATGAGGCCGATAAGCCCATTCCACCATGCCCAATCAAGAAAAGCTGCTATACGATTCGAGCGACCTTGAACAGACATCACACCTAATGTTGCTGAGATAAATGTAACTGAAAAAGACAGATAATTTGCTTTTTCTTCAAGTTTCTTTATTCATTTAGACATACTTGCAACCAACAAAAGTGCCGCTGCACCAATAAAGACAAAATAATATCTGACTCCATCGAAATTAAGTATACCAATTAGAATAAGACCGGCAGCAAACATATAAAATATTATAGATATTATTTCCAATGCTTGACTTGATCGAATATAAGCTTTCAAACACAAAAACAGATAAATACATAAAATCTTTAACATTAAGAATTATTTACATGGTTTTCCTCCGAAAAGAGCAGTATCACTCCAATCATAACAAGACCCGTTTACTGATTGATCACAAACTCTCCAAAGACCAAACTGAATATTTTCAGCATGAGTAGTAATCCATGGAGTTCCAGCAAATGAAACTATATTAAGAATCATATAAGATATTGTTGATATTATAATTACTGCTAGAAGAAATCGCGCAAGGCCAGTTTGTGGAAATAAAAACATGCTATTTTTTGTCAATGTTCTACTCTGTCGAATGATTTGCGTCTGTTTCTTTCTGTACCTTCATAAAATTATATTCGTATAGGTAAGGACAAAAATATTTTTATGTTGACAAAGAATATGCTACGCTTTCATTTTCAACAGATATACAAACAGATATTTATTATTTTCTATTTTTTAACTTTTATTTTAGTTTTATACTGAAAAAATAATTCATGAAAGAAATAAAATTTTGATTGATTACAATAAAAAGAGATATTCTCTTTTTTTTAATAAATAGAACCTTGCTCCTGTTATTGTCTCCTTAACGATTAATAACCATGAATAGGTGTATATACATATCAGTGTTCTTTGCTTAGTTATGTATGTTTGAAAAAAATGACTGTCTATTTTACTTGATTACTATATATCAGTTGGAAAATTCGTAATAATAATAAAAATAATGAATTTCATTGGTCTGTTTAGCAATGAATAAATTATAAAAAGAATCTTATTCATAGTTGAAAATTTGATTTTGATCAAACACAGGTATTTAATGAAACGATTTGGACGACAAGATCGACAACCTATCGATAGACTTAGTTTAGTTTAGTTTTGCGAAAAAATTTATTTACAATTCCAAGAATCTTGTAACATTGAGCGAAAACGAAAACATAGATTTGAATCAAAAAGATGAATAGAACAAAAATAAGTTGATGTTTTTGGTGCGCCACTCATTCATGGATGACTGATATTTTACTTTTTTTCTTATTACATAGAAATGAAAAATCACAGGCATAAAAATTTAAAAATGTGACAAAAAAATAAAAAATAATAATGATTTATGTAATAATTATATAAGATATGTCCTAGAAGTGAAATATTTCTTGTGAAGACTTAAAAATAAGGCCAATATAATTCCATTTTAGGTTTATTTTTAAATTTTTTCTCAATGACTAATACATTTTAAATAATTGAATAAAATGACGATAAAAATATTACCTATAACGCCGAATAATATTATTATAGTAGGTACTACGTAGCGATTAAGCTGCAGTTGAAGAAATTCAAATGTTGAAGATGGCATAGTTTGCAAGTTCTCTTCTGTGCGACCAAAACAAAATCATGTTCCAGTTATGTGTTAAAGGAGAAATGTCCTTTTAGTAATCTTTTGTAAAACTTGTTCTCAGTATTTTGAGATCATAACCTTGCGGGCGTAGGTTTGTATGTTAATCACTCCTTCGTTTATACCAATCATTTGAAATTAAAGATTTTTCTTTGATAGTGCTATAATTTATTAAAAATAAGACATGCATAAAAGTGACGGCTTTAATAATATATCTATCTATGTATGGATCACTTGCTTTTTTGGCTTAATATTTCATAAGAAGCAAACGAAACAAACTCGTAAGTATATCCAGCGATTTCTTCGCTTCAGTCATCAATTTGTCTACAAAATAGAGACATTTTCCATGTAAGAGATATGATTTCAATGCTAACTCGCGAAAAATCACCAAGTTTTGTTTTTCTGTTCATTACTACTGTTCCCTGTTCTCAAGTTATCATTGGATCGGCAATTATGAAATCATGTCAATCTATACTTTGACTTCTATAATTCTACGTTGATGAAAACAGCGGGTTTATCAATCTTGATGGAATTTATACTCATATATTTATCCATTCATTCATACAACATCCACGATCTTGTTTCAAGATGAAGTCTAAGTGAAAAATATCTGTTTATTTTATATATGATGATCGACGTAAAAACAAAAAAAAAGAAATTCTTGTAAATCTCTCTCTAACGAATGAGCGTTCTCTAAGATATGATACAATCCGCTTCTTGCATTGCTCGAATTAGTCATCGCTGTGGATCATCCTTACCATAAAAGTTATGTCTCTGTAAGAATGCAACGAACAGAGCATACTCATAATCACACTGAAGATAAATTTCTTGGCACTGCAATGCCATTGCATGTGCTATCAAAGTCCAAAATAACGCATACATTCTTCAGACAATTTGAAATAAATGTCAAGGATATGAATTGTATTATGCAAATAAAAAAAATGTCATAATATAATGTTTAGAGCAGTATTACATAAGAGCACGAAAACAAAACATTAAAAGTGATGTATTAGTGATGAATAGATTTAATTTTGGATTCTACAGAAAAAGACAAACTAACACACAAAAAATCAGAAATAAAAATCTAGAAGAATTCTGCATATTTGAATGTCAGAGCTTTTGGTAATGGACATGAGCAAATTGTAACAAGCTTTTGAAGGGAACTGACCAACTATGGGATAGGAGACATGCTGATTTGTCTGTGAAATAGTTTGATTAAATTTTCGAGAAAACAAGCTCTTAGTTCTACATCATACTGCAAACTTTACTATTATTAGCAGGGTTATTTGAAGGTACCGGTGATGCGGTAACTCTTGCTGAACTTGGTCTGACTCGTGAAGGACCTGTGGAGTCTTCAGGTTTTTCAATCGGGACTTGGGAGGAATTTGGTCTCGGTAAAATAATATTTATCTTTTGTCGATCTATATGGTCACTCTCATCAGTTTCATAATCAGAGTCAAGCGGATCTTCATCAATATTAACACATGAGGATAGATTAGCATTGATCTCAGATACGTCGAAATCTTCGAGCAGCCGATTCCTAGTTTGGACAACGTTTGTTTCAGCTAATGTTTCGTCAACAGATGACATGCGCATTAGTAGTTTATACAACATATGTTTGAGACACCCAACACAATTATACACGCTCTGGCTATCGTCGCTTTTACCTAGCCAAATTTTAGAATTCGAGACTGGGTCCTCGATTGCGTTACTAAGAAGATGCTGCACACGATGTGCGGAAACTACATTACACTGAACTAATCTTTCAAAAAAAACAGCTGCGGCCCAACGTTGAATCAATGACGGAGATAGAAGATATTCATTAAGATGATCGAATGCAAATTTCCATTGCTTCAGAATTGGCTTTAGATTCTTAAGCGTTGACTCGAATTGTGTCAGATTCGATTTGAATTCTTTTTGGTCTGATTCTAACTGGTTGATGATTGACTCCAATAGAGCTAAAATTTTCTTTAGACAATTTTGTGGATTTTCAAGTTCAAGAAGTGCTGATTTAAGTTGCACTAGTGGTTGTTCTAGCTCTTTGATGCTTGGTTCCATCTGTTCTAGAATTTGATCCAACTGCTGTAAAGCACTTTCCTTTTGTGCAGATGCACGAGGTTTGCGGAAATTTTTAATAGCATTAAGGCAAATCTCTTGAGTCGAAGGATTTTCAACAACCACATCAATCAATAAATCACAAATTTCGGGATTAAAATCTCCAAAAGAAGCAAGTAATTTTATGCATGCATTACGTCGTTTGATGTTATGCTGTTTACTGGCTTGAAATAATGCTTTTTGAAGATTTTCTTGCTCACTCATTTGATCGATTTCATGGAAAAATGCTGATGGCATCTCCTCAACAAGATCGCAAGCAATATCAATAAGGCACAAGTCATTGAATTCTGTCGACCATTCTGGATAAGGCTCGATCTCATCTCCAAAATGCTTAATAGTATCATAAAGATCTATGATATAAATCCTTAAAAGATCAGGATGAGCTTTAATTAATTCAACGACAGATTTCGAATGTGTTTTCAATGCTTTTGTGTCGTTTTTATCGATACGAACACGAATCAACGACTGATAACAACGCTCAGGATCAGTTTCAAAGTATTCGAGAAGCTTTCCAATATCGTGACATACTTTTGCCAATTCGATACTGGCAGCATCCCGAACATCTGACGAACTATGTCTTAACATTTTTTCGCAAAGACTAACAATTTCATTGTCATCTTCCTGACCGTTTCCTTTCTTATTGTCTTCGCCTTCGTCTTCGTCTTCGTCTTCGTTTTTATCTTTATTATTTTTCTCCTCTTTAGATCTTTTAATTTTATTAAAAGTACGCGACCAACAATATGCATGAATGCACATAGCTAAAACACGTTCGGAAATATTTATATCCGACCCTTGTGTATTCTGAAGAACATCAAGCAATATTTCCTGTGCTTCTTGTTTACTATTATGACCTATTACAAATGCTGCACTGTATTGAGCATTCGATGAATATTTGCCTGTCAAAATTTTCGATAACATCTTCAATATCATATCAACACCATTACTATCAACACTGAGTATTTTTGCGCACCAACTGAAAACGAACAGTAGCTGTGACTCTGTTAATTTCAATCTATCACGATTTCTTCTAGCCGGCAGATCACCGATAAAAGCTTGTAAATATGTTAGAAAATATTGTAATACATCAGGAGTCAAATGAACAAACCAACGAGCGATTGGCGAAGAGTTTTCAAATAGTTTCTGTTTTTCTCTCGCTGTAGTTAATTCTTCTGTATTGTTTTTATAGTTCTTATGAAAACGTGTTCGTTTTTGCTCCAACTCAATAATTTCTTTCAAGTGTTCTGTACTGTCAATAGTCAACTTTTCAAAAAACCAACTTAACACCAGGGAAGCATATGTAGATTTCGTTTCATAAGAAATAAAGCGTTCAATAAATATAATCAATATATCCCAGCCTAATTCACTACTTTTTCTCTCATTTCCGTTTAGAAGACATTCGGTTTCTTGACGTAATCGGTCGTTATTACTTTCAAGTAAATCACAAATAATATGCACATTTTTAACTGTCCACACGTTAGATCTACCCAAGATGAGAGCAGCATGACAGGCAAGAGCATAATAGGGAGAATCTTTTTTGTACGACAACCATTTCATAAGGAATGGTTGTGCACTCCATTCACAGTGATATAAATCATATAAGTCTATGCATAATATAGTAACTTCATTAGAAACTTGTTCTTTCTCGAGTAAGCTAAGTTTTGTTTCAATAGCATTAATATGTGAATATGTCAAAATACGCTTTTCTTGTGATTGACCATTTTGTCGATCCAACAAACGACTAATATCAACTTTCAATAAAGGAGCACTATTCAACCAAGTCGATAACTTTTGAACATCACTCGACAAGTTAGCTAAATAGAGGCTAGCATAGAGTACGGAAATCGACTGAGAATGATCTCTATCATACAAGAAGGAATATGGGTTTGTTTTGTGTTCTTTTGAGTTTATCGCAAAGTATCGTAGTAAGGGTGAGTCAAACTGAAGAACATGAGCGCGTGCAAGTACAGAGGATACAGTGAATTCTTGCATAAGTCCAAAAAGTTTCGATGAAATTTCAGGGCTCAAATTGACGGAAGCGCCAAGCGCAATGCACACAGCTTGCCGGTCAGCTTCATCTTTCAAATGATCCGTTTGATCTAGAATATGATCAATTCTCTCAATGATCTTATCATCAGCACCCACTAAAGAGACATAGCGATCTACGAATGAAACAGATACTAGCGGCGTCAGGTCAGATGGTAGTGTTGAAAACGCTTTTTTCGTTGAATCATTTAGTGATGCTCTTATTTGGTTAAGATCCGACGAGAAATACTCAGATGAACGAAGGAAAGGGCAAGATGCAAGAACAATGAGTGCATCTAGACGTACTAGTTCATCACTAATTTTTGAAGCTGCCTGTATTGCCTCTTCAAAAAGGACTTTCTTTTCTTCAGATTCTGATGCCCAACATAAATATCCCAAAGAGATAGATGCAGAAAAGATTTCTAGATTTGTTTTTTCTACTGAGTTGCGTGATTTCAATAGTTGGAGAGCATCGCGTACACGACGTACCACCTGTTCAAGCGCAATTCGAAGACTTTCATCAACTTCTGTGTCCGATAGTTCGATTCGATCAACGTCCGTAAGTTTATGATAATTGTCACTATATGAAAATTGGTCATGATCTCTAGGTCTCTTCATTTCTTCAAAATACCATTTGACAGCATCGGGATCATGTTCTGAGTTTATTTTACTCCAATAAAGAAGAGCAAGAATCAAATGTTCTAATCGATAGAAACGAGCAAGTGGTAAAAGAGCGACAAGAGCCGATTGGCAAGCATATGAAATAGGCGAAGTACATACCGACAATAGACTAGTACAGAGAATGTGTGCAAAAGATATAGCGTATTTTGACTTTCCGGTCGCAACTGGATTCTCATAATTACGTTGCACAAAAATATGACCTTTTTGCATTGCGCACGAAAATAATAATTGTAGATGTTTCGGAACGAATGCTAGCGCAAAACTATGATTTCTATCATACTCAAAAAGCATGGAACATTCGGCTTTATTAATTATCACTTCGGAAATGTCTACACCATGACGAGTATCATTAAACATCCATAAAGTGCGTAAAAACATAGAAAGAGATAGACCGGGAAAAGATGATTCATTCGATGTAGAAACTAGCAGTTGTTTTAAGTTTTCTTGTTTTCGAAAGAATTTCGGTAACAACAAAAAACGTTGATCTGACTTACATAACCATTTATTAGTAAAATAAGTTCGTGTTGATGTACACAGACGTGCACGACCACGGCAAATCGAATCGATGAAAGTGAATAGAATTTTGACATCGTTCACTGACGATGGTTGATGACGAACTTTATCAATGGTCTGATGCCAATTCATGAATAAATCGATCAAATATGTCGAGTTTTGATTGGTCATACTTTTCTTATACATATATTCATTGAAATTATCAAAATTGGATAAAAGACTTTCTTTACTACTGATGCTTCTTTCATATTTATTGTATATTTCTGGAATGAAATAGAATTGTCGTAGATAGTTAGAAATTCCTTTAAATCGATCGATGGCTAAGTGAAATGCTCTATGTTTAACAAAATCCTTATATAACCAAACTTCATCGACGCCAACAATACAAAACATGAGAATGAATGTGTCGACTGCCTTTAATGATGGGTCATCAGGCCGAATCTTCCTTGCTTCCTGTTTAATACGCTCGATGAAAGTAGACTGAGCACCTGCTTGATTGCCACTCAGTTCACCACGAATATACTCGATAAAAAGGGGCGTGAGTGGAGAACTACGATGCATACATTTTTGTGAAAAAATAACTGCGAAATCAGCTGATGTCACCATCAAATCATCATAATTATAAGTTTTCTCGCGATCCTTTTTATTTTTTTCGTACGATAATGTTAATCCTCCGTAAAGTGCGATAATCGCTGCTAACACTGGTAAATTCAACTGAGGTAAACATTTCGGGTTCTCAATGAAAAATGTTCTCAGATCATTGGATGGAAGAGCTTTAGGCCCTTTAATCGCAATTTTCGTAAGTACTGCATCAATTAGAAATTGATTGTCGATATTATCATCAGGCAAATACTTCAGTAAATATTTACAAGCATTTTTATTAGCCCACTGTTTTAGAAGCACGTTTTTCTCGTTATTTTCTTCTGATTGAGCGATTTTCTCACATTCTTTCAATAATGTACAAAGGGAACTAATGGATTCTATCGTTGCGTTTTCGGAAGAAAACTCTTGATAAATCCACGCCTCTATCTGCTCTCTGGGTAATTTAAGCAAGCCAATCGCCATTCTATTCTCAAGATTTGGATAGTTTGTGTGCCAATTATTCTTCGCAGCGATCGATAGTAGGCGACTCAATCCTGTGAATATTATTCCTCGTGATGGTAATTTCTCCAACTCATCTATGGATGTTATAAACATAAGAATTTCAAGAGGAAAATAGCGTGATAAATGATTATTTGATGTGAAGAGTGCTTGACAAAATTCATCAAGCTCCGACTTTTCCTTTTTCAAACTAATCCAACCTAAAGCTAATGTTAATGGAACACGAAATCGCGGATCTGTGATGTGCTCTTGAAAGATTTTGGCTAAATTTGCTGACCAACTTTTGTTTTTTTCAATGGATATTATATTCCTGCATGTGTAATACTCCTGCAATGTCAAATGTAAAAAGCCATATAAATGCTGACCACGCGCGGCCAGAATTCCAGCATTGCGTTCAAATTGATCAACGCACTGCTCAACTAATTGCTCTTGTTCTTTTTTATTTGTCGCTCTAATGCGTTCCTGTAGAGATTTTAAGCATACCATTTTCAAATATGTTCTTTCAATCAATCCACTAGGACAATTTTGATGTATGTAGAGCGCAATATCACACAGAATCTTATGAACTACGTTTTGCTGTGCTACAAAACCATGAGGGCCTTTAGCTATCCACAGCTTCATCATCAACATGGCCATTTCGTCATAGAGACGAATGCGCTGAGCAGGTAATTCAGCGCCACGTGTTCGAAACGCAATGAGACAAATGAAATTCATCAAACAAGGGTTTGACGCCATATGACGTAAACCCTTATTTCCCGGCTTGTCTAGTTCTGTTTTCAACAATTCAATTTGATGTGCACAAACATTTTCTCTTACTTCATCTAAAATATTGAGTTCCAACAATGAGATCATTTTCTTGTGAACTGTCTCAAACCAATGATCGGCAAACTTTTTCGTATCATCCATTTCCATCGGTAGAATGGTATAGTGAGAGAATTGACCACTCAACGGTTGTTTATGATAGCCTACTATTCGACTAGTGATTATAAGTTGGTTTCCACCAGCCTTATAAGGAATATCGAGCTCTCCGTTGATGAATTGATCATCGAAAACAGAAACACTCGATGGCGTCTGAACATAATTTGCTACAAAATCCTCAACTAAAGTAACAACATTTTTTCTAGTTTCGGATTCGGGGATTTCATCAAGACCATCTAACACGATAAGTGCGTAACCTTTTTTGATATAATCGTGCAGAGCAATTTGTAACTGTTTCATTTGTTTTTGTTGATCATCTTTGCTCTGCCCAGGTTTGAAATTTAACATGGAATCTCCCATCCATGTGTGAAAACCAATGTAATCAATGAGAGAAAGGTCTTTGTTTTTTTGAAGAGCTTCTACAAATTCACCAACACGAATGAGAATAGGCATACGAGGAGGTCCTACCACGAACGTTTCATCTTTGCTGTTCTTTTCCTCATCTTCTTCTTGATCATCTCTATCTTGATCACTAGCATCACTGCGCAATTTCTGTTCATCTTTCTCTATTTCTTGAATATATCTTGATAGAAGCCATCGAACAAACGTCGTCTTTCCACTTCCCGGATCGCCAAGTATGACAATCCATCGATTATTGCGCAATATTTCTCGAAAATTCGATTTATCGGATTCTTTCTCCTTATTAACTCGTTCTCTTTCGATCAGTGAATACATAACTGGTTCTGACGCTAGTCCTATCATCATCTCTCGATTATATACATCTTTTTCTCTGTCATTGTCATCATTATTCTGTGAAATTAATTTTCTAGCTTGTTCTCGCTCAAATGCAGTCGATCGATCGGCCTGCAAATGGATATAGACTGATTCGACCGGTAATTCAATGGTACGAATATCACTAGTAGCTTCAACAGAAAATTCTGACGGTGGTAATTGATAGATATTGGTGACAAAGTCTTTCATAGTAGCTTCTAATCCTACAATTGGGATGCGGGCGTGAACATTCATACAATGACTTAGGTAGCGCTTAATAATTTTCTCATGATTCTCATACAGAATTGGCAAGTTGTTCTTCTTCATTAATTCCATTTCTGTTCCGATCATGTTCAAGAATAGTTTAGAGCGTTCATCAATTTGTGTATTTTGGCGGTTTTTATCTACTACGCGTTTTTCGCGAAGTGCTACTGACAGAATTTCTTTTTTCTTCTCCAAATCAGCAGTCAAATCAGCCTCATAGTTTATCAACGCAAATTTGGCGTTGTCGAGTTCTCTTTTTAGAGCTTGTTGAGCGATTAGTTTCTTTGGTCCCTTTAATGCCTCATTCGGATGCTGACATTCAGATATAGAATTTCGAATTCTGCTCAGAGTACGAAATAAATTAAGAACAATGTTGTCGAATACTACATTTCCTAACTCACGGCGCAACTGTTCACTTGAACCATCCAACTTGTCCATCAAACGTACAAGACGTTCAGACATTGCTTCACATTCCGCTTGATACTGATGAACATGTTTAGCTGCTTCAATGTATTGTCTAATGATATCGAGTACTTTATCGATTGTTATTGGTTCACGAGAACGATCCATTTTCGCTGATTCCTGATGTTTTCGTTCTGTTAATGAAAAATATATTCATTATCTTATTTCAAAAACATGACATAGCAAGTACAAAATCGACTAAACTCTACAGACTTCTGTTTTGAAAATGTACAAACCTTGGTTCTGTTTCTCTGTATAAAAAAATGCAAATTTTAGTATTCTATGAATGCTTCTCTGACACTTTCATATCGCATTACCATAGTATTACTCAACATTCTAGAGGAACTTTCCATTCTAGGTACAGTTAACACTATATGAACTTTATGACGCAAATGAATTATATAATAATTCTCTGTCAAATATTTTCTATTGATGTTGGTGGCAGGGTCTATCATGGTCTACCAGAGTCCTAAAAATATGTGGGCTATGATGTGTGTGTTCTCGCTGTATACACCATTTATCACACACACACACACACTATCGTGTACGATGTATGTGTGTGTGTCGCCGCTCTTAACCCCCTTCCTCACATCCACATCATGGCAGGCCCTGCTAGACCCTGACACCAACATTAATAGAAAACCTTAGACTGAGAATTATTATATAATTCATTTGCGCCATCCAATGATTGTATGTAATGATGGTGTGTCTGTTTCATGTGAATAAAACTTACGTTTCTGTTATATTATGAATACAGGCAAATAATGCGTGTGTGTTGTTCTCTTCCTAAAAAGAAAGATGCATACTAGAAATTCACTGAATATCTGGTTATTGAATATTCACAAGTTCGATTTTTCGTTCTAGTCTGAAATACTTTTCACAGTTGTAATAATCTTCTTTTGTCGCAGAAGGCAACAGGCGTATACTAATGCAAGAAGAGAACAATAGAAATCTAGAATATAGAAAAAACAAATCATTATTTTGGAATCTTATTTCATTGAATTGGTATTGAGTAATGCATGTTAACATTATGTATGAAAATTGATGAAGGAATGAGAGTCTTTTATACTGATCACATCAAAGACAAGTGAATGATGTACTTGAATTGTTCCCCGTGACTTTCTTCAACACTATCTACGCGAAAATCGACTCCGGGATACAGCAGTATTTCTTGTTCATCCTTATACATAGAGTATGAAGCAATGGCACGTCCGGGATAACATGGAGCTACATCATTATTAAACTCGATGACAAATAGGGTATTACCAAAGTTTTCTAACCCAGCCGGGCTTTTGCTTGTTGAAGAAAAAGCGGGCCAAGTTTTTATTTGACCTTTTGAATTAATATACTCTTGAAGTTGTTCCACGGTTAGCGTTGTTGCTCGATAAACGGTTTCGTGGACGGCTTCCTGATCTTCATGCAGAAAGTCTCTTAGCATGCAACAATAAGGCCCGAGTGTATCTACTTTTGTCATACCTCCTTCCCTAAGAACATTATTGACTAAGATATATATGAATGATTGATAAGTGTAGAGAACGACGCAATAGATCATAATCTCATGAAGAGGTTTGTCCTTGGATTTTAGTAATTGATCAGCAACATATTGTGCTTCTAGTGTCTTTGGAGGGTTCATTTCTGATCCTTCTATTACTATTCCAGAAGCGATCTGTTCCACCGTATCGTGAGATTTATGTCTATAATGAGGGTTTCGTTTGGTCCATTCTTCTACCAATGGAAATTGCGAAATTCGCCATTCATTGAGAGAAACTAGTTTTGATGGGGCGGTGAAGCGGCTGAAGTTTGTGCTAACCGAACGGATCCGAGATGTTACCTCTGTTGGTTCATGGCAACACACTCGACGTTGTTTTTGATGATCACTATTATTATATTGAATCATATTTTCAAAATCAATTGTGTATCCATCTAATTTAGCTTCGGGCTGTTTATTCCCGTAAGCCATTTCTATCATTTGACATTGAATATCGCCATATGGCGTCCAATCATTTTCACGTATAATGTTATCGGCATCAGGTTGTTTACGTCCATCGAAAAACCAAGCAGGCTGATCTTTTTTTGGCATGTACCATGGTGTCGTCATTTTCTACTATTATCTATAGTAAATTTTACATGAACCTGAAAAAAATAAGGATTTGAGATTATAATTACATAAGGGAGAAAAAATTGATGGGTGTGAGTATATGAGTATCTGCTTAATTCGATTTTTTTTGCGTAGCTACCATAGCTGCGCTAGTATGGGTACAACCTGCACTGCGCAATTTACATAGAGACTGAAACAAGGGGGAAACGGCGGATTCCCGGGATTCCGGATCCCATGGGAATCCCTGAAATCTTGTGGAAATCCCGGGAATCTCGTAGGAATC